TTGTGCTCGTTGTTTCCTCCCTCATCTGCACGTCTTTGCGGTATGCCGCCGACGGTGTATATCTTAGCAGAAACCAGGTCATGCACAACCCAATATCTTTCGTTGATGCTACTGCATTATTCCTTGCCGCCGGCTGCTGGTGCTGGCCCTGGCCCGATGACTCACCACTGCTGCCGTGGTGCCTGATCCGACAACTCGACGGCCACCTCGACGTCATGACCAGCAACGCCCCTAACGCCACCGCCGCCGCATAGCTTGGTGTCCGATCCCTCCACGGCCATCTCGACTGGTGTCATGCCCCGCCACTTGCCATGGCTATGCCGAGACCAGACCTCGCAGAGTCGCGAGCTACACATGCCGTATGTCGCCACGGACTCCGCAGCCCGTGCCGTCGACGCACCTGTTGCCTGCCGTCACCGTCGACGCTGGGATCAAATCTTGCAGCACGTCGCCGTCAAACGTTGGCCTTGCGATGAACCCTGTCGCTCGCCGCCGCCGTCGAAGCCAGGGCCGGACAACGCAGGCCGCACGCCACTCCGAACCCTCGAACCCCGCAGCTCGTTGCTGCCGCTATCAACGCCGGCCCCGAACCTCGCCGTCCGCTGATGCCGCCGTCAACAATGGCCCCACCACACACCCCAGAGGCCAGCGTCTCGCCCTTACATGTGAAAAGTCTATATTACCCTTCCACCTCTCTTTAAAAGACGGTATCACCATATGGGCTAAAATGGTACCACACGGTACCAATAAATCTCAACCGTTTAATCTGTCCCAATTGACGGCTTGGATTTGGTACCGCCTCCCTCTGCTGGATGGGAGTAAATCCCTTCTAAAGAAGGTAACTTTACAGCTTTTTTTTTATGTCCATGGCTGTTGTTCAACTGCTTTTATGACCAATGTAATCAAAACCTCTGTTCATATCTTTTTGAAGTAATATCTTAATTTGTAGATAGCAAATAGTGGTAGGCAAAACAGTAACCACGCTAAGAAAATAACCACCTTTGTATTTTTTTAGGATGATGAAAGAAATTGTCTAAACATCTACAAATAGGAGCATCTAATTTGGTTGAGGATGTACAGCTAAGCTATCTGATTATGAAATCTTTGAGCAGGGTTAGATCTTAATTTTCAAACTATACCCTGACAGTAACAGTGAACCATGTTTCTTCGAATACTATGATTCCACGTCATGTTATCTACCCTATAGTTCAACGGTTTCACTCATCACTCATCTTTCATTCCTCACTCAACGGTTCAGATCATCCTGATAAAAATCCAACGATCCAGATCGATGAGCAGCCTCCCACCTCCACCGAACGCGTCATCTCCCCTAATCCCGCGCGGCCGCGCCGCATCCCCTCCCATCCTCTCTCTGTTTCGTTGTCTCGTATTGCCTACCCCAAACACCGCCACCGTCGCCTCTCCCACCCTCTCCCTTCTTCACTCTCGCGCCTCGCCACCCCACCGCCGTTGCCCCGTCGCCGGCCGCCGCACCCTAAACCCTAAACCGGAGCCGTCCCGCCGCATCCCTCTCCCTTCCTCTCTCTCTCTCACATCGCCTACCCCAGACGCCGCCGCCGTCGCTACCCCAAGACATCGTCGCCTCCCCGCCCTATCATGCCCACCCTCTCCCTTCCTCACTCTCGCGCCTTGCCGCTCCGCCGCCGCACCCTAGACCCTAAACCGGAGCCGCCCTGCCGCCGTCCCACTCCTTTCGTCACTCTCGCACACCGAACTCCGCCGTCGTCGCCTCGCCGGCGCACGCCCTCCCGGATCACGGGCGTCCTTCGACGCCAAAAACCGCACCGCCCTCTTCCCGCGACGCCGGAAACCGCACCCAGCGCCCTTCCCTACTTCGTCGGAAGATGCTTCAGCGACTTCCTCCTCAGCCTCCGCCTCAACTGCCACCACCGCCGCTGCCGCCTCCTCCGACAATATTTGGTAATGCAGTCTATTATTACTTTGTAAGCACATTGAAACATCGCAATTATATGATCTGTTCTTTTGCAAGGTAAAAAATTGCTTAAGCAGCTAATGAAAGTGATATTTAATTTTGTAACCAATCCTTTTTTACTGATACATACTGGTTGCACATACTCCCTTTTTTCTTCCAATGCAAAAAGAGTTTGAAGCTCAGCATATTAATTAGCCATTTTTGTCAGTAGTCAGCATGGTTTATTTTGTCAGTACTCTTTGCATATTTGGGAAAGCACTATATTGATATATATACACTATCACTTGGAGGCTCTTCTTTGCACCCTCATCCGCCTGTGAGTCAATCCATCATGCCGGTGGCCTCATCTTCCCCACATCTATCTGGGTGAATATTTAGGGGATTGAATTTTGGGTTGTTGTTGGATAGGATAGGATAAGCTTCATTTGGTTTATGTTTAGGGATATGACGTACCGGTTGGTCAGATTACACCTTTTTACATTTCAGTACGAAGCTTCATCTTACATTGGGTTTCATTGATTTATAATTTATCATTTAATTTTTCAGCATTTGATTGAATTTCTTACATTGGGTTTCCATCAAGTCGTCGTCTGGTCCCCTTCGCACCTCCTCGCCCCCACGCCGCTAGCCAGGTAAACATCTCTCACTCCCCTTCCCGTTCCTTCCTTAATTGCAAGGTTCCCCCTCCCCCCAGATCACCATATTCTTCTCTCGGGGTGCAGTGTGAGATCAATTAAGAAGAATCAGCGCTGGCTAGGCTAGCATATTATGCTCAGCATGTATGTTCTGTGCATATGTGGAGTTTCCAATACTTTTGACTTTTGAGTGCTGACAGTATCTCTACTACTTAAAAAATACGAAACGTTTCCTTCGTCCGTCACAATAAAAAATAGCGAAAAAAATAAAAAGAAGTCCGATTGCTGTGGTAAAAAAAATAGTGTACAACCGATTCCCCCTAGAAAGGAAAAAAAAGCCTGAGAAAAAATAGCGAAAAAATAACTTTGAAAAAAAGTCCGTAACCTTATATCAGATTCCCCCTGAAATGGTGAGAAAAAAAAGTCTGTTTCCAACAAAAGGCAAAAAACAAAAAAAAAGTGGCGCAGAAAAAAAAAACGCCAAATCTGATTTCCTCAAAAAGGGAAAAAAATCCGACTCATGTAGAAGGCGAAAAACAAATTTAAAAAGGTCCGTCCGATTCCTTAGAAAGTGGCGAAAAAAAAGTCGTAAAAAATAATGGTTTGTATAAAATAAGAAAAATGCAAGAGAAAAAAAATAAAAAGGCGAAAAAAAGGACAGCAAAAAGAGTCTGATCTCTATTCGCTTTAGTATTCTGTTTATATCTCTTCTCTGTCTCTAATCTAATCTAACTAGAGAAGTTTTCATCGTACAACTTAAAAAAATGCCAAGAAAATAAAAACGGTTTAAAAAACGCGTAAGAAAAAAGTGTCAGAAAAAAGCGCAAAAAGAACACGCTAAAAAATATTTTCCATCTTCCATAAAAAATAAAAAAATGCACGAGAAAAAAAATATTTCCATCATCTGTAAAAAATAAAAAAACATGTCTGGAAGAATTATCAGAAAAAACGTGCCATTTCTAAAAAAATGTTAGAAAAAACCGCACAAGAAAAAAACACCGTTTATAAAAAACAAGCTGCTATGAAAAACTGCCAGAAAAAACGCTAAATTAATGATCACTTGGGTCGGATAGGATCCACCTTTTTTTCATTTCTACACGGCTTTTGTTTCGTCATTTATTCTCTTGTATTAGAAAAAAGCAAAAAAAAACACTCGGAAAAGAAGAAAAAACATGCGAGAAAAAGATTGTCAGAAAAAACAGGAAAAAAACGCACAAGAAAAAAAGCAAAAAAAAACACGCGTGAAAAATACGGTTTTTGCCGTCATTAAAAGTAGCAAAAATACATGCTAGGAAAAAAATTTCAGAAAGAAATGTGCCATTTATGAAAAATGGTTTGAGAAAACTGCGCAAGAAAAAAACACCGTTTATAAAAAGAGCCGCTCTGAAAAAACTATCAAAAAAAAATGCACCGTTTATAAAAAACTGGGTCAAAAAAACAATCGGATTCAACACAAGAAAAACCGCTATTTCTAATAACAGTTCGAGAAAACCGTCTGATTTAACGCGAGAAAAAACCCATCATTTCTAAAATATGGTTAGAAAAAACTGTTCGACTCAGTACGAGAAAAAAAACTGCCGTTTATACTAATAACCGCTACGAGAAACCGTCCTACTCAACACGACATAAAATTGATGGACGCTTAGATTGGATAGGATCCATCAAATTTTTTTTCATTTCCTACGCAGTTTTTGTTTCCTCATCTATTGACATGTATTGGAGATCCTGCACATCTTTGTATGCATTTATCAGACTATTTTTTTTTGTTAAGTATAGCTACTATTCTTGATAACACGTGGCATAAAAATTCCAGTAAAAACATATAATATGGAAATAATATTAAAAATAAACATATTTTTAATTGTTATTTATATAAGAGTGCATGGTGAATCTATTTTGTGTAGACTTAATCATGCGAGGCAGTGTAGGATTTGATTGATTCTATTATTGGTTGCAAGAATGAGATTAAAAGAGTATTTTAGATTATATGCATGTTGTCACGTGAATAATCCAATTATTTTAGATAAAGCAAACATCGGTAAGGTTGCCATCGTCAAGGTTGGGCCATTAGATGTTACAATTTTCTGATTGTCTTAGCTATAAAAGATCCATACAAATTAACATGTAATTCACATGGTTATGCATAAAAAAACTTATATTATGATATGAATTTTTTCACCCGTTGCAACGCACGAGCATTTTTCTAGTCAAATTAAATATCTAAGCAGCTTTCTAATCACATGATTTTTGAGCACTTAAATATATAATGGATGCATGCATTCAGATTCACCAAAGCACCTAGCGAGCGGTTATCTCTACTACTTAAAAAAATGTCGTAGTGGGGATGGTGAAGCAACGTACACGTGCGATCCAACGTAAAATAACGTAGACACGTGACCGTGGAAAAAAAAGGAACGCTTGGGAGCGATGCGCCACAGAAGCGATCCGGAAACAACGCAACAGAAGCGGCCCCAATCCATCCTCACGCATCCCCACATCGCCGCGCCCGCTCCACTCTTCCACCCCCGGCGACCCCATCGCCGCCAGCGATCCCGCGTTGATCTCCTCCGCATCCCCCTTCTGTGGCCAGATCCAGATCGATGGCGAGCCCCAGCGACCAACGCCGGCGCCCTCTGCTCCGGCAACCTCCTCCTCGGCCATCTCCTCCCCGACTCCCGGTCTCCATTGCAGCGCTCGCTTCCTCCGCATCCAACCTCGCGCCGCCCCCCATCGCCGCACGACGCCTCGATCGACGGCGCCCCCCATCGTCCCCGTCGACCGTCGCTGCCCACGGCGCCTCCAAACCGTCGCCGCATGCCCAGCTGATCCCCGTCGCCCACGACCACGCAGCCCACCTATCCTCCGTCGCCACCTCCACGAGTCACCTCACGTCGATATCCTCCGCGCCACCAGCGATCCCGCGTCGATCTCCTCCACGTCCCCCTTCCGTTGGCCGCCGTCGTCTCCACGCATGCTCACACTACTCCGCGGTGCTCGTCGGCGCAGCTCAGGACTACACCTCGTTGCCGATCGATCCCGCCCTCTTCCACTGGAGCCCCCTCGCTAACCTGATGCAACGACAAAAATGCAAGCTGCAGGCCTGTAGGTAATACGCTAATGCTCCCCATGCTCAAACGCTGTTCGACAAAATCCTTGCTTAGACGTTACAGTTGTGATGATGATCAGGGAAACCACTTAGGTGTTAATCCTTGCTAATATAGCCTGGTGATATGCCATGTTTTGTCTAGGAAGAGTTTACCAGGATGTTTACTACGCATACATGATTCAGGTAGTAGTGCTCTATGGACGAACTTGTATATGTAGTGCACTATGGATGTTTGCCAGCTTAACATGATTGTCTGGGATGATTTGTAGAAGCGGGCTATATTTTACTCAACTTGTTTCTGCGTAGCATGCTGACAAACTAAGTGTCTGGTGGGTTAGGGCACTACACAACATTGTGATGAGTGAGCCATTGCCACTATGCTGGTCATGGAGCAGCAAAGCAGAGACTATATGTTAAGGTGATGTCCTCTGTTCATAAATCCTCAAATAGTTAAAGATTTGAGTGCGAAATTTGAGTCATGTCTTTTAGGATGAATCTATTTATGTAGTTGCAATGTGTGCTTATGGTTTTGTGATTGGTTAGTGCAATATTTGACTACTGATTTGCTCCATCCATAAAGAGCTTCGAAATAAGATTAGTTAAATCTTATTTGAGTTTTAAATTTTAGTTTGTTAAATTTGCTCTTTTTCATGCCAGTGTGAGAAGGAATATGATTTTTGCATTCCTTAATATACTTATCAGTGGTATTTTTGAGGTTCTGTTCGGATGTATTATATCTTTGTGTCCTTGGATAAAATGATCTCCTACTCTTACTTATACTGAAGATTTTTTTCTTCTCACAAATTCATCCATCTCCATTCATTATGTTTCTTCATCACATTTGATAGTAACACAAACAGCAAGACCCAATTATCTTCCTTAACTGATCAACTAACTTTGGATCAACACATTGTCACTTTCAGGACATTGGCCCTTGTAGTCCTGGAAATTATTCTGGAGGTGGCTGTGACCTGAGCATACAGTACAGACTGGATCCTCCCTCTAAACCATGTTATTTCAGTTTCTGACTTGCATGCTCTATGCTATTTCAGTTGGTGACTTAAACCTTGGTAGAACCCAGCACAAATAGGAGGCGGCATCTTAATACAATGAAAAATGATGGGAACTCCATGCCAGATTTGTCAACACAATCAAGTCTATTCTTTCGTAAGTTATATCTTCACTGCCTATCTATAATTAATAGGAAGAGGCACACCAAGTTATTGATCACATAGTGGTTTGATTTGAGTTTTCCCGGCCACATGTTATAGGAAGAGGCACACTGGCCAATGTAACAAACTTAACTGCTGCCGAGGTTAGAAGAAAGCATGACAGGGAGAGGTATGCTTCACTTTCTAAAAAGCTTGGTTTCTCAATAGTAAGGGTTCATATTGATCTGTCCTATGGAAATCCAGGGTCTTGAGGTCAAGGTCATTGACGAGAGCATCCAATTAAGGTTGTGGGAATTTGACATGACAGTATTTAAGTTTGTCAAACCAAAATTTCTTTTCAAAAGAAGCAAATAATGTCAAGATTGTGTGATAAGACACTATTTGACTATGAATGATTGATGAATTAAGCTATATTAAAAGGATCAACAAGAAATCTTAATAAATATACTGCAATATGATGAATAGTGTGAAACTCACTCATGTTATAGCTTATGTGTTATTATCTGGAATCGACTAGCGAAAAAATGGAATCTTTATGATGTAAGCCTGATTTGCGATTTTTCACTACGTAGGTACTTTCATGAAGGTAAGTAGCAGAAATTCGGTGCCCATATCCTGTTGTTTCCAGTTGACGTCTTCAGATCCTTCTCAACATAATCGAAGGTAAACAAACTATTTTCCCTGTTTTCCTTGTGTGAATGATATGAAAAAATATTTTGCACTTGTTCAGTAATTTGTGCAAACTGGAAATACTGAAAATACTAAGGACGAAGAATAATATTCGAAGCCAATCCAAAAGCATTGCAAATGTCGAAGGACAAAAACTCCCAGTAATGCTTGCATGAAAATAGATTAAAACAGGCTCTCTGCGAACAAAATACATTTCTTAATATTGCTCATTTGATAACGAGGCTGGAAACCTAAGCATGTGAACACTATAAAGATGTGAAAATTATAAATATGTGACATACTTATTATTAGTTCTATATTAATGTTTTTGTTACATCCGATTTACACTCAATGATTATTTAACATAATTTCACTTGGTGTGATTTTTCTCCGTTGCAACGCATGGGCACCCTACTAGTATAAGGGATTTTGAGTTTTTGTTTGAATTGTTTGACCACTCGTCTTATTCAAAAAATTTGTGTAAATATAAAAAATGAAAAGTTGTGCTTAAAGTACTTTGAATAATAAAGTAAATCACAAAAAAATAAATAATAATTCCAAAATTTTTTGAATAAGATGAGTGGTCAAACAGTGCAAGCAAAAACTCAAAATCCCTTATATTATGGGACGAATGGAGTAAAATGGTTCTTTTAGAGTACCTCCTGGATTGTGCACAACCATGTGGAGTCGTAGGTGATGGTTGCAGCTCAGTCAATACCCGACAGCATAGGTACTAGCCTTTTATTACTCGGTAAATGTCCTCCTAAATTTTTCAAGTCATGCAATTTGTTCTACATAAAAATAGAGTGTGATCCTAATGTTTTGTTTCCCATATATAAATATCGCTTTCAAATTTGGTCAAAGCAACCCATATATAACAGATATCTGAGGCCTATTGTTTAAAAAATTGTGCAGTGAAGTTTAGTCCTTCTTAGGTCAATATTTGTTTTAAAAAAGATTGTGATACTCATATATGGGTTTGTGGCTTTTTGCAGTGCAGATGAAAATTCTTCTTAAATATACAGTTGCAGAGGACCTCAAACTTGTTTTAATGATGTTCAATGGTGTCTAGGCAAAATTGCTACCAGGTAAAGCTTCTTTATGTATTGTTGCTCTGACCATCATTTTTCTGCCAACATGATCAGTTATGTATGATATACAGTAAATCTGATTAGCTTTGTAGACTTGTGCAGATCTTTCCTAATTCATATAATTGATTTTTCCTGATTGCATATCACCCTTAATGCTATATTTCGTTACTTATGATTTCATTTAATGTTTGGGAGACTTATGGCTTATCTGTACTTGCTCTACTCAAAATCAAAACCTACGTCAAAGTTACCATGATATAGCAAATTAACTTTTCGTCTAAAGTCTGAACCTGAGCTATTAGATTGGCGTACAGTGTTTTGTTATGTTGTTGTGTGACCAATGCCAATAAACTTGACGTGGACACTCTTCTATGAACTTCATGAAGTCAGCATCCCATGTTGTAGCCTTCGGTGGATCGGTGGTCCAGATTGTCAGGTCTGTAGAGGCACAAATTTATTTGTAACTGGTTGATTTCTACTCGGGTTTGTTTCTCGCTTTTGATATTTGACAAGTATACTTGCAACGATACTAAGAGGAATGTTTAGTCTGCGTCCCTATTGTTGGTTGTGGACTTCTGCAATTATCTTGTTTTTTGAGTTATGTTAAATGCATATGTCCGGTAGGGATTTGAGGATGATATTGGAGTCCATGTAAACTGCAGATGGTAGTTTCCCAGTAAAATTAACTTCTTGCTTTGGTACATCTGATGTGGATTCCTTTTTTTTCTTTGCATAAGCATGCTAACAATCTTTTGCTACAACACTGCAAATCAATTTAACATGTACAATTCTTTCCATCATTGATGAAGCCACACAGAGATGAGCCTTGCCATCCCTTTCTCATGCGCATAGCCTTAATGAACTCCAAGATACAACACATCCATATTGATGGAAATTGGTCAGGGATCTAAACAAAATATTTCTTTGTGGGAACTTGGAAACATTTGATTACATGATCTCTCAATTTCTCATTGCCTTTAGTTATGAAAATATATCAATGTCAGTATTTTTGCATATGTTAGTGGTTTAAGATTTCGTGAATTGATTGCAATCATTATAATATATATCTATTTGTAGACAGAAAGAGAACTTAGCTGGTCAATCCCTCCATTTGACTTTTTTTTAGGGGTAAGGTTCTTGTTTCTATCCGGTAGTGCTTAAATGGACATAACTTCTACTTTTCTTTTTAATCCTATGAGAATTATTATGTAGCATCTTTGGTTATCAATGTTGTTCCTGCAAAGCGTTTGGTTGCCTTTTCTTTTCAGTTGGTTTGATTTGTTCAGAAGGGCTCGAGAGATGGTATCAGGCTATCAGCATCAGATGCTACCATGTTTGTGCAGAAGGCTTGCCAAACACACTCACGACGACATAGTGAATGATAGTATAAGAGGAATTGCATTTGGCGGCATATATGTGACAAGATGGAATGTATTTTTCAACATTCCAACCTCTATGTAAGATCGAATATATGCAATTAACATCTAAATCTAATAAATACGACATCATTTGCAATGTGCACCTATTTGTTATCTATATCCAACTGTAGCCCAAATATTGCAGTAAAATCTTTATTAAAATTTAGCATTAATCTTTGCATTAATATGTTTATCAAACTTTAGCATTTTATCATCAATTTTACATATCACATATTGATGTAAAGAAGTGGGTGGTTGTAGATGGTTATGGTGCACTGCTTTCAAGCTTGTCGAGATTCAAATGGGATATTCAACATTTTCACAAATTTGTTTGCTAATGTGGATTCCACGTACATGCTGTCTAGTTTTTTTTTCTAAAAGGGTGAATGCGAAGCTTCCCACCGGAATACTTCCATTGATGTGAAGCGTTTAGGTTACATAGCACTGAGCTTAATTAGTACTCCCACCATTTCGAAATGTTTGATACCGTTGACTTTTTAGCATATGTTTGGCCGTTCGTCTTATTCAAAAACTTTTGTGAAATATGTAAAATTATATGCCTACATAAAAATATATTTAACAATGAATCAAATGATAGGAAAAGAATTAATAATTACTTAAAAAATTTTTGAATAAGACGAACGGTCAAACATGTATTTAAAAAATCAACGGCGTTAAACATTTCGAAACGGAGGGAGTATTACATATATGAAAGAGGGTTGGAAAAACAACTTTTCCAGCGGAAGACCACCGGACGTTCTCGCGGTCTCATCTTTTCTATCTAGAGTGTTGCGTCTTCAATGCACAAATGAGTAGGGTTCGTTGTATAGATGGAGCTTCTTCGATGAAGAAGCAGGGTTCAATTTATCATTTTCGGTACTGTATCGGATATTTCCGAAATTTCAATTAGTTGGAAATTAGTCATAACTCGGTATATTTTAATCCAAAAATATAGCTGTCGATGAAATGGGAATGGGGTCCCCATTTCCCCGTCAAAATAATTAACCAAACACCAAAGCATTTCTGAAGAGGGAGCTAAACCAAAAGGACGCGATCATAGGCCCTGGTCTTGGGAGCCTGGGACCGTCTACCGTTGCTCGGGGGCTGCCTAGGCCCCCAAGTTTGCATCCTGGGGAGTTGGGGGAATAGCTCTGAGATAGCCACAAACTCTGGGTCCCGGACTAACTTGGGCCCGGGCACCCCGGGAGCCCGGGCACGAGCTGAATCTGTCCAGGCAAGTTAGCGGTTCTCTCTCTCTCTCTCGGTTTACCTCTACTACCCCTTAACAAGGACGTCTTCTCAAGTTACGTGGTGAAGACAACCACGGCCTCGGCATGGCCAGGGCCCGGGCTGCCTTCGCCCCCGGTAGAAATCGCCCCTCCTTATCCTCGAAGGAAGAGCATGGAAGCTTACCAGGGAAGTAACACAGAGATATTCATCTGGTTGTACCTTCCTCAGTAAGATACGCCATAAATATCCTAACTACCGCCTTAAAAGATGTCAGGGGTATCACGAAGATGCCACGTAGAGAAACCATCATCCAAAACCATCAAGGGAGTCAAACTGCACTGGTTTTAATAGTTAGGGGATCGAGATATCTGGTATTGCGGTTGAATGATACGAATTATATTCAGTCACTAGTTAAGGGAGCGAAAGTGCACTTATTCCTAAATTTGTGGGGACGGAGCGCAGATCCTTCCCTGGCCTAAGCAACGTGAAGGCCCAGATAAGCTTTCTCTGGACTCTTTACTGGGCCGTATATGGGAATTTCAGGCTCCGGTACAAAACACAATTTTGAGCCCCACAAAAATAAAGAGACAAAAATAAATTAGTAGTGGAGCTCTATTTAAGTCGAAAGAAGATTTTTAAAATGAATGTTACAAAAATATTATGTCATGATGTAGTGATTTAATTTTATTAAATAGAAAAATGGAATATTTAATACCTAGAATGCACGTTTATATCATCGTCATGAGCTATAGCACTTTGATTTGGTTTTGATTGCCATCGAATACTTATCGGAGCTAAAGAATAAACAAACCCGTTCTAGCCAAATCAACAAATGAGTAAGAGTGAGACTTTGTAAAAAATGAAATACATTGGCATAGATTAAAATATAAAAAATTTAGGCCCCCTAATTTTTGGGATCCTGTTCGGTCGCTCATTTGGCACGTCCTCATCGACGGCCCTGGCTCTTTGTAGTATAAGCCCACATAACTTCTCAATCACAAAGTGGGAGTGTATATTCATCTTAAATTCTCGATCCCAAACTGAGTTTTTTTCTTACACTAGTTCATAAGGTTATGCTTGCTTATTACTAATCAAACGCAACAAAATATACTAATTATTCCTAATCAATCCTAATCTTAAAATGATAATCACTAATTAGTAGTTGCTAATGATCTCTGCTAGCACAGATGGATGGTCTCATCCGGCCAAATTGGCTGGATACACCCATCCAATATCTTAGAGGATTATTCTTCGGGTGGCTGCTCCATCCATCTCACCCGTGAACCAAACAGCATAAAATACTTGACGGCCATATTTCATCAACCCTGATCCACTCAACCAAACACATCCTTAACTTTAACATTGCAGGGAATAAATTTTGGATGCACACTATCACTTGTGAACTAGACATAGTAAAGAGAAATGGAATCTATCAGTAATCAGGGCACTAGGGATAGAGATACATGCAAGTGAGTACCGCTACTGGACTGTAATGGACAGAAATAAACCACATTAACTCGCTATGTACATACAATGTATGTTTACTGATAATCACGGAAGCATTTGTAACCTTCCAAGAATCTTCTGTATTGAACAATAATCATTTTTATAGTGACTTCCTGAAAGTGAAACTACTTGTCTGTAGCAGCTATACCTGCATTAATCTTTCAGTTACTGATGATATCTGAAGATTGTCTTTGTCATGGCTGTGCACTCCATCTCCACTGGTGGATTGTTCAGAAACCAGAAACTATGGACAAAGAAGTAATAATAAGCATCAAGAAGTCAAGAACGACAATGACCAGTCTGCAGCAGGCGATGGAACTATTCCCTTAAAAAGTGGAAACACTTTGTACATTGCTGCCATTCTATACGACAAAATAAAATATTCTGGATTTTTTCTCACCCAAATACTGCAAGAAAACAGCAGAAAAACTCTGCAGATTCTACCAGAGTTGCAGTTCTGAACGCATGAGGACCAAAGATGCGAAAAATTCAGTATGCATGACTTAGGCTGTGTTTAGATCCAAAGTTTGGATCCAAACTTCAGTCCTTTTCCATCACATCAACCTGTCATACACACACAACTTTTCAGTCACATCATTTTCAATTTCAACCAAAATCAAAACTTTGCACTGAACTAAACACAGTCTTAGCTACTTATTTTGTAATCACTATGGCTATGTTTAGATCCAAAGTTTGGATCCAAACTTCAGTCCTTTTTCATCACATCAACCTGTCATACACACAACTTTTCAGTCACATCATCTCAAATTTCAACCAAAATCTAAACTTTGCGCTGAACTAAACACAGCCTATGTCAAGCCTGTCACTGCAAACTGTAGAAAGCACAATTGTCTACTATTACATATTTCCATTTGATGGACAAGGGACAAGAGTTGTTGCTTGTTGGTAGCACATTATAACTATAGTGTAGGCAGCTAAACAACAGTATTAAAAGTCCATAGGATCATCTGAATAACAGCCTGCACTTACCAATTACCATCTCCCATGAAACTAGCACATGATGAAAATAAACTGACCTGTGATATCTCACTGCACACCTAGCTTAGCTACTTACCAATTGCAATTAATCAATCACTCAACTTTCACTTAGGACAACCCTGCCAAATAGCAATGCAACTAGCAGCCAAGTTTACCAAACAAATTGAGACACAGGTTAATCAAAAGACCAGAAAGTAAGCAAAGACTCCACATGTACACCAATCATGCCCCATGTACTGTAAAGACATAATCTGCATCACTAAGATCGATCAAATCACACCCCAAGTCCAGGCACAGACATGATCTAGCAACAATGCCTGTTGCTAACCCAACCCAACCCAAGCATGCCATTGACAGCATAATTAACACCCAACCACAATCACTACCTGCATCCATGCACACTAATCTTTTCCTTGTGCTCTGAAATGATCAGTGGCACAGCTTAGCTCTGAATCTCTGATCAATGTGCGTGTTTACTCAGGCGCCGGCAAAGTGCACGGCCAAAGTGAAGCTAGCAAACGCATGCTTCACCAACCAAAGCCATGATGATGAGAAAACGGCCATCTATCCATCCAGCCTTTGGAACTCCGCAACGTCCTTCCATCATTCCCCCCAATCTATCTGTCAACATATCCTCTACTATTCAATGCAGTAGTGGTACTTGTATGCAATGCACAACACTTGAACTCAACACATTCCTTTGCTTCCCTTCTACTCCCCTCATAGGCACACACAATATCTTTGGTTTTCTCTCTCTAGGTAGCCTCTCCCTCTACTAACAATTGAGTTGCATTGACACAATTGGGGGGCCCCTATTTAATGAAGACCCCCACTATTATGCAACTCCACACATAACCACTTCCTCACTAGCATGGCAAAGGGGAGAGGATCATCATCCATCACTACTATACTAGCATGCACGCACGCCTCACTACATTTTCAATATCCAAGGTGGCCACTTTCAAGGGCTCAAACTCGCTTTCAAGGTGATGTTTGTCACTCGCGCGCCATCAGTGTTAAAAATAAAGTAAAGGTGGATTTTTGTTCGAGGAATATTTTTTTTATGGGTGGCGAATGTTTCCCAAAAACAATCTTGAATTTAAAAGAAAAAATCTTTAGAATCGAAGGGAAAAAATTAGGGGACATCCAAATTTAAGGAAGAATTTTCTTAGTTATCTTTTTTTCTCATTTAAATTGCTCACCCTGACCAAAAGAATTGATGATAAAGGTTTGAAAAAAAAGTAAAGGAAAAAAATGAAGATTTCCTCTGATATTCCCCATTTGAGAGGACTGAACAACAATTATAATTAATCTCCCGAAATCAAAATAGTAAACCATGAGTAAAAAAAGGATACATATGACTAGTCGTCCGATGAAAAACAGACGGCCCTGATAACACATAGAATAAGTAATTGTATTTCTCACCTAATGTTTTGACAATTTCCCTAAGCCAGATAAAACACTTAAAAATTGTTGACAAATATATTGTCATTGATCTAGAGTCCACCCTGAATTCCATAAAACCATCAGATGCCTCACATGGCAACCTAAGCTAGCTGCCAACATCAGCAGATCTGCTTCTTATAACCTTCCCCAACCTCTCCTCCCCTTCCTCTACTCTTCCATTTAAGTACTCCATGTTTCAGTTAGTGCTAGTCTGTTACTAGTGTTAGTGTTAGCCTCTCTCCCTCCCTCTCACACACTGTTCACTAACCCAATCACTAGGCAGCTCAGCTCAGCTCATTTCATTCTGAGTCTCAGCTCAGCTCAAGCAAAGTAAGCAAGAAGATTAGAAGAAGAGGAGGAAAAATTAATTGGGGTGAGTTTGATGACGACGCTACCCACCGCGATTCTACTCCTCCTCCTCCTCCTCGCGCTGCCGCCGCCGTCCGCCGTCGTCGCGCTCACCGCCGACGGCCTCGCGCTGCTGGCGCTCAAGGCGGCGGTCACCGACGACCCGCTGTCGGTGCTGTCGTCGTGGTCGGAGTCCGACCCCGACCCCTGCCGGTGGCCCGGGGTGACGTGCTCCAACGTGACGGCGGCGGGCGGCGAGCCGCGGCGGCGGGTGGTCGGGGTGGCGCTCGCCGGGAAGAACCTGTCCGGGTACATCCCGTCGGAGCTCGGCTCGCTGCTGTTCCTCCGGCGGCTGAACCTGCACGACAACCGGCTCGCCGGCGGCGTCCCGGCGGCGCTGTCGAACGCGTCGTCGCTGCACTCGCTGTTCCTCTACGGGAACCGGCTCACCGGCGCCCTCCCCGCCGCGCTCTGCGACATCCCGCGGCTGCAGAACCTCGACGTGTCGAGGAACGCGCTGTCCGGGGGGCTCCCCGGCGACCTCCGGAACTGCCGGAGCCTGCAGCGGCTCATCCTCGCCGGGAACTCGTTCTCCGGCGAGGTGCCGGCGGGGATCTGGGCCGAGATGGCCAGCCTCCAGCAGCTGGACATTTCGTCGAACGGGTTCAATGGCTCCATCCCGGCCGACCTCGGCGAGCTCCCGAGGCTCGCCGGCACGCTCAACCTGTCGCACAACCGGTTCTCCGGCGTCGTCCCGCCGGAGCTGGGGCGGCTGCCGGCGACCGTCACGCTCGACCTCCGCTTCAACAACCTCTCCGGCGCCATCCCGCAGACGGGCTCGCTCGCCAGCCAGGGCCCAACCTCCTTCCTCAACAACCCCGGCCTCTGCGGCTTCCCTCTCCAGGTCCCCTGCCGCGCCGTCCCGCCGCCGACGCAGTCGCCACCGGCACCGACGACCACGACGACCACGACCACCCCATCGTCGGCTTCCGCCGCCGCCGCGGCGGCATCGGAACACCACCAACCGATCAGGACCAGCCTGATCGCCCTCATCTCCATCGCCGACGCCGCCGGCGTCGCCCTCGTCGGCGTCATCCTAGTCTACGTCTACTGGAAGGTCAAGGATCGCAAGAAACAAGGCCGCTCCTCCACCGTCGCCGCCGGTGACGAGAACGAAAGCCGCCACGGGCTCTGCCGCTGCATATGGGGTCACCGGGGCGTCGACTCCGACACCGACACCGACGACTCGTCGGCGTCGGAGAACGGCGGCGGCGGAGGGAAGTACGGCGAGGGGGAGCTGGTGGCGATCGACAGGGGGTTCAGGGTGGAGCTGGACGAGCTGCTCCGGTCGTCGGCGTACGTGCTGGGGAAGGGAGGGAAGGGGATCGTGTACAAGGTGGTGGTCGGCAACGGCGCGACGCCGGTGGCGGTGCGGCGGCTGGGCGGCGGCGGTGGAGGCGGGGAGCGGTGCAAGGAGTTCGCGGCGGAGGCGCGGGCTGTGGGGCGGGCGCGCCACCCCAACGTGGTGCGGCTGCGCGCGTACTACTGGTCCGCCGACGAGAAGCTCGTCGTCACCGACTTCGTCGGCAACGGCAACCTCGCCGCCGCGATGCGTGGTAAACACTCTCTCTGATGACACTTACTGCTAAACTAATTTACTCCGTACTACTACCCCTCCTTTGTTTTTCTTTTTTTTTTCAAAGTCCTTTAATTTTGAAAGTTTGAAAAAAAAACTTAAAAACATCTAAAACACAAAATTGGTTTCATTAAATACAATTTTGAATATATTTTTAATATATGTTTTGTATGGAAATATTATTGTATTTTTTTTCTATAAGTTTGATTAAACTTAAAAAAAAGTCAAAACAACTTATAATATAAAACGGATAGAGTATTAAACAGAGCATATCGATGGCTAACACTCTTGATGGCTAACACTCTTGGATATTCATAAGCCACTCCGAAAACTTAAATTTTAAAATTTTTATGTAGTTTATTTTTGAGTATTTGTTTTTACGCCGATAATAAAAAAATATGTAAAGATTTTATTTATATATTATTTTTTAAGTTGTTTATATAGTGGTAAGCGAAACTGGGGGCGTCTTTAATTTTAGTAAGAATCGAGAATTGTTGGTTTTTCTCTTTTTTGACAAAATTTTGTCGAGATTTTGACGTTGGTTTTATTAGATTGGATGGAACATTGTCTTGCGTTAGTTGTTGCATACAGTGTACTTATTTTGGAACGTTGCTATCGGAGTGGCATGGTAGTTGCAGTACCATGATTGATTTGCATTCGACGAGATCACCCGAGAGCCAAAACATTTTGATTAGGAAAATGTGGGTTTATCTGCCTGATTAGACAGTCAAATAGTTTGTGACACTATCAATAAAATCTAGGAACATTGGCTTAGGAAAATGTCGCCATCACATACCCTTTTTATTTTTTTTTCTTTTGTCGATTACACACCTCACAGTTCTTGATAATACTACTACGTGTATAGTAGAAGTACATTAGTAACTATCAATAGTCGGTTTTGTTTTATGTAGCGTTCTGGTTGTCTACTGCGTGCTTTATTTTTGTTTTGTTTTGGAGTTCTTTAATTGAGATGTCGTATACTCGTATGTAGCCACATGTACTTAATGCGTTCTGTTTGGCAGCACGTCCGCAGGCACAGTTTGATTTGTAAATTCTGCGAAAACTAGGAGAACTAAGGGCTTATTTGGTTAGTAGTATTTTCAAATCAAAGTAATAGGAAAAGTAAAAGATTAGGATGTCTTATGCACTCTATTTCTTAGAAATTTCTTCAAGAGGTCTCACCTTATACTAAGAATCCTATGAAATTAGCTTGCAAGACTATAATCCTTAGGAATTTGGTATGATATATTCCTGTAAAACGAACGATGAATATAGAAAAAAAATCCTAAGGATTCAATTCTTACAATAATGCATTGAAAATCATCAAAGTCGAATGAGTCCTAACTTGGTAAATCCATTAAGACTTGCTAAAATCCTAGAAGTAAAATTGGATAAAAAATTCCCCAATCCAAGTAGGGCTAAGTGTGCTGTACAATAACAGACAGCAAGCAACTTGTAAGTCAGAAAGGAGTCCGTGCAACGGAAGCGTGTCAAGGAGTACAACTCCAGCACAGAATAATTTAGTCTTACATACATGAAATGAAATGGATGGATCGATCTCATCTCCAATCATGGGGAGGAATTACCAAAAGGCAAATGCTTTCAGACAAAATCTGGAGCGAGACTGGTCCTTGGTCCTCCTACAAGGTTCCAAACAATGGCAGAAGAAAGGCACACCGGCTTGTCTCCCTGGCTGGACCACACCCTGCGTCCATGGGCATATCACTCGGAAGAATTGTCCTTAGTCCTATCCAGGCTTCGCAAAACCGAGGGTTCGTAAAACCGATGTCAGCCTCTCGGCTAGGTAAACCAGTCAAATTCAAATAATCAAACTGAATTTCAAATTTTCAATGAAATTCGCCTGGATTTTATTGGTTCAATTAATGGTTTTGCGTAAACAGCTATTTTCGATCAGCGGACGGTTTTTCGACCTTCTCATTTTTGGCCTTCCTACTATTCTTGCTATGTTCTTGGGAAAATTAATGGCTTTTTTTTCGTTGAGTTAAGTGGAGATTCATTGAGTCAAACAGTTTGATTAGTGAAAGTAAGTTAACACCTTAGACAGCCAAAGTATCGATCTCTTCTGACCTTTTGAATTGCATACACCGTCTAGTTTAAAGCTAAAAGATTAATACGATAGAGAAGGATGTACAATTTACTTATAAGCTTACCATATTCTCAAGAAAATTAATGGCAAAATTATTTTGTCAAGTTAGTTGGAGATTCACTGAGTCAAACAGTTTGACCAATGAAGTAAGTTAACACCTTAGATAAATATGAAGTACCAACCTCTTCTCATCTTCTAGGTACGTTGCACTTGCACACCCCGTTCAGTTTAAAACTGAAAGAGTAAATTGATAGAGAAGGACGGGCAGTTTATTTACCGGGTTGTTTGGTTGGAGGATTGCTGCTATCCATTGTAGACTGGACGGCGTGGTCCAATTATTTTGGAGGAATGAATCCATCCTCCTTATTAAGCTTGAGAATGTGATATGCTTTAATGTGTACGATAGCATCTCGTCGTCTACCTATTGCCTTATCATTTTTCAACCAAAATTTATTTTGAATTTTAGAACTTAAAATTTTGAGTTGGTTTTGAGGTGTTTTCTTTGTATTTTATTTTCTGGCATTGATTTTTAAACAGCTAAAAACACTAACATAAACGTTTTTATCATAAACTATTTTTACTGCTTAGTTCATTTTTCCCCGGCTTGTCAACCATAGATAAAACAATTAGAGATTAGACAGTTAGAACAATGAATTGATTTTAACTCCAAAAAATCCAATGTGATGGAAGTAGCATGAGGAGCAGCTGTAACCTGCATAAAGTTGGTGCGCATAGACCAGGAATATACTTTACTTCTTCTCTTTGAATAAAAAATAATTATCACTAAGCATCATTCGACAAGCTAGGTGCATTAAAATATATGGAACCAAGTCACACATTTATGCTCTGTAGTACTGTTTCATAGCATGAGAGGGGAAAAAGAGGGTGAAAGAGTACCCTTCTTTGTGAAAGTTTAATGTTTAGAAGAATCTTTACATCAAATCATATCAAGCTCCAAAGTTGTCTGTCTTACTGTCTTTACATAAGCACAATGCTGACAAACCAAAGTGAATTAAAAGGCTGAGAAATAGAAGGAGCCTTTCCAGCCCCTCCAGAATAAACAGGGGAAGACAGACAGAAAGACCTTTTCAGGCCTGAAACCTTTGTCACTGTCATGCCCTAACAGCATGCATCTCCTGGTCACTAATCTATCATTAGAGACTACCATTAAAGCTGTCCCTGGGAGCCAAAGGCAAAAAGACTAAAAAGTGAAAAATGAGGTGATAATTGCATAATCAGAGTGCCTTTTCTGTTGTGCTCAATGACAATGTAGAACTGGCTGGTGAGGCTGGTGTTTTGGCAGGTGTTGTGGTTTTAGGCTTGAAAGGACAAAGGTTGACAGCCTTTAATGATGGAAGAGAAAATTAAGAAATTCTCTAGGAGCTGCTAACAACAAACTGTTTGGTGTCTACTAATTTAGTTAGCATAGAAAGCCAGAAAATTTTCAGTATATTACACAAGTATCACCATAAAAAAATATTTTTATCACTATGTGTGTATACATGTCACTTCATTCTATTTATCTATGTAGGAGTAACATAGAAACAAATGCATTGATCTAAGTGAGTTGCTATCTAGTTTTATCTGGTTCAACCTAATTGGCAGGAGGATTTCTGCTCTATAAATATATAAGGCAAAACCTCTTGCCTTTCCTTAAAAAAAAAAAAACCTGAATGGGAGGGATCACGGTTGTAGTCATATTTTTTACAGTTAGCGACCAGTTCCTCTATAATATTATCTGAACCGTGAGAACCACTTATATGTGGGCCTCATTTTCCTCCAGATTCATACACCAGAGACTTTTAATACTCTTGTAGAGTCGCACAACTGCAGAGGATCCACCTCCTACGGTTAATGGTTAGTACTCTTATGTCTCCTCTGTCTGGGGCCTGGGACATGTTGAATCCAATCAAACACAGTGACAATGGGTTGCTTCTGTCTGGGGGGAACAAGAACAGTCACCAGGCAGGAGTGCAGTGCTGCCCTGCCATTGCACTTGCCACTCCATCATGTGTCTGCTGAAAGCCTGAAACTTCAAGGCATTTCTTGATCTGGTCCTGCAGACACATTGCTCTGCTAGTTAATCGGTCATTAAAATTCTGGGCACTTAGCTGGAGAGCTAATAAACGTGGGGGCGATCCATAATTCCATTTCCATATGCTGCTTGAGGATTTGAGTGCACGTGAGTATTGGGATCTTATTGTGAGCTAAGGCTAAGCTGCCGTCCGGCTTTGCACATGCGTCGTTGCAAATTGTATTTGGGTAATCATGTGGCTGGTAGAAAATAATGATGATTCTTGTTTAGATTGTTATCCTGTTTATTGTCCTAGTTAAAATTTGGTGCATGTTATATTACTCTTAGCTGTTCATAGTATTTTGTACTTGCTATGTTTTTTTATAACGTTGGTTAGTTACTTATATATATATATATATATATATATATATATATATATATATATATATATATATATATATATATATATATATATATATATTAGATGGAGGTAGTAGTATTTTTTTTATGGGGACATAAGTAACAAATTTGCTGACCTGAGAGGCCATGTGCAGTTTTGTCGGCTTAAAATCGAGTGAAATTTCTATGGAACTCCTTCCGTTTCATGCAACTTATTTCTAGTCAAATATTTTTATGTTTAATTAAATTTATAGAAAAATTAAACATCTATAATACAAAATTAGTTTCTTTTGTGAACGCAAAAAATACAAAATTAGTTTCATTATATCTGTATTGGATATATTATAATAATGTGTTTGTTTTATGTTAAAATTCTACTATATTTTTTCAATATCAAATTTAAAAAAAATTGATTAGAAAAAAGACTAATACGACTTATAATATAAAACAGATGGAGTATGTTGTATGCCACTTTAATCTTCTAACACAGTAGTAAAAAAAAAGTGTAAAAACCAGTATAAAAAAATCCCCATATGCAAATTGATCGTTGACTCATGTACTCGTTGACTTTTCCCCAGGTCGTCCGGGTCAAACACCCCTGTCGTGGTCAACGCGGCTGAAGATCGCGAGGGGCGCGGCGCGCGGCCTCGCGTACCTCCACGAGTGCAGCCCGCGGCGGTTCGTCCACGGCGAGGTCAAGCCGTCCAACATCCTCCTCGACGCCGACTTCACCCCGCGCGTCGCCGACTTCGGCCTCGCCCGCCTCCTCGCCGTCGCCGGATGCGCCGACGACGTCGTCGACGCGCCCCCGGCGGCGCCGTCGTCGGGCGGCCTGCTCGGCGGCGCCATACCGTACGCGGCGAAGCCGGCGTCGTCCGTGGCGGCGGATCACCGCGGCGGCGGGTACCGCGCGCCCGAGGCGCGGACGGCGGGGGCGCGGCCGGCGCAGAAGTGGGACGTGTTCTCGTTCGGCGTGGTGCTGATGGAGCTCCTGACGGGGCGCGGCCCCGGCGACCACGCGTCGCCGTCGACATCGGCGTCGTTCTCGGCGCCGTCGTCGTCGTCGGCGGCGACGACGGACCGGTCAGGGAGCGGCGAGCACGGGCACGGCGCCGGCGTCGGCGGCGCAGTGGTGCCGGAGGTGGTGCGGTGGGTGCGGCGCGGGTTCGAGGAGGAGGCGCGGCCGGTGTCGGAGATGGTGGACCCGGCGCTGCTCCGGGACGCGCCGCCGCTGCCGAAGAAGGAGGTGGTGGCGGCGTTCCACCTCGCGCTCGCCTGCACCGAGCTCGACGCCGACCTCCGCCCCAGGATGAAGGCCGTCGCCGACACCCTCGACAAGATCGCCTCCTCATGATCGATCGATCGAGCGAGCTACCAACCGATGCAGATCAGAGCTCCATTGCGAAATCTTCTTCTTCTTCTTCTTCTTCTTCTTCTTCTTCTTCTTCTTCTTCTTCTTCTTCTTCTTCTTCTTCTTCTTCTTTCTTGCGCAAAATGTGAATTGATCATCACAAGATCATGCTTGTCCGAGAAATCATTTTCTTTCTCCTTTTTTTGGGTTCTTGGAAATATTTTTCCGAGCTTTTTTTTTCTTGAAACTTGTAAGTGGTGGTTTTTTTGGGTGGCTGCTATTCTTTTGGATGGAATTGATCAAATCATTTTGAGATGATATATATATATAGGGTATATAGGAGGGAAGTAGATAATCAAGTTGTTTGTTGTAAGTTCTATACTGTTGTGCTGTTTGTTCATTGAAAAGTTACATGTGAAATATCGAGGGGGAATATATACGCCGGTTTAATTTGGAGTCCGGGTTTGCGAGGAACAAGCTCCTAATACCCTTTTAATAACCATCACAATTTGTTAAAAAAACATGCTTTAAGACACATTTTGATTTAGATTATTTGATGGATTATCACCATGGATTATAGAAATAAATTAATTGTTTAAAAAACTAAACTTAACTAACATTTTAAGATAAGTGTTCTAAGCAATACATCATAATAAAATATTTTTTTAAAGAAAATATATTTTTTCGAAGCGTGTACCAAATAATTCGGTGAAGAATAAGCGCATTTAAGTTAACTAAGGGTGTGTTCGGCACCCATTTTCCCAACCCCTCTCCTCGTTTTCCGCACGCACGCTTTTCAAACTGCTTAACGGTGCGTTTTTTTGCAAAAAAGTTTCTATACGAAAGTTGCTTAAAAAAATCAAATTAATCTATTTTTTTTAAAAAAGCTAATACTTAATTAATCACGCGCTAATAGATCGCTCTATTTTCCGTGCGGGAGGGATTAGTTCCCATTCCCTGAAACCGAACACAGCCTAACCTAGCATCACTTTCCGATCCATCTAATCACCCATTGACCTATGTCGGAGCACGAGCTCCTCTAGTGGGAAGGTTAGGTACCCTCCCTTGGAGATTCGGCCAAGGTACGGGCACAATCTGTGGATTGCGATTCGGCCAAGGTTGGGTACCCTCCCTTGGAGATTCGACCGAGATCGCGATCGCATGTCCATAGATTGCGCTTGCGATTCACAACTCCTGTCTCCTGGTAGCTATGTACCCTCTTAGGCTGAGTTCGTTAGTGGGGGATGGGAACTAATCCCTTTGGCACCTAAAACGGAGCGACTCGTTAGCGCATGATTAATTAAGTATTAATCATTTTTAAAGAAAAAAGATTAATAGTATTTTAAAAACGACTTTCACATAGGAAATTTTTGCAAAAAAACATGTCGTTTTGCAGTTTGAGAAATGTGAGCGTGGAAAACGAGAGAGCTGAGTTGGGAAAGGTGGGGGAAGAACACATCCTGATAGTTTATGTTTTTATGGATACAATTGCATTTTGTATATAACTCATGGTTTCTATTTTCATATAATCATATTTCATATACAACTCTTGGTTTTTATCTTCATACTAGAAAAAATACCCGTGTGTAGCAACGCTATTTTAATTTTATTATTATACGGTTTAGTTAAGGTGAAATTCACTATGAGAATTCGCTTGGATATATATTTTTTTCTAGAAAATCATGAGCTGCGGTTAGGAGTCTGATCATTTCAAGTTAGCATGTAAGTTAATTTTTTAAAGATATTTCTTATACGGCTGCTCCTATATTTCCAAAAGCGAACGGACTTAAATCCCGACTCAAATACATATTTTTATTTCTAAAAGCGAACGAACTTAAAAACCGACTCATACACGAATGATGTACCAAAGTACTAGCAAAAACATCTTCAATCTTTATAATAGTTTCACTGTGAGAATTCGCTTGGATATATATTTTTTTTCTAGAAAACTATGAGCTACAATTAGAAGTCTGATCATCTCAAGATAGCATGCAAGTTTTTTTTAAAGAGATTTCTTATATGACTCAGATTTAAAACCCGACTCAAATAAAGATCTGTATTTTCAAAAGTGAACGAACATAAAAAAAACCGACTCATACACGGATGACGTACCAAAATACCGACAATTTTTTTTTTCAATTTTTATAATAGTAGAAATAGAGATAGGTAGGTGTAATCTTACGTTTTGTCAATAAATTGTAAAGGTGAAATTTGATTCGTTATATACATTTTTTTCACTTCTATTTCCATCACAGACACAAACTGTATTTTGTATATAACTAATCTTAATAAATCTACGCCGATCATAATACGTAAACACCATGATCAAATACCATGCCGAATACACTTGCAAAACAGAAATTCTGATGCCAGTATACAAAAACTTTTACCTTGTAGAATTAGATTCGATATAGGAGTATATATTTTTGTCTTCTATTTCCACCACAGACATAAACTCTATTTTGTATACAACTAATTTCAATCAATCGACATGGTTTAAACCACGGGCACCGTGATGTAATAGTAATACCACGCCGAATACACTTGCAAAACCGAAATTCTCATGCCAGTATAAAAAAACCGAATACAGTACTAGGCTACTAGCTAGTGCAGTAGTCATAGTCAGTCAGGGTTCACAAAATCCAAAAATTGATCGGTTTTCATGAAACCGCTGGTTAGGGCATTTGTAGTGTTGGTTCGGTAAGTCCGGTTCACAGAAGTCGAATAAACATTTGATTCGACCCCTACAGCGTTAAAATCGATTTTGGGTGGGACCCATGAAAAAAAAAAATAATCCCACCTTTCCCTTCCCCCTCACAACCTGTAGCAACAAGTAATTTTTTATCATCAATGTCGACTTCTGTTTTGAAGTCGCTTTTTCATCTGACACATACGGTTCGCTTCCCACAGTGTGCATAGTTCGGTTTTTTCATGTTAAAATCGATTTTAGGTGCACACTGGAGCTGCTCTTATCAATTTGGGAAAACTGACTGGTATTACTCGGTTTTTATATCGTCTTAATCGAAAGTCACCAATTTTTATCTATTCTTTTGCTGGTTTTTGATAAACCGAAAATGAAAAGGTAAACCTGATAGTAGATCCTAGTTCTACTTCGAAAAAGAAAAGAAAAGAAAAAAGAAGTCCGACTCGTAGTCGTAGCCCACCACCTTTTCAACGGCCCACCCACAGATCACCAAGCCACAATCGCCCACACACAAATACTCCCCCACCAACCTCCTCCTCCGCCGCCGCCGCCGCCGCCTCCCCTCTCGCCTCGCCGCGCTTAAACCCTCGCCGCCTTCCCGCTCCGAACGCCCCTCCCTTCGCCGCCGCCCCCGACCATGGCGCACGCCCTCGGCTGCGGCGCCGCCACCGCCCCCGCCGGTGAGCTAGATCTTCTTCTTCTTCTTCTTCTTTTACTGTAACGATGTGTTGGGTTTTTTGTTTTTACTCGTTCTGATTGGTTTTTGCGGCGGTGGATCGATGGATGGCTTTGGCTGTGCAGGGGTGGGTCTCCTCCACCACCACGAGAAGGCTGGGGCGTTGTTCAGTGCCGCAGGCTCCATCGTTCGGGTTCAGCAGCTCAGCGGGAAGGGGAGCAAAAGCCAAGGTATATGACTGTTCATGCCCTTGTGGATGATGATGTATCGTCTCTTGTTATGTACCTGTATGTGCAATGTAGGACATGTTATTGGTTACATCTGTTCGCGCTAGATTAATTACTTGTGTTACTAATGTGGACCTGTTTAGTACAAGCATGTGATCTGTGAAGCTATGCTTTCTGGTTCGATCAGTTCTTGTGATGTGCTAATGAGAAAATCAATTGATTTAGAGAACCTCCTCTTTCTTCCTTGGACTTAACCACATTGGTTCAAACGCTCTTAATTGCACACACACAAAAAGCTGTTAGGACATGACTATGAAATCACTTATACAGCCAATTTGATGTCCTCTTGTTTGGCTTAATCTAGTTTTACACATCTTTCTGTGAGCAGTTAAAAAGAGATTGGTTCATCTTGTTTGGTTTAATCTAGTTTCAGGATTGTACATGAACTTTTATGATAGCATACTGCTTGCAATAGGGAATTTTATGGCTTATGCCTATGTTAATTCTGTTCATCTTTGTCTATAGTTGTTAGCATGTTGCGTTCAATGAATGATAATCCTTTGTCAAAATGTGCAGCTATAAGATGTGCAATGCCAAGTGCAAGTGAGCATGGTGGAATTTCAACCGCAACAGCTAGTAGTAGTGATCAAAAGAAAGGTGGACTGCGTGGCAAACTGAATAAAGTTGTTCTAGCTTACAGTGGTGGTTTGGATACATCAGTTATTGTTCCATGGCTCCGGTATATATATTCTTCTTGTTTTAATACCAATTTGTACAATCCTATGTTCTATATTAATTTGACTCATGCAAACTATGCCATTTGCTTGTTTGATTGAAGGGAGAACTATGGTTGTGAAGTTGTCTGTTTCACTGCTGATGTTGGCCAGGTATGTTGTTCATTACTCGTGTAATTATCAAGCCTGCATTATTTTCTTTTAGTTTGTAATGTCATGTGAACCACAACTTCCTGCTGCATTACCGAAGACGTTCATAATGTTTTTCTCTGCTTGCTCTCACCAGTATCTCTGTTACCTAGTAGAGTAGTACTTTAGTTATTCTTTTGGCTGTTACATTATTTTTTACCATATGACCTTTTGCTTTATAAATTTCATGATTTGGGGGGTTCCTAGGTCTTCTACTGGTATATTTCTTTTGTTGACAATAATCAAACAAAGTTGCATTATAGTTTGAAACTTTCTTACTTCTTTTCAGTTAACCATAACTTCGATTCATATACCTTTGCAGGGTGACATTGAATTGGAAGGGCTAGAGAAGAAGGCAAAAGCTAGTGGTGCAAGCCAGCTTGTTGTGAAGGACTTGAAAGAAGAGTTCGTTAGTGAATACATTTACCCCTGCTTGCGTGCTGGTGCAGTTTATGAAAGAAAGTATCTGCTGGGGACTTCAATGGCTAGGCCTGTTATTGCCAAGGTGAATAGTTGCTCTATCTGTAATCCCCTAGAACTTTAGTAATATATATTTTCCTTAAAGGTAATATTTTAAATACATCTTTTGCCCAGCTTTATCAGGAGCATGCTCATAAGTAACATGAGAAACAGTGGGATAAATCTATGGCAAAAGATAAATTTCCTGATAACTTTAGTAATAGCGTTAATAAATAACACTATGCTGATAACTTTTCCTGGGCTTCTATGGGAATTGAATGGTCTCCTGTCAAATTTCTTTGTTATATGTGAGATAGGATCTATAAGGATTGTAGGACCCTACCTTTAATATACAATTGAGTAATTATCACAAATGGTTAATAATAAAAACATGGAAATGATGTGCTTGAAGTAACATCAGAAATATTGCAAATCATTTATATTTGTTTATTCTGTTTGAAAACACCATATACCTCCATTGCAGGCAATGGTTGATGTTGCAAAGGAAGTTGGTGCAGATGCAGTTGCTCATGGATGCACTGGAAAAGGCAATGATCAGGTAAATACTGATGTTAATTAGAATATTAATATGGCAGTCATCTGATGCTAACCTTTTTCTGTAGGTTCGTTTTGAGCTTACATTCTATGCTTTAAACCCTGAGCTTAAAGTGGTGGCACCTTGGAGGGAGTGGGATATCACAGGACGTGAAGATGCTATTGAGTATGCAAAGAAACACAATGTGCCAATTCCTGTTACAAAGAAATCAATATACAGCCGTGATCGAAATTTGTGGCACCTTAGCCATGAGGTATTTCTGCTGTCTTTTTGACTCTTCATTCCTTCCTAGTCTTTCTGAAGATCTTTTCTATTTGATATTTTCTTCTACCCGTTTCTTACAATTGTTTATGTTTTGCTTATGCTCCAAACCTTCAAATCAATGAATTACACCATCGTATTGATATCATGATCAATCTTCTGCATCTTTTTGTAGTTAAGTACTTACATTATGTAAACATTTCAGGGTGACATTTTGGAAGATCCAGCAAATGAGCCAAAGGAAGATATGTATATGATGTCAGTTGCACCAGAAAATGCACCTTCAAAACCTGAGTAAGCGATAATCATGTCTTATATGTTTGGTACTTTACAAGTATTCTCTATGCTCTTTATGCGAAGTTCTTAAATTGCTGTCATGATTCAATATAGTATGCTTTCACGCTTAATGGTACATGGTACGGGCTATCTCAATTCTCAAGGGCCATACAGTCTTGAAGTTCGTAGTTAAGTTAGGTGGGCATTGATTGAACTTCTGTGTGAGACTGTAGAGTACTGACTAGCTAATTTTCAAGGACTATCTGAAGAGAATCACAAATTCTTGCTCAGATACCATAGTCATTTTGTTTTGCAAATTCTTGTTAGCTTGCTACAATTTTGCGTGTGCTGTTTTTCATCTTCTTGCTTGCTAAGATATATTTTTCATTCGCCCACACTAGTACACTTTTTTTTACTTGGCCCACATCTGTAGTATCTAACCTAAGCTTCATACATCCAGGTATTTGGAGATTGGTATTATTGCAGGTGTTCCTGTTTCCATCAATGGAAAAGATCTCTCACCAGCATCTCTCCTTGCCAAGCTCAATGAAATCGGTGGAAAGCATGGTATTGGGCGCATTGATATGGTGGAAAACCGCCTCGTAGGCATGAAGTCCCGTGGTGTATACGAGACCCCCGGTGGCACCATCATGGCAGCTGCTGTCCGTGAGCTCGAGTCCTTGACTTTGGACAGGGAGACAATGCAGTGGAAGGACATGCTTGCCCTCAAGTACGCCGAGCTGGTCTACGCTGGCCGTTGGTTCGACCCGCTCCGACAATCCATTGATGCGTTCATGGAGAACATTACCGCGACAACAACCGGCTCCGTGACTCTCAAGCTGTACAAGGGCTCCGTAAACGTCGCGTCCCGGAAGAGCCCATACAGCCTGTACAGGGAAGACATCTCCTCATTTGAGAATGGGGAGATCTACAACCAGGCTGATGCTGAAGGGTTCATCAGGCTATATGGTCTCCCTACCAGAGTCCGGGCAATGCTGGAGAAGGGCATCTAAGCCCCTGTTTTCTGCTTAAAATGTACTTCTGTGCTTTGGAGAAAATGTAGCACCACCTCATGCAGTGTTGCCTGCAGGTAGGCACTGAATACTTTCCGAGTTGTATTAGCGTTCGAAAGCTTAACTGCCATCTCAATTCGATTACAACTTTCGTGAAGTGTTGCATGATCATGTAATGAATAATGGGGTTGTACCTGATTTTGACTTGGTTGTCTAAATTGCAATAAGATTGTCTCATGTGGTGCCGTCGTTGTGTTATTATAAGCTCAGGAAATGCATGCGGGCATCCTATCGTATATAACCTACCGTATTATGTTCGTAAGTGTAGGTAATAGTAATTTCCTGCATTAAGGTGAACCATGTCACCTCCCAACGGCCTGATGCCGTCCCTCTGTATTCTATTTATACAATCAAATCAATTGGAAAGTGATTTATGTAAATACAATATTATTTTCATCCCATAATATAAAGTGCGCATGCATTTAACTTTAAAACATTTGATTCAAAATAGATTGAATTATATTTGCTGAAAATAATATCATTAAACTGACATTTGAATTTATTTTTATATGATTATAATTTTGTTCATATACAAGAAATTGTAAGAAAAAAAATTAGTTTTAGAGACCGTGTTAGGCTTACCCGTGGGCTTTGGCTTATATAATGGGATACAGGGAATAAATATGTTTTCAGGGTAGGGCATTAGAAGTTAACATTAATTTAGGTAAGTTCAGGAAGCTACGTGCTGCAGTTAATTAATAATTAATTAAGTTTTGTTTTGTTTCTCTGATACGTAGTAGAGTATCATCTTAGCTAAAGATATTAGACGTAGACAGGAGCCGTATTATTTCATTATTATTTTGTTGGAAATGGTTAGTGGGCTACTATTTTCTTTTGTTGGGCCGCGCCTCAGTGTGAGTTAGGCAAACAGATCCATGTCAAAAATTTTTACCCTGTCACATCGAATGTTTGAACACATACATAGAGTATTAAATATAAATAAAAAAAGTAACCAATTACACAGATTACGTATAAATTGCGAGACGAATCTTTTAAGCCTAATTACTCCATGATCTGATAATGTGGTGCTTGAAAGTGCATTAACCCCCTAGTGGGTTTTGGTGATTAATGACAAATGTGGTTAAGGGACTAATGAGTTCATTGAGTAACTTTCAGGTGCATTAGTCTAAGGTGTGGAAGATGGATGCTTGGAGACCCCCAAAAAGTACAAATTCAAAGCGGACCGGAACTCGAGAAGTGCATAGGATAGTTTATCTTTTGAAATCGAGTTTTTAGGAAAAACCGTACTATTAAGAGGGGTTCCAGGTGATGCTCTGAGATATATCAAGTGCTCTTAGTGTGAACCAAGTGTCAAGTTTCCCTAGGAGTCATTTTTGCAAATACTCCATCTGTCCAAAAGTGCAAGTCCGGAACTTCCTGTCTTCCAGGTCCGGAAGTTCCGGTCTTGTGAAAAAGTTTTTCCTAAGTGTAGTCCAGAAGTTCCTGTCTTCCAGGTCCGGAACTTCCTGTCTAGTTTCCAGTTCAAAATTGTGAGTAACGGCTAGATGACGTCACCTAGCAGTTATATATATACAGCTCGTTTCTAGCTCGTTCCTTAGCTATTCCACTTTCACTTTTCAAACCTAGAGCTGTTGCTAGCCTCTCCCAAGTGTTTCTTACCTTCTTCACTCAATCTAGAGCCTAATTCTTATGAGATAGAGAGATTGAGAGGGAGAGAAGAAGATTTGGAGAGGTGTGAAGACTAGGATCTTGGGTGAGCACTTGGAATATCTTGTGGGCTGTCATCTCGGTGCTTATTACTCTTGGAGATGATCTCCAAGACGGTTAGGTGTCGCCTGCGAGAATCCGTTGCATATTGTGGATGTCCCGGGTAAGTTTGAAGGATTTTCTCTCCTCCGAAAGGGAACGAGGTAAGTTAGTGAAGTTCTTGTGTTGAGATTCTAGAGGCTTTCCAAGTAGAGCAACCCACACTTGTGGTGGATTTCTAGAAGTAGGTTGAGTTGGATCTTGGTGGTCACTCAATTCTAGAAATTTGCGTAGAGGTGTTTGGGGTTGAAGGCTGTGGATTTCTTCTAGGGTTTTTGCACAAGTGAGGCAAGGGGTTAATCGAAACCCAGCTCTTTGGAGCCCCTCAACAGAGAGTAGGATTGCAAGATCCGAACTTCGGGAAAAAATCGCTCTCGTCTCTTTCTATGATGTTTCTGTGGATGATTCTGTGATATATCCTCTGCTTAGAATACCTGTGCACCATCTTGTGAAGATTGGCTTAGTCTCCTGTTTCCAAATTTGAATTTCATCTCTGTTCTGTTACCCGGAAGTTCCTGTCTTAGAACACCGGAAGTTCTGGGCCTGGGAGACCGGAAGTTCCGGAGTTCCTTACCAGGAAGTTCCGGGTCTATTTGAATTTTACCGCTGCGATTTGTTTTTAAGTTTTTAGGGACAGCCTATTCACCCCCCCTCTAGGCTTCATCAGCGCGTTCAATTGGTATCAGAGCAAGGTGCTTTTGATTCAAGCTTCACCGCTTTGAGTGATCCACGATGTCGGACTTAGGGGGAAAGAACGGGGAAAATGGAAATGAAGATGGAGCAAGCAGCAAGGGAACTCCATCACCCAAGGGAGCTACTATACCTTTTGATTACAGCAAACTTACCATTCCCCCTCACAACTTTGTCTCCGTGCCTTCCGGGCGTGCTCCTCAATTTGATGGGACACATTACGCCGCTTGGAAGCACAAGATGAAGTTGCATCTAATCTCTTTGCATCCAAGTATTTGGAAAGTTGTTTGTACAGGTGTTGATGTACCCCATGATGACATGAAGCTCACTTTGGAGCAAGAGCAACTCATCCACCGCAATGCTCAAGCTTCCAATGCAAATTCTCTCCGCCTTGAGTCCGGAGGAGTTCAACAAGGTTGATGGGCTTGAGGAGGCCAAGGAGATATGGGATACTTTGCAATTGGTTCATGAGGGATCACCCGCCGTTCGTGAGGCCAAGATTGAATTATTGGAAGGAAGGCTTGGAAGATTTGTGATGGATGACAAAGAGACACCACAAGAGATGTATGATAGGATGATGATCCTTGTCAACAAGATTAAATGACTTGTGAGTGAGGACATGACAAATCACTTTGTGGTCAAGAGACTTCTCCGTGCATTTGGTCCAAGAAAACCCACTCTTGTATCAATGATACGAGAAAGGAAAGACTTCAAGAGACTCACCCCAAGTGACATTCTTGGAAGAATTGTGTCTCATGAGATGTAAGAAGAGGAAGCTCATGAAGTGAGGCAAATGGTGAAGAATGCCGCCATGATCAAAAATCAAGAAGTTGCTTTGAAGGCAAAACAAGAAGAAGAGTCAAGTTGTGAAGAAAGTGAAGATGAAGAGATGGCTTTTATTGTCAAGAGATTCAAGCACTTTATTCGCAAGAGTGGCTATGGCAAAGGGAGAAATGATGATGACAAGGGAAAGAGGCAATCAAAGAGAGCTTGGTTTAATTGTGGCGAATATGGCCACTTCATTGCCGATTGTCCCAAGTCAAATAAAGCTAAGGCTAAGGGAGGCAAGAAGAAGCCGGAGCGTGCTCATGTGGCGGAGGCACACATGGCGGAGGTGTGGTACTCCGGAGATGAAGAAGATCTCGAGGTCAAGCCCAAGCCCAAGCCAAAAGACAAGGTTGAAGGAGAATGTGGTGTTGCTACCGTCGCCTTCAAGTCATCCTCTTCAAGTAAGGAGTGTCTCTTCAACAACTTGAGTGATGACGACGACGACTCCTACCACTACTCTTGTTTCATGGCTCAAGGCCGTAAGGTGATGACTCAAAAGCCCTCTCACACCTCTCTTGATGTTGATTCTAATGATGAGGAAAGTGATAATGAATTAGATGATGTGCTTAAGAGCTTTAGCAAACCCGCTATGCAACATTTGGCTAAGTTAATGAGAGCTTTGGATAGTAAAGAACAATCTCTCGAAAGGCAAGAAGAATTACTTATTCTTGAGAAGAAAAGAAACCTTGCCTTAGAGGAGAGCCTAGCTAAAGAATGTGCTAAAAATGAACAACTAGCTAATGAGCTTAATTTGGCTAATGGTTCTCTAGCTAGCCTTAGGGATGCCAATGAAACTCTTCAAGAGAAATTTGCTAGTTTAGACAAAAGTCATAAAGATCTTGAAGTTCAATTTGACACTCTTTGGAATAACACTTCTCAACCAAATGTGGTTTCTAATTCTTCCAATCCATCTACTAGCAATGGTTGTGCTAGGTGTTACAATATTGATTTGAACTCTCATGCTACTAATGTTGATGCTATGCAAGCTCTTAAGAAAGAGAATAAAAGGTTGGGCACATTGGTGAAATATGGATGCATGAAGACATACCATTCAAAAGATGCCCTTTACAAGACCATCACCGCTCATCCTAACAAGGATGGACACGGGCTCGGGTTTTCTGGTGGAAGTCCTGTGTCTAAGCATGTGATGGTAAATGTGAAAGAATGCTTAATGTTTGTGAGAGAAGGAAAAGCTCCACAAGCAAGTGAGGTGACTTGTCCCCTCACTGGTCAGACACCTGGAAGTTCCGGGCAAAATGACCGGAAGTTCCTGCCCTGTAAGACAGGAAGTTCCAGGAAGTTCCGGGCTTCTGATAGGCCGAAGGGGCTGACTGGAAGTTCCGGGTATAATGCCAGGAAGTTCCGGCCAGAGGGTCTTTACTATGATTTATATGTAATTTCCAAAAATTCAGAGGGCAAAGTGGTTGCTTATTTTAATGGGAATTACAATGATGAGTACCGCACTTGTGTGTGGGTGCCAAAGGGTTTGGTGACTAACATCAAGGGACCCAAACTTAGACAAGTTTGGGTTCCTAAATCCCAAGCTTGATTTCTTTTATAGGCATACTCCTCCGATGGCTCAAGTTGGGTTGTGGACAGTGGCTGCACCAATCATATGACGGGAGAGAGGAGTATGTTTACAAGTCTTGATGAGGGAGGAGTATGTTCTGGGTCTGTTTGAATTTTACCGCTGCGATTTGTTTTTAAGTTTTCAGGGATAGCCTATTCACCCCCCCTCTAGGCTTCATCAGCGCGTTCAGTGCTACAGTAAACATTTGCTAATGATGGATTAATTAGGCTTAATAAATTCGTCTCACAGTTTACAGACAGATTCTGTATTTTGTTTTGTTATTAGTCTATGTTTTAATACTTCAAATGTGTGTCCGTATATCCGATGTGATACGCCAAAACTTTATACCCGTGGATCTAAATACAACCTTAAGGATGCAAGCGGAGCTGCTAAGCGGTATTCTTTTTGCCCGCTTATTTTAATCATGTGAGAAATGTGGGTAGTGGCCTAGTGGGCTAACCCACTTATATTCCCACTTCTTATTGGAATTAAGCATTTGCATTTCAATCAATGAACTATAAAAGAAAAGAAAAGAACTTCTAGTCTTTTTTTTCTTCTAAAATTTGTACTATTATGTGATGAATGAAATAGCAAGTGGGTAATTAAGCATTTATAGTTCAATCAATGAACGGAAAAATAAACGTGGATAGTGGCCTAGTGGGCTAACCCACTTATATTCCCACTTCTTATTGGAATTAAGCATTTGCATTTCAATCAATGAACTATAAAAGAAAAAAAAAGAACTTCTAGTCTTTTTTTTCTTCTAAAATTTGTACTATTATGTGATGAATGAAATAGCAAGTGGGTAATTAAGCATTTGTAGTTCAATCAATGAACGGAAAAATAAACGTGGATAGTGGCCTAGTGGGCTAACCCACTTATATTCCCACTTCTTATTGGAATTAAGCATTTGCATTTCAATCAATGAACTATAAAAGAAAAAAAAAAGAACTTCTAGTCTTTTTTTCTTCTAAAATTTGTACTATTATGTGATGAATGAAATAGCAAGTGGGTAATTAAGCATTTGTAGTTCAATCAATGAACGGAAAAATAAATGTGGATAGTGGGTTTACCCACTTATATCCCTACTTATTGGGATTATTCATTTGTAGTTCAATCAATGAACGACAAAAAAAAAGACCATCTTATTGGGATTAAGCATTGGTAGTTCAATCAATGAATGGCAAAAAAAAAAGGAACAAAAATAAAAAAAAGGAGGGCTACTAAATAGGGGGATATATAGGGCCCTGACTACTCAGGACGCCACCAACCCTATTCTCCTGGGAGGGGCACCCACGCAAAGCATCGGTGCTTATATTATGAAGGCCAAAGCACCGGCAGAACACGCCTTTAGAAATCGATCAAGCAGCAAAGTGCGGATCGCCCCTGCGACTCAAACCCCACGGAGGAGGGAGAGGCAGTATGGTTTAGGGTTACAGCCGCACGTGAAGTGCGCTTGTTACGTGGGTGCCCCTCCCACAGGGCCACACTTCACCCTCTGGCGTCGCGGGCCTACGCCTCGCTCCAGCTTATAAACCAGATGCGTCCGAGGTAGGAAAGCGGTGTGGTACTAAAAGAGTTTTCACTGCCCCTGTGCAATGCAGTGCACGGAGTCACTGGTGATGGGCCGACTCTTGTGGACCGTTGGATTCGACCCACCCCATTTCAAGAACTCGGTCAATTCTTTTGGTTGGAGCCTTGGAGGATGATTGGACTAAGTAGCTGACTACATCATTTCGACCAATGGATTACAAGATGAACGGCTGAGATTTTGCTGAATTTACACTTCTGCCTGGTAATAGTGTGACTGAAATTCATGGGAAATCTAGGGAGCTGGTAACACATTGGAGCAAGATGCAAGTTATACAGCATTCTTACATACATGGAAGCACCAAAAATATTACTTTTAACCCAACCCTTGAAATTTCTTCTTCTGTTCTTGCTTCCGAAGAGAGCTGGAAATTACCTGGAGACTATCAGAAAGAGATTGCTTGTGTATGTACAGTAGAGAAGCAAAGCATCACTGATGCTTAGGACACACCCTCACTGGTCACTACTGGTCATCCAGCTTCCAAACCTCATGGAGGAGCCTGTACCTGGCACTGTTTGGGTTCCCAATCTGCTTCAGCTTCGCGAGCGGGTTCGACGAAGCCTTGGAGATGAAGGTCAATGGCGAGCTCAGCTCATCCAGCTCGTCGTCGCTCGTGTTGGACTTGCGGAGGATGGCCGACCCGCTCTTCCTGGGGTCGCCGATCATGCTTAGGATTGCTCCGGATGCCGGGTATGGGTATAGGATGGGTGACGCGCTGCACGGGACCGCTCGGATGCCCTTGGTGTTACCCTCCAAATGATCCTAACAGCATGAATGTTTGATGAGTAATAGTCCAGTACTGTTTGTGGTTGAACTGAAAATTCCTCATTTTCCTCAAATTGTGGTTTGATGCATGATGGTACATTCAATGAAGGTAATGCTTAGGTTTACTTCTCATGAAACTAGCAAACTACAACTTTATGCCAGGAAAACAACTCGGTTGTACAAATAGAGTAAGTTTATCGCAAGCTAATATTGTCAGAAATAGCAACCAAGTTCCATATTTAGTTTCACAAAGAAGTGGCATAAATCATCAATTCTCCTTTTTTTGTTACCCGTAGTTCGTAATAAAAAAAGCGATGTGCGTATGCCCAATATAACTAGTAAAAGGTATTTTGCAGTCCTAAAGTATAACCATGTGCAATGAAACATAAGATGCAATCACATAAGTGCCTTTTTTTTCCCCATTCCACCATGAAACGTAAGATTCAATCACACTGTCATGACTTGATATCTGATACTTACGAGACTAGGTAATCAGGCAATCATCTACTTTTGTTTGCAACATAAACCAACATACAATTTCAATGCAGCCCAATGCTAAATAAACTAACCTCTGACTCCAGTGCTTCAAGCAAGGAATGTTGAACTGGATCTGGGCAAAAATCATCTGGCACAAAGCCATCAAGGATTCTCTTGATGATTGATGAGCTGAAGGTAGGACAAAGCTGTGAAAAGCAGGATGATCGTATTAGAATTAGAAAACAATATTATGACCAGAAAAGAAAACTTCACAAGTTCAGATGGAAATAATGTGCATTTGTTGAACAAGATGAGAGTGCATGCCTCTTTCCTAGTACTGGTTTCCATGAGCACATCCTTAGGGATCATTAGGAGATCACTCAATGCATTTAGGAGATAAAATGGTTTGCGGAGTTCGGCAGCACCATTGTCACCATCCCCACTCTCAACTTCTGGATAGTCATCCATATCCATACCAAACGAGTCACTAAGACATCTGGACCAGCTGCCAATCTATAACCAGCAGGAAAGACAAATGGTCAGAGCTTTTGATCGAAAGCCAGATAAAATAAATAGGCTCCATTGGACGAGTAACATGACCTCGTAATGAGCATGCTTTTAATTTCACTTACAGCATTTTTCAGTTGGACCCCAGCACCAAAACTAAATTTCCCAGATGGTACAGGAAGGACCTTAGGATCAGTTATTGGGTCAGACATGGGATCGGTTGGAATCTCATCATCTGATTCCCTCAAAATAGCATTGAACATTGCTACATCCAATCTAGCTATGCATTGCTCCATCACCTATCAAAGAGAAATGATGTTAGGAATTAGTACAGATCTTGAATATTTATATGAAGTCTATATTTTCTCATTCTCATTGTTTGAGTGTTAAATCAAGATATGGCTGATCATATAAAACATTCTTAAATAAAAGAAATTAAGGTGAGATGGACAAAAAAAAAACAATGGGAACAATACAATTTGAATAGTTTTAGGGAAAACACATTTTGAGGAATAGAATATTTCAAGGTGACAAGTTATGGTACAATTTTCAAGGAGGAAATTCAAACTATTGATTAATCATATGTAGCTCACCAATTTGGCCAACAAAGGGAGACATCCACACTCATGTCCAGCTGCTCTTACTGGGCAAAGCTTTTCAGATGCTTCCTTGAAAGCCTTCTTCCATATGTCAATTGATAAGGTTGCTTGTTGCTGATTGCCCACAACAGTAATCCTTCCATAACATTTCTTTGCATTTGAACTAGGCATCGGTTCACTGCTTATATTAGCAGATTGCATATGTGGTGTGAATGCCTGCAAAGTAAGATTTGTTATGCAATGTATTTAACAAATCTTACAGACAAGGGCACAAACAGCAAATAAATTGAACTAATAACGAGGCAGACCTGCCACCAAATGGATTCGACAATTCTTGAGAATATCCATGATTCAATCTTCTTAAGTGCGGCTATAAATGTGTCAACATCTTCCCAGTTATCAAACTCAGGGGAAAGCAATTTTCCTTTCTTCCGGTTAAGCGATTCCCACATTGACGCAGAATTCCTCCTTGGTCCTGTTTTGGAACCATTATTGATAGCATTGCTGTTCGATTGTTTAGAAGTTTCAGAAACAATTGCTCGCAACACCACACAGTTTGATAGCCAGAAACTCAACCTGGTTGGAGAAGTTATATTAGGCAATAAATAAAATAACACAACAGGAATTCCGAAGTTACATAAACTACTTTTACAGGGTACTGCAATCTATATAATGATGACATATAGAAGTTAAGCAATTGTCAATTCATTGCAAATTATTCCATTGAAAAGAAAACACTATTAAAATGCGAATGTTTGAGCATTCTTAGTATGGTTCTATCACACTTGATGTAATCGTCTGAGATTAATAAAAGCTTCATTTATCTAAAGAAAATGCGAATGTTGAGCATGAGAGGAAGTCTCATGTAGTACCTTGCAACATCATATCCACAAGCTTTTGCAACCAGAACCAAACCAGAGGAAGCACTTCTTGCTGCACTCCCCATCTTGTCTCTAGACCAGTTTTTAAGCGCATGAATGAAATGCCTAGAGAGTCTTCGTGCTGGTGTGTGTACCTTGTTTGATGAGCTACCATGTTCAGCGATCACCGAATAAAGGCCTATCTCGGCAGCAGCAGTTTCTCGCAACTCTGCTTCAAGCAACTCAACCCTAAGTTCTAGTTCTCGAACTTTGGTGTCGTTACGATTATTTGATATGCGTATTGGCACCTGAGCTTGTGCTCCATCATAGGTATCAGTCCTAGTATCATTAGAGACCGCAATATCTTGGGAGTCAACTTCTTTCACTTCTTCCTTCTGGGAATCAACTTTCTTATTAATGACACTACCACTAAAATCCGGAACTCTCATACTGTACCTCATATTCTTTGCTCTATCACTAGTTAAAGTGCTATATGTTCTCTCCCCAAAGTTTCTTTGGTTGGAATCACTCATACCATAAGCAAATGACATTTTACGACCAGCTCTGAGAGCATTTTGTGCTGGAAAAGATGGAGTTTGTTCACCAGGCAAATCTGATAAAAGAGACAGATTCCCTGGATGGCCATTTGCCTTTTGGACTTGAATTGGATACTTTTCAACTTCTTCGCTCCTCACTTTTGTACTGGAAGATGGCATTTCACGCTGGGAATCAAATGGTGATCTAGAGCCTTCATTACCAACTGTTCTTACATCCTTCCCCTAGAGAATTTCAAATTGGTTTCAGAATCATGCATAAAAGATAAAAGAAGACTATTTAGTTCAACTAGACGCCAAAACATGCAGTGGAAGGAAAAAAAAACTGAACTGAACTACACAATTTCGACAATACTATTCTTACTGAAAGTACTAATCATACATGTGAAAATCCTGTTTACAGATAGCATTTTTTTTTAAGTTTTTACATGACATAATTAAGTAAAGGAAAATAACCACCAATGCCCATTCAGAAATTCCAACAGCAATGAATTGTATTGAGAGCAAAAGTATGTAAAACTTTATTAAATTGAAAACTTGTTTTCTAATTCAGACACATTTTTAGTAAATGTGGCTAGAGATAGTCCCCAATGGCCTGCCCAAATTACTGTTTTTTTTTGGAAAAAAAATCTTCATTTACTGTCTTAAAAAACATCTTTTGGGAAGATGATCAGACACAACATAGGTCCTAGTACACATGTAGGAATAGAGTTCAGTTTTTTACCTTGAGAGACTCCTGAGATCTATTACTACCTGCACGCAAGTTCCCATCTGAGCGGTAAGGGTATGGAGCTTCCTCCTCCTCATCATCAGTAAATGAAGCAAACTCAGTATCCTCAGTGTACTCCGACATCAATTCTTTTGAATCCCTGTCCACTGATGCCTCCTTTGACAATGCATCTCTAGAGGAAACGCTCGAGTTATCACCATCCAAAGGCTGAATTCGAAGATAAACCATCGGCTGCACATTGTTTCTCAAGCTCCTCTTGGAGTTGAGCGGCACGGGAACACTCGTGTCCTCGTGAAACATCGCATGCTCCGCCAAGTCCAGTGTCGCAGTCCCTAAATGCTGCCCTTTCAGCTTATCCCTCCTTGGTTCATACAGATTCAGCTCAAGCAGGTTCTTCTGCCATTTCCCACTCTTGGATGACCCCTCCTTCTGAAAAACAGCCTGTAGGTTGATGAACTCATTAAATTCAACCTTCCCTACTGTGGTACCTGATCCAATTGAAGGCGCAACAGCATTGGTCTTCCCCGAATTGCGCTCGCCATTTTCCCAAAAGAGGACCACAGATTTCAAAGACTTGAGGGACTCAGAAGGGGGCCATGGGCTGATTTCTTGAATGAAGATATTGAAGTCTACATGGAAGGATGCATCCTTCCTCGTCTTGGTTCGGAGGCCTAGCACCATTGCTTCAACAGTTGATACACTCTGAGCTTAAATATAGTAATCCTAGTTGACAATTTGCACAATCTGGTAGTCCTCTCTCAATTATCCAACGAAAAGTCGACTGCCATTAAGTTCATTGACAAAGAAAAGCTCCTGCAATTAGTAAAAGCGGTTAGTAAGTTAGTACTAACTAACAAAGGGAGAAAAGGCAGCTACTGTACATGAAAAATTAAGGATAAAGCACACCAAAACACCAAGTCCTACAACCAATCTAATTGCAAAAAAGCTGCAAATGGGGTAGAAATCCAACTGAAATGAGAAGCATCTGTCCACATCAAAATCATAGGAAAATTTATTACAATGATTTGAGGAGGTGAGAACTAAGTCAACCACTCACATAAATACAACTCAAGGCATCACATGGGTGGCATAAACAAGATGCAGCTAGAACTGACAAGAAGAGATACTATTTATTTTTTTTTGTGAATCTATGTTACATAATAACTTACTGTATATCATAGATAAATCACAACATGGCCATGAAAAAGCAACAAAGAATGTATGGAGAAGCACCCCCTCAAATCGAATAAACAAAAGAGAGGGGAAATGCCAGAGGTGCATAGAGATCTGAGCAAACGGCACGGTCAATGCAGCATCCCTGAAAACCAATTTCATCAGAGAAAAGGAGGGAGATTAAAAAAAACAAGTTCACCTGGTCTGCAAGAACTGCCCCCAAATGAAATGCATTGAGAAACCATACATTAGGAGAGAAAAAAAAAGAGGGGTTTTGGGGAATAAAGCTCAGGAACTTTATCCACAATAACACCCAAATACAGTACTAGAGAGAAGGAAATGCTACGAAAATTAGCAGGCAGCATTGCAAGATGGCTCAGTACGGGTGCATTGAATGTGGTCTAAATGCTAAGGTAATATTAAGCTAGCCATTTACGACACCCAAATCCAGTACCAGAAAGCCCTAAAGAAAGGGGAAGCTGAGAGGATGAATTCAGTACACATATAAACAGATTTTAATGCAACCAAATTCAGTACAAAAAAAAAGAACAATCAAAGCATTCCAAATGCAAAGCAGCCAGGCATAAAATCAGATCAAGAACCCAAATGCAGAGAAGGGATGTCAGAAACCAAGAAAAAAAAAGATAGTAGCAGCTTTCGCTAAAACCCAAGTAAACGCGTCAAGAACAGCGACTTCCAACCAACCAACCAACCCAACCGAAAGAGAATTCCCTGAAAGAAACAGCAAGCAGGAAGAAGAGGCCTGTGCAACATGAGCTACCTGGCCTGAATCGAGAACGCGATGCAAGATTGAGAATTGAGAGGAAGAGATGGAGGGATAGAGTAGAGGGGGGTTTGGTCACGTCGCGTGGAATGATTGGGCGACTGGGATGAGGAGGGAGGAGGAGTTCGTGGGCACGCAGTAGTGGTGGTGGTTGTCGGTGTGGGTTGTGGGGGAAGAAGTGAGAAGACGACACGGGATGCGAGAAGAAGAGGGAGAAGAGGACGGACGGACGGCCCGGCGTTCTCGAGGTGACAGGCAGGGGAGGATGAGCAGAGAAAGAGGTCAGATGGAAGCAAAGTGGAGTAAAACTATTCTCAAGGAACGAATCTGGACGATGACCGCCAGGTTAAAATTTTTAAGGGTAAAATTCATATTTTACCCTGAAAATTGCCTGATACTCCAGCTTCCATTCTCTCGATAACCTACTACCTCCTTCCCAATTTTTTTTTTGACATCAGTTAGTTTAATATGAAGTTAACCAAAGTTTCAAACAAAAAAAAAGATAATATAAGAGTTAATTTCACATTTCACCATATATTTTGACCAAAGTTTCACAATGGGCAAAAGCCAAACCAACCTTCTCACTTAGCACCACATATCTTTGCACGAGTACATCAATGGAAGTTATTAGAGAAAAGCTAGTTCAAATCAATCATTTTTAGTTCTATAGTATTAAGATAAATATCTTTAGAAAGAAATAGCAAATCACAAAACAACTTTTTTCAGCAAATCACACTAAAATAATGATGCAAATATGTTTAAAAGTGATACAAAATGATCTATACATAGGGACAAATGAAGAAAAATAAAATAGAAAATAGTTAATTACCACTTACACTGAAAAGAAGGAAGAAAACATAAAATGTTTTGCTTTTTATAACTATCCCTGTGTAAATTTTCTCACATTCCTTGCTTCGCTCACCCCTAGTCCAAACTAAAAACTTATGTAAAGATATATGGTGCTAGGTGAAAACATTAATGTAACCCTAGTCCATTATGAAATCTTGGTCAAAATATGTGGCACAATGTAAAATTTACTCATAATATAATGGGTAGGTATTTGGCTTACTTGTTAGTGACTCATTATGGATAAATAAGAAGAGGTTGTGTGTATTTTACAGGGACTTGTAAGAAGTTTTCTTTTTTCTTGTAATTAGTTTTTCGAAAACCTCAAAGTTAGGGAACTGCTATATCACATACCTTGAACGGGATTATATCTGTGAGTATACTGATAGGTATCAGGTAATACTTGCAAGGTATCATGAGATATTTGCGAGGTATCAACGGTGAGGAAGAAAGCCAGATGGATATGAATCCCTTTGCTAGTGAGAAGAAAGGTAAACAAAGTTTGTTCATCCTGTCATAGGCGGCAAGGACGAAGAGTGAGAAGGGGAGAGTGAAATGTGTACTTCCAGCCAAAATGGAGGCCACTAGATCTCACCCAACGTGGATAAACAATACCAAAATCCGGATGGTCTCTACCACAATGAGCGCGCCAAACCCGATGGCCTGCACCCTCTGCTTGTCACCATCATTGGGGCGCCACTCAGTGGCCTCCGCCGTCTCCACCCTCTCATTATAATAGAAGGGTGAGAGAAGAGAGAATCCCTTGCCTACGTGTGCTCTCTCTTTGGGAGCCCCCCTCTCCCAAACCGCGTTGATCCGAGGTGACGAAGGCTCCTCTCAACTAGCTGAGCAATGGCATTACGTGTGCTCTTGTGGATAAGAGAGAGGAAGAGCAATATAATAGATAAGTAGAAGGAGAGAAAATAGGTGATTCAATGTTGGTTGCCTGATGGCCTATCTCGTCCGTCATGAACAGGATGGCAATTTGTTACATAGCATTCTCACAAGCAAAGTTAAAAAGAACAACATGGATTATGACTTGTGACACATAACCACTAAGAAGTTATTAGAATCCTAACTCTTTAGCATATGTAAAAAATATTATTCAAAATAGGAATAAATTACCCTAACCACATGCATTAAGAAATGAGTAACTAAAAATTTTATAGACACTTTATAAGACGAATACTTTAAGAAAATATATGCTCCATATGTTTAACATGGAGTTTTATAAAACCCTGAACCATAATATGTAGGTCATATGCTAAGTATAAATGTGGTTTTCTGACATTTGCTTTTATATTCTTTGAACCTTTGTTAATCTAAATTTTAAAACATACTTTTTTAAAACAAAACTTCTAAGCAAGCAAACCAAAATGACGACATTGTCAAAAGTCACAGCTGTAATTTCCTATGCCACCTCGAGTGGTGTGGGTGTGTGGCTGTCACAGTTTTATGACGAATACAAATATTTAAAATAAAAAATGGTAGGTCTGGATGATGCATAACTTGAGAACTAATATAGGTACAATAGGATGGGAAAACACGAATCTAAATAAAAACAAAAACACGTGAAACAAAAATGAAAACCCGAAGGAATAAAAATAAAATTCTGAATAAAATTGGCAATAAAGCTAGGGAAAATACAGAACTATGAAAAACTTCCAAAGTAAAAAAAAAAAGAAGAAAACTCTCCAAACTGCAGACTTTTTCTCTAGATTGTACTAGAACTTACTACTTTTTTAGTATTTGTAGCTTCCCAAACATGGCCATACTAACTAAACTTTGATTATGAAAGAAAATGAACTTCTGTTTAGAGGGAGGAATCTCAAACGCAGTCGCATGTAAGCTAGGTTGGTCTCCATCAAGTACGAGCATCAGATTCTACTTCCAGGCTCAAGCAACAACCCTTTTTATCTAGTTTTACAGGACAAGATATTAACCAGTTGCTGCATTGTGCCATAAAGTTCTATTTTGTATTCAGGAATGGCACCACATGCACATCGACAGAAGTCATGTTTTAACACGGGGGATATATTTTTTTTCTCCAACATTTGCGTGAATTGAACTGATCTGCATGTAAATCCTACAAAATTATGAAAAAAGAAATCCGGCAATCCACATCTACTTGCACATTTGTAGCAAGCGGTGAGCCGGTGAGATGCTAATTGGGGTGCCCCCTCATAACTAGTTTTTACCAATATTTTTAGATAATGGAAATAAATGTCAGTCTTTAGCTCAAGAGTTTCTGTCCAAAATTCGTTATACTAATCCAGTTATTATCAAGCTAAGACATCACACATCGTCATGATGAGAAGACCGACATAGAAAACATAGATGAACCAAACATCAAAGCGAACTTTATTATTAAATTTCCATCCATAATTGATAAAAATTTGTAGGACTATAATCTCAAGAGAACAGCATTCCTTACACATTACTTATTTGTATACATCATACTTTTGCAGCTATGCTCAGAAGCCTAGCGAATATATTCCCTTAGAATCTGTATGAAATTTTGACTTATAGAAAACAATATTCCCTCCTGTTTTTAATGTTTGACATTGTTGAATTTTGGGCCATTTGTTTTATTAAAAATTATATGTAAACATAAAAAAGTATAAAGAAACCGCAATGAACTAAATAATAATTATATAATTTTTAATAAAACAAATAGTTAAATATATGGTCAAAAGTAAATGATGTCAAACATTCTAAAAGTAGAGGGAGTATCATCTTTGTAAGCCATCAAACCCAACGAAGAACGGATGTGCCAATAACATTTGCCTTTTAACCATTGTATTATTTTTCCCCATCTAATTGGTACAAACAATGGTTTAAATGATCACTAACAACTAATACAATTTTGATAGGTTGCCTATTCAAGTTATTGGCCAAGAAATTTCTGCACTGTCTATTAGACTGATAATCATTAGATAACTTTCTTCTCCCTGCTCTCTGTTGCCTCCACGTTACAAAAATCTTATGTGGCAGCTTTTTCTAGACACCAAGATTACCCTATTGTTCATGTGTTGAAAACTAAACATTAAGACATAAATATAACTAGTCTTGATTAAGTGGGCCTTAACCTATTGGCCCGCTCCAATTGTAACATCCTGAAAATCCCTGATAATAAAAATCACTAAAATTTCAAACTTTTTAAAACTTTTGCATCATGCTAGATGTTATGGTTGTTCTTGCTTGCCAAACCATAAATTGTCACATTGAATATTTTAATTAATTTTTGAACTATCAAAGCCTCCAAGTATATTGGATAATTTCTGATGATCTAATGGGAAGTAAAATCATTTGGTAGAGATATGAATAAATAAATAAATATTCAAATAAATATTTGAATTCTCAAATCCAAAATGTGTAGAGCTACATCTCAATTCAAAATCCAATTCTAACTGTTTTGCATTTTAGCCCCTCCACTCTACCTCTTTTTCCTTTTTCTTCCTTTTCTCTCCTTTCTAGGCGCTACTGTACATTGTCTGCCAACCGTTCGATCCTATGTATCGCGTGCACCACATCGCTCCCGGCCGCGCCAGCAACGCCCATGCCGCCTCACACCTGCCTCCCGTGCACCGCACCACGGCGCACAGCGCCCGCGTGGGCCCGCCGCCCAACCAAGCCGCCGTTCCGCCACAGCTTCCATGTGCGCGCGTCGCCATGGCCACGTCCGCCACCTTATCCACAGCCAATGATGTCTCGGCGCCCCTCTTTATGTCTAGTGGATAAAACAGAGTCCCCTTCCCCAGCTAGGACTAAAACTCGCAGACTATAGGCTATAGGCACAATGATGGAGCCATAGAACCTTAATGGAGAAGGAGATGAACCTTAGTCGCGTCATCCACCTCATTGCTCTTATCCGATCGCCATTAGAGCTCTAGCTCATCCAGGCCATGTGCTGGCGATCTTATCCCCATGGTTTCCTTACACCCTAAGCTAAGCCCCCAGTAAAATCCCCATTCCTCTCAGCTTTCGTCCCGAATACATTTCATCAAGCACCTTCCATGCATGATCTCACCGCTACTAGAAACCACCATTGCGGGGTCTCCCCGGCCGGAGTTGGAGGTTGGAGGAAGTGGAGGCGGAGCCGCGCTGCCGTCGTCGCCATTGGGGAGGTTGGACGTTAATGCAAGGAACGTCGACGAGCACTTTCGGGCACCGTCAATGCTGTCTGCCTATGTTCTGCGACACATCGAGCCCTACTCCGCCGCTTTTCGCCGTCTCGCGTTCTCATGGTACACTCTCACGCCCGTAGCATCCTTTGTACCTCTAATAACTAGCGCCAGCTCCAGTTTGTGCAATTAGTGTCTATAGCCGTGCTGACCTGGCCACCATTGTGCCGCCGACAAGCTCCCGTTGGACATGCTATCCCGGAGCTCCTCCTAGCCATTTGTTGAGATTATGGGTACCCCATACCCACACGGCACGGTTATCCGACTAGTTATAGGGGATAACTTATATCTATGGAATATGTAACGGATCATGACTTGGGTACTACGTTTCCCTGTATATTATGGAACGGCCTAAAGTCCTAGTTTGATAAGATTGTAAATTAGATTTAGGAAACCGATACCATATTGGTTAAGGTTTCTATCTTGTAATCCTGCCCCCATCCTATATAAGGTGGGCAGGAGGCTCTCTAGGGGGCATGAGCACATATGATCGTCAGATCTATACTACACCCGGCGGATTCAAATCCCCAAACAGGAGTAGGGTATTACCTCTTATTGAGAGGGCCTGAACCTGTCTAAATCCTTTGTCTCCGCATCCATCCACTCTTAGGTCTCGTGCGCTACCCCCTTTTATTATTGCCGAATTCATGTTTTGACAGTTGGCACGCCAGGTAGGGGTGACGTCGAGTTTCCTGTCGAAAAGTGCGATGGAATCAACTTCGTGAGTCACTCGCTTCATCTTCGCTTTGGGAGATTTTTTGCCTCCTCGTCACCGAATACTCCAGCAGACTCTCTCTCTGACTGGGATTCAAACCAGTCGGGGGGCTCAAGGTCACTTCTGTTGAAATTATAAGCACATAATGATTTAATTTATTCCATAAATAAATCATGACATTGCAGATGTAAACTAGATTGAACGCATCATTAGATCTACACATGTAAACTAAGCAGTAAAACATGAACAGATCAAATATGCGCAACATGTCGAACACGTACCGAGGTGGCGGAAAGACCGGTTGCTCGGCAGGAACTACTCGCGGTTGCGGGCGTCGACGAAGGCGCGCAGCACGCGAGCGGTGAGGAAGGCGAGCCGTCGCCACCGGCGGGAGGTCGCCGGAGCCTCGCCACATCTTTCCGGCCGCTTCCGTGCCGGCCTCGCACCATCCCGGCTGCGCCCAGCCGCGCCATGCGCGCTGCCTCTGCCCGGCTGGAGGTTGAAGACGACCTCCCTCAGCCGAGCCGATGACAGGATGGGCCCACCTCCTGTTTTTCCCTAAGAAAAATAATACGGTGAAAAGCAAATAGAACCCTGGAGCCCCACCTGTCAGCCGCTATTAGGAATGAGATGGATTTCGGAATAAAAATAAATCGGTAATGAACAGTATTGTTTTGCTATTATTCAAATTTGGATATTTAAACTAGCATAACTTACTCATTTTAACTCCAATTTGAATGAAACTTGAACCTAAAATTCATCTAAATTCATAAGCTTTCCAATGGTATATAATTAACTGTTTAATAAAATATATTTATAATTGTTACATAATTAATATCAAATGATTAGATTATGGTTGACCTAAAAATGTACTAATAAATAAAATTGGTACTGTACAGTAAACTAGGTAGAAGAATAATTCTCTTTAACATGCTTTATCACTGTAAAACCCATGTAAACTAATTAGAAGCATATATATGTGGTCATATCCCTTCTATAACTCAATAGATAGATCAACTCCGAATTAACGAAATGTGTATCCCATTTATATTATGATAATTAGCTCCTAAATAAGCCGCCATGACAATAAGAATGATTATGAGATTATCCGTTTGCAAACACGAGTAGTATGAACAGCCCTAGGTTCGACCCCGACAATTATATTTTGTTTGTGCATATTTGATTGTTGTTTGAATATTGGTTCTTCACGCGTATTATAGAATCTGTATATCGGTTAGTCGTGAGGCAGCGTATGCAGCTTCCAGGAGGTGAAGGTTGATCAAGATTATATCAAGAATAAGGATTGTCCTGAGCAGGCAAGTCATCACCCCATCCCTTGAGCATGTTGATCCTAATTGCGAAATTGCTTTGTTTACAAATAAAATTGCATGCAATGATGAATATCCTACTTGTTATTATGCCTTGCCTTTGATTATTGCTTATCTCATTATTTTCTTGTACCCATGATTACATATGAGTCCTTAGTCAATTATGACAAAAGCTTAGTAGTGCTACTTTAGAATCATGCATTCTCATATTTATCAAATGCTATATGCTTGGGCAACTACCCTAGGGAAGGTAGTTGAGATACGACATGTGGAGACATGAGCGCCACATGATTTGTGAAAGGAAAAATTAAACTAAACAACTGTTTTCGACTGGGGCGGCTGGAGGACTTGGGTGGTGTCCGGTAAAGGCTAGTGCCGTCCCTGGTCAATTAAGGACCGAGCCATGAAGTTAAGCATGAAACGACCCCCGTACAACCGTACTTCTCGTGTGGGTATAGACCTAGCGGAGTAAAGAGCCGAGCGGAGGCGGTACCCAAGCCGTAGTGGTTTTCTTGTTGTGTGTGAGGCAGGGCCTACGGTGGGGCAACCATTGGTAGGACCGCGAGGGGCGGGTGCCTACAGTGGTGTCACCATCGGTAGGACTGCCATGTGCAAACCTAAACTTAACTATAACTTAATGAATGTGTGAATCTTTCCCCCTGGGGAGCGCCAGAACTCCTCTCAGTGCTAGAAACCTTGGACGCCTAGAGTGCATGAGGACTAAAGTTCATGGAGCGAGTACTGCCAAAGTGAGGTTATTGAAAGGCTTTGTCGTGGCAAGTCTCATTCATTGGGACGTAGTGTGGGGATACCCGGTTTGAGTATGGTATCCCGAAACCACCCGCGACCGTCCAAGATTTCGATCGCGCACAGATTGATATACAGAACAGCTTTCGATACATATACCCAAGTTTTTACAGAAATTATTACATAAAAGATAACTAAGACAGGTTTTAGGGGCCGACAAGCCAAACACACTCCCTACAAACAAAAGACCCAAACACAAAATAGGATAAAAACACCACAGGCAATGCCTGAGAGCAAATCGACCTAGAACAAGAACTCGTCAGCACCATAGAATTCTTCCCCTTCCTGCGCCTCCTCAGGGAAGAACTGATCGTCTGAACCACATTTTATGCAAGAGGTGAGTACCGAGGTACCCAGCAAGCCACACCCATAATAATACAAATAGAATATATGCAAGGCGTACAAAGAATATAGTCATCAAGGAGGTTTCATAACAAGCCTATTATAAATAGTTTTTCCCTACTTTGTAAAATATTTCATTTGCAAACAATTGTAAATCATCATTTTAAAATAATAGCAATATTAATCACCATTCATCCTCATCTTTATCATATTCCATATTTTAATTTAAAATCTACTCATACCATGATAAATAGGAATCACCCAATGACATAGCTTCTTAACCGGAAGCACGGCACATTCGAATGATTTAAGACTCATCTCTGCAGAGACTGCCCAGCTTTACCCACCTGATGTCAACAGCTAGCTAGGCTGAGGGCAACATAGCCGTTCGAGAGTCCCACTTACTACTGGTTACTGCCCAGTGGAATATTGATCCGTCCTAGTAGTCGGGCACTTGCTGGGCCTAAGCAAGGCTAGACGGTCGCTGCTTTCACGGGTTCCACCATTGCGGATCATGTCAACCTGGCCGAAGCCCCTTCCACATGTCCACCCCAAACCTGCTCATAGAGCCACCCTACAGTATTTCATATAGTGGGACAAATGTACTAGGCTAAGTCTGATTACTCAGTCATGTATATGGGCGCAAATTACATCATTTTTCATGGCATAAGGGGGTAGTCCTTATATCCGGGGAAAGCCACCAAAACTAGCATAGGCCCGTGCATACTTCAAGTGTAAATATACACTTTCCACAAAAAAAATATAACAATATGCACGGCCTCAGACACCACAACATCCATCTTCACCCGGAATTAATCTTCCATATCACTCCAGGCGAGTGACTCATATCAAATAACACATTTTATATCACCCGACACGCCACCACGTGATGACGGGTAAACCATGTATATGAGTATAGATATTTGGTGGTCTTATCCACTAGAATATTATTGTGAAGTATATAAATCTACACCTAGGTTATCAAAGGACGTGATATAGCAATCCATGGATTTGGCCAATAATAACAATGTAATAATGGGTAATAACTAAACTAACAAGTTTATTCAAAAATAATTCATACGCAAAATAATTTTATAAATACTCAATGCAGAAAATAACTAAGTGGTTCTCTACTAGGTATCAATATGATCAAAGATTGGAACTGTGGCTTGCCTTGTGGAACGTGGCCTTCTGAAGCTTCAGCGTAGCCTTCTAGGTCCACTTCAGTTCCTGTGTGCCCGGTGGGATTTTCAATACGATCTAACGTACGCACACGAAGAAACGACCAAATAAGCCTATAATAAAAATACTACAAATAAACGATAAAATAAATATTGTGAATCATAGCCCGAACAAAAGAAAATAATAATCCAGAGTTGACTTGATTTGGATGGCAAACGATTTATCCTAGAGTTATGATTGATGGTATGTGTAGTATGGTTGCACTTTGGGATTAATGCTATAGATACTAGAGATAAAGACTAGAATTGATTGGGTTTGAATCTGGAAGTGATCACTGATGGAAGAATTGATATGAATCAGTTTTCTTTTGGTTGACAACTACTGGGCTGGCTCAGGTGGTGTGGTCAGGTTGGACCATGGTGGAACAGTATTGAATCTAGTACTGTTCTTCTTCCTCTGTCAACCACGAACACAGACAGAATGAGAGGTAAAAAGGGAAAACCTGGATGATGGTTATTGTGGCGGAACAGCAAGAACGTCTTGAGGTAATTTCGTTCCCAGGTACTGCGAACTCGAAGCTGTTGCTGGTTCTCAGAGAGGATGTTCATGCCGGCCGGAACGCGAATGATAGGATTTAGGCCCCGAAGGAGAGAGAAGATTGAGCGGCGAGCTCCGGTGGCGAACGTGGCTGGGTGAGCGCGTCAAAACGTGTTCCCGGACGAGAAGGTTCCATTTTTTTGGTTAGTTGATAGAGATGAAGCGTCGGCCATGCCGACCACGGTGGCAGCCATGGTGGCAGACAGGAGCATGCGAGGACCTCAGTACAAGCATGGAGAGGAGGGGAAAAAAAAGGAGATGGCCTCACCGGCTCTGGAAGAGTCTGGTGGCGCGAGGATACGACGACCGGTGGCCTGCGGCGACAGATAGGCCGACGACCACGGCAGTTTGAAGAAATTTTGGGAACTCGATTCCTTTCTGAGTAAAGGAGAAAGAGAGGGGTAAAAGGATGAGCATGGCTACCTTGCCTGCTTAAATAGTTGGGCAGTGGGAGATTGAGATTGACGGTAGCAGTGGTGCTTGCTCGGTTTTTAAGATTTGTGCGACAACGTCTACACCATCTGATCGAGTTCCTCCGTGCGGCTTCAAGCGAGCGTGTGTCGCGCGCGTGGCGGCATGCGGCGCAGAGCAGGCAGGTGCAAGGCGGCACGCGGCTAGTGCGGGCCAAGCGCGTGCGGGCGCAAGCAAGGCGCAGGGTGGTGCGAGGCGACGCGCGCGTAGCGCGAGCGGTGGCTGGACCGAGTGAAGCGAGCAGCGGCTTGGTTGGGGCGGCTGCCTCGGCTGGGCCAGGAGATGAGCTAGAATGGCCCAACAGAGAGAAAGAGACAAGGGAAAGGAAATTTGGAATATGGACTGGATTGCAAGGAACTCTGCCTGAGAAGTAACACAGTGATCTATTTGAATTTTTGGAGAGATTTTTGTATGGAATTTTGGTAGGATATTTTTGAATAGGAATTGATAGGATTTGGGATCTTAGAACATTTGCATGATGACTCCGGTTTAACTTAAAAAAAACACAAGCTCTTCTGATGATTTTGAGAATTTTCTCTGGATATCTCAGATTTGGTTTGGAGAGAGAAACTAAACAAAATTATGTGGGAGTCGGAAACTTATAGGGAACTAAAGAAATATAAGGATTGGGAGGCTCCAATTCGAAAGAACGAAGAACAACAACTTTAAATATTTTCGCAAAAATTGTACCCTGAAAAATCTAGTATGTTACACGTAGGCTCATGTGTTGGGCAAGTCGCGGAGTACGGGTAAAGTGTACATCCACTGCAGTGTGAGTAAATCAATCTATTCTAATAGCCGTGCTCGCGGTTATTGAGCACCGAGACGCGTATTACACTTGGCTAGACTCTAATTTCTTAATCTGAATGGGATGGGATATGCATGATGATTTTGTACCGGTGGATCAACTTCTCGAGAGGCGAGAAGGGGTAGACCCCAGAAAACCATGACGACCAGTGGCGGGAAGCTATCCTTAGGAACACAATAGATGGTGGATAGAACCGTCGCTGTTTAATGAACAATGGAATTAAAACTTGATCAGTTTATGCTAGGTCTTAGGTTTGTGAAATGATATTTGGAAACTCAGCTTTATGCAAAGTAACCATAGCCACTCCTTGTATTATCCTGTACATTACTGCATTTTGTATGGTGGCTTGCTGAGTACTTTTGTACTCATTGTTGCTCTCTATATATCTTTTAGCAGAGTGTTGAAGAGAAGCCCTTGTTAGTACGCTTGCGTACCTAACAAGATGACCGGAGTGCGGTTCCATTCTAGGTCTCGTTCCCCAGTCGACTGCTTGTGGCATGTCAACCGGGCCCTTATATTATTTTGTCTTCCGTTGTTGTTTCTCTGATAGTTGTTGGCCTACCTGGCCTTAATGTAAGCATTTAACTCTCTTAGCCTAAATTCATTCGTGATATGTTGTGATTCGGCTATGTATGTGTGTACCAACTACTGATCCAGAGACTGGTACTAATAAACACAGAAGATTTTCGATTTCCAAAATCGGGGGTTGACACCAATTCATCTATAGCCAATCTAATAGCCAATTCATACAATAGTTGTTTAAGATACTATTAATATATGGTCCCACTTGTCATACACATACTGTGTCATGGAGTCCGTGCTGCAGCTGGCTACAGATCTGTAGCCCACTGCTCTTCTCTCTTATCTTCTATCTCATTAAAATATATTTATAGCTGGCTAATAGTTGCTATTGTACCTGCTCTTATAAGTTATATCATTATCCACGCTAAAAGTGCTAGGCTTTGAAAGGAGCTGGCTTAGAAAAAAACTCTATGAACTTGCAGCTTTCCATCATCATAAGGCCAAACTTTCAATTTCTATGGAACTGAGGGCTCGTTTGGTATAGCTTGGACTCCAGATTTTTTGTCCTGTGAAATTTGAGTTGTACCAAATACTTTTCAAGATCCTAAATATAGAGTAGAGCTGTCACTCCGTTCTTAAAAATTACTACTACTAGGGGATTCCCCGCACTTTGCTATAGAAATTACTAAGTAATTTTTAATATTATTTTTTTATTACAATTCAGCTAGGAGTAAAAAGAAAAAAATAATCAAATCTCAGGGCTTATCAATATTTATCATGAAACAAATAAAATTCACAATTTAATGTAGAACATTTTGATAAGTATATATTAAATATTATAAAAATGATAGAGAGATTTGTAAAACTATTGTGAAAATGATGTGAGAGATGGTGATTGAATATGTTTGCATGTTAATTTGTAGAATTAAATAGATTGTAGATGCTCTTGCATGCTTGCATGAGGTTGAATATGTAATTATTATTAGTGGGTGATGATGTGGCATGGTTACATGTTAAGTTTTAGAGTTAGTGGGTTATAACTTTAAAGAAAGTATAGATTAGGATAGGGTGGTTAGAGTAGGAGTTGTACTAAATGGGTTCTCAATGCAGTGAAAGCCTGAAAGGCATGGTCCACAGACAGCCAGCCAAGAGAGGATGGATGCTACAAGCAGCAAGAGACCGGACCGAACAGCGGAAGCCTTTTTTTTTCCCCAAAGGGTGTTAGCCCATTAATTATGAAATTCTCTTAGGATTTAAAAAGGGATGCATGTGCATTGAAATATAGTAATATATGAATAAGAGAAGGAAAGAAAATCTTGTTTTGGTGTAGTTTAGATTTCCTGATTTTAAACTTTTAGAGAAGTGCCCAAGTGCACGCTGTATGAGTTATAAACTTTTTTTTGAGAAAAGTAAAAAAAAAACAAATTTGAATGAACAGATGAAGTGTATTTGGGACAGTTACATATGTTTAGAGTTATTATATACTATGCTGTAAACAAACCTCGAAAATGCATGCATTTTTTTGTTCTCTCTTATGTAAGCAACGAAATATGAATGTTCCAACATTTCCTTCCGCAGACGCCGGGACAGGAGCGAACATCGTGCCGGACGAGCAACAGTCCCGCAAGAAAATGGCGATTAGATTATTCTGTTGAGATTAAGTTGTTAAGTAGTTTGTTATCCCTTAATTTTAGCAAATGTTAGTTCAAGTGTAAAAGGCTATTTAGAGCCAGGAATTCAGGATGAAGGCAAGCAAGAAATTATATTCATCTACCGAGTCTCTGTTTCTACCTTCTTCTGTTCGTCTTCTCAACACGGCTCCGGGGCGGCGAGGTTACAGACCTCGTCCTCCCGTCGAGCATTCCTACGCTCTGCGTGATCGTGATCTGCAAGTCGTAGCTCCTAACAAGTATGCTCCATGTTTTTTCCTGTTTCAACGACTAGAGTCTTTGCACTCCGTCATAAAAAACAAACATAGCCAAACACATCGTTAACGGTGGAGAAAATACTGAAATGCTTTTGCTTCTCCCCGATTCCCCTATTTAATTTTCTCCTCAGTTCTTCTCGGCCGTCATCATAACAATTACTGTAGAAGTCTAACAATTACACAAAGCATCCATACTTAGTGGGAATCTGCAACTCCCATAATAAAATCCAAATTAGTTAAACGGACTTGCATCAGAGTTTACTACGATGAACCAAATTGGAAAAGCAACAGTACAATTCCTTTGAAGCAAGAAAATAACTTAATCAGCTTCTTCAGTGTGCGTCTCCACGGGCGTAATCATCAACTCTGATTGCAAATCCTGCATGCGTTTATGTGAAACTCAGTATAATATTAAAAAAGATGGTAGAACAGAAAGTCATTGCACAAACCACTACTCAACACTTACCTGCATCAACTTTGGTTCAGTTGAAGAATGCAAGTAATGTGACACTCGTTCCAGCTCGGCTTGCAAGCATTCCACAGCCTGTGGAAACAACACAACTAATTAAATAATATCCTTCAGACTTCATCAAGAAGATCAGACTATATCTATGCATGATTTCTATGAACTCTGAATGGATACCTTAAGCATGTATTCAGGAGAATCAGCGCCATTGCACTCCAAAATCGAAGTTTGGGCTTTGTTTGAGTAGTAATTTCTTGTGCTCTCGCGAAACGCATTTTCAAAATCAACTTCGTAACACTCCATGCCAAGCCCAATCTGGACATACACATCAAGGACATCCTTCAAAAGATCACGGTCTATAACCTTGCCATCCCTCTCATCATTAATCTGACAAATCAAGGAAATTAATAGCAGAAAAAAGAAAATTAATGATCATCGCTTCACCTCTGCAAAAGTGCAGAAGTGTTAGAAGAAATCGTAGAACAGAACAAGAGCCTCACCATGTCAACCACAGTCCTTGTTATTTTATCTTTGAGCTCACTGTATACCTATATATCACAAATAAAAAGGAACACAACAATGGCATGTCCAAATCAAGCACAGCAAATGTGCACTAATAACATACACTCATGTAAAATAATCACATGACGGGAGAAACAATAGAGGTTGACGTACCTGATCACGAAAAGAACATAAGTTCAGTTGTTCAAGTGGGACAAGTGACTTCCGTAAGATGTAGTAACGGTCGAGGTAGAAGAAGAACCTCGTCTCACTTATGACAATTTTCTTGTGGTTCCGCCACCTGTCAACCAACCCTTTCAATAGAGTCTCGCCATTTATCTGTCTCATTGACGGCAACACCTGCACCATTAATTACCCATCGACAACGATCATCTCACACAACCATGTGGAAAGACACTATGAGTACTCCGCCATCACCTAGCACAAACACAAGTTCATACCATAGAGCTGTTGTAGCCATCAATATCCGTCTTGTAGCGTTCATAGAGCTGTTGTGCTTAGTTATGAGGTGGCTTCTGCGTGCACATGTTGTACACCATCCTGTCACAAAGCAAAGAATGTACTTAGATAGATTAAACTAGCTAGATCAGATCAAATTAAAGCCAAGAAAATATGATAAGACTATATGAGGTAGGCATGGTGTACATACATGTAGAGCTGCATGTTGTCATCCTCTGAAGAGCTCTTGCTCATGCTACCATCGATGATGCTCCTTTGCTTGGCGAGGCTGGTTGCCAGGAGGCGCCATCCCTCTTCGAAATCCACTATGCCCGCCATGACAGCCTCTGCAGCCCAAAGGCCAGCTTCCCTTTGTGATAAAGACCTTTGGATTGAGCATAGGGAGGAGACAATGTTGGTTGCTGGGAGAAAATGACAAATGGCTATTTGTCATTTTACTAATAAAATATGCTTACATCTGTTGAGTTGTGATCCAAATTCATTTGCACTTAATAAAGGCTAGCTTCTGCCGTAGCGGAGTGAAGGCAAAAGTTGGCCCATTGGGCTGTGCACCTGGGGACGCCCGGGGGTGCGGGGGCGGAGCCCCCACGGTACGAATCATCATCCCTTTTAGGGTTCCACCATATATATACCTCTTGTAAGCCGCCGTGCGGCGATGTAACCTCACATCAGATATAGTGAAGATATTTTGCTGGCTGGCGCCCGTGGTTTTTTCTCTCCTGTTTTGGGAGGGTTTTCCACGTTAAATCTCGTGTCTTCTGTGATTGATCTATTGTTTTTTATCGTTTGTTCGCCTATCGTTTCCTAACAACATCACTTCTTTCACATGTTGAGGATAGAGACCAAGGCTGTGTTTAGTTCGTGTGCCAAAAATTTTTTTAAGTATACTGACACACATTTGAAATATTAAACGTAGACTAATAACAAAACAAATTACAGATTCCGCCTGTAAACTGCGAGACAAATTTATTAAGCCTAATTAATTCGTCATTAGGAAATGTTTACTGTAGCATCATATTGTCAAATTATGGCGTAATTAGGCTCAAAAGATTCGTCTCGCGATTTACATGCAAATTGTGCAATTGGTTTTTTCGTTCATATTTAATGCTCCATGCATGTGTACAAACATTTGATGTGACGGAAACGTTGAAAGTTTGAAGAAAAAATTTTGAATCTAAACACGGCGCAAGGAAAATGAGTGTTGGCTCTTATTAAAGGGCCAGTTTTATATGTACTTCTAGAAAGATATAGAATTAATTCAGATGTGAGACAAAAGGCAAAATATTAAATTAGTTTTTTAAGTAGGTAATCTATCGATAATGAGCGTTATATTTGGATAGCATGGATATAACTTAGCCGGCAGTTGGCATTACCACTATTACAATATATATGTAGAGGCTGGGGGTTTATATACACTTTTATCATTGTAAAAAGGATATAATACATTGGACTGAATAGGATGGAGTTTTGCTTACTCCATCCCCGGTCTTGAACTGAGCTGGAAGGCTGGAGTGGAGAAGAGAGAACAGGAGTGACTCTGTCCCTGCCGATTTTGGCCATTGTCGCTCTCGCTCCATAATCATGATCTGTGTTATGTCATGGGAGATAATTAATTAACTCACACATTGATGCATGGTGGTATATGTATATATATATATATATATATATATATATATATATATATATATATATATATATATATATATATATATATATATATATATATATATATATATATATATATATATATATGCAGGCCCAATTTAATTACGACATCGCATGCATGCGGTACGTACATTACAAGTTGTCTGACAAATTTATATTTTTCTTCATCAAGTTGGACAAGGGAGTCCAAGTTTACTATTAAAAAAAGGAATCAAATCTGAAACCTAGATGAAACCGAGCGGAGAGAGTGAACGTCACATGATTAAACATGTTTTCATATATAGTAGTAGCAGGATTGATCAGGAGGGAGCAGTACGTCTCAGATCTTACCAATTGCATTATGATTTTTCTAAAACAAAAGGGCCAATGATGTTACTCATATGACTACTTATGAATAGATCCAAGCTAGGAAGCTAGTTTTCTCAAAGGACATAGGACATCTAAGTAATGCCACGACCAAGAAACAACCTAGCTTGCTAATGGTTTTCTTCAACGAAACCAGGTATCATGTGTGTCAGCATCAGATACATATCAATGCTTGATTATGGAGTCAAGTCAAGCAAATTTGTCGTGAATATAAATTAACTACTCAATTTTATGTTCTTATTGTACCCAACCTATTCAATCATGTACATATGTACTTGAAAAAGTTATCGATGCAGGTTCATGCACTGGTTCACATCAAGAAAATGGACATTTGGCCACGTACGAAACACGGTTTCGCTAGAATGGTATCCTGAAAACGCGTTTCGTTAAAATGCTAATATGAAACGCGCGCTCACCGTTACTTTGCCATTTTGACCGTTTTGTGCATTTTCGAAATCATGTTCGCTCATCCGTCGGGTGGTGAGACAAAATTAACCATCCGGTGTGTCTTGAGTGCGGTGAGCAGGGACACAACCCCGCCGCCGGAGTTATCTCGGAGGCCCGTGGGGTCGAGTGGCAGCGGCGGCGCTAGCTAGGGTTTTGAGGTGGGCCCCATGCCTACGGCGGAGGCGGAGGGAGACGCGGTGAGCATCGGGTTCGCGGAGCTGGAGAGGCAACAATAGCTGATGGCGAGCTAGAGCGCGGGCCTCCGCCGCTATGGACTCGCTTCGCCGCCACCGTATGCCGATCTGGTCGCGCTGTCGGCCATCCGGTCCTCCCCGCCTTCCTCGAGCTCCGACCCGCCGTCACCAGGGTTGCCGCGCGCGAAAGGGTGGAAGGGCAATTTCGTCTCATTACCTAGTGAAGGAGCGAAAATAATTTCAAAAATGCACAAAACGACTAAAATGGTAAAGTGGCAGTGAGCGCCCGCTCTATATTGGCATTTTAATGAAACACGTTTTCGGAATAGCATTCTAGCGAAACCGTGTTTTGAATGTGGCCAAATGTCCATTTTCTTATTCATATCAGTAGCATATTGATCGACCATCGGAAGCAGTCAGAGCCAGAGCTACAGCTAGTGTTGTTCCAATGTTAGATATGGATGAATAGCAGTCTACATTCAAAATCAAATTTATTTCTACGTTAACACTTGTACTACAGCATATACAAGCGAAACGGAATATTTGCAAATGAATAGTAGTTTGTGAATAAAACTTTTATATATGTGGTCTTAGCAATCTAAAAGCAAAGGCTGAAAAATAAATTAACTTCGATGAAAAAAAACCCCTCCAAATCAGCTCTAAATTTAAAGTTAAAAATTCAAATTTTGCCTGATAAGCATAAGTATAAGTGAAAAGATGAGGCCAGTAGTTCAATCATATAAGGAAGATTTCACTACTGCTACAGAAAATGCTTTTAGTGTTAGTTGGGAAGCCTTATAGTGTCCGTTCCTCAACTGTCACTACAGTGCACACTGATGAGGGGATCAATAGTGCTGGTTTTGAAACCGGCATTGATGTATTCTCGTAACTAAATAAAATTCTACCCGAAAACTAATCGGAATATATTGCTAGTTAAAATTTGGTTATCATATTTAACAATTTCCACTTTAAGATGAATTTACTCTTGTAGTGTAAAACTCATCAATCACCGAAAGTGTCTCAGGTAGGTAAAATCATTGCACAGTAAATATTCATTAGGACTGAACTATAGCACTAACCAAGTTTGAGAAAAGCATAAACTTAGTGAATACTTCCTAAATATCTTGATATCATCATCAATAATGACATCTCGAATAAAGTAATATCTATACGCTTTGTTATCTCGTAAAACATAAGACATGTTGCACTTTGACTATTACAAAATATATTAATTTAAGACTTATCTCCATAAAACACAATGTACAAACCTCTAAGCAAAATAGTTCTTTATAAGCTTCAGAAATAACCACACTCATAGTAGATAAGATAACATAGCAGTTGCTTGCAAACTAATCTACCCACTAACCATACAACTTCCAATAGTTAAAACATAACATGTGGGTGATATTGTTCTGTTCAAATCTTCAACAAAATCTGAATTGATATAACCAACAAATCCATCTCTAGAACTCCTAAGCTACAAATAAAATTAGAAGGGCCTACTGCTACGAAAAAGATTTTCGCTAGCGGTCAAAAGAGAATTTCGCTGGCAGCTGCGAGTAATGGCCAATGAAAATAGAGAATTTTCATTGGTGGATAGCCAACCGCGTGCGAAAAAAGATTTCACAAGCGGTGCGGACCTTTTCCCTGGCGGATGATCAGCCGCATGCCAAAAAGATTTTCACATGCGACACCATTAATGCAGCCGCCAGTGATAAGGATTTTTGGTGAAAAAAATAAAATACAAAAAGTACATTTGCAAAAATCCTCAAATTAATCGCAATGAATTCAACTATGACAATAACAAATCCCAAACTCACAAATCATACCCACAATGAATTCATGAGTCACATTCACATTGCATATACCAAATATCAGAATTCACAATGCACCACCATCCCAAAATTAAAAAAAAAAGGATCCCACACATCACAAAATTCATAAAAAGTTGTCAGCGTCGATCGGCATCGGCAACGGAGGGTGGAAACCGGTCGCAACGAGATAGCCCTAGGGCCAGCCACCGCTCCTGCCGCTGTTGCACGAGGGAGAGAGGAAGATGGCTGGGCGACGTTGACGACGAGGTGGCCCGGCGGTGGTGGAACCGGTCTCCCTTGGCCCGGCAACAGTGGATGAGGGAGAGAGGAAGATGGCCGGGCCGAAGGACCGCGAAACCGCCACCGCGGGGCCTCATCGTCATCGGTGTCGCTCGGCCATCCTCATCTCTCCCTCGTCCATCGCTGTTGGGCCAAGGGAGTCGGGATCGCAAGTAACAATCTAATTACATTTTGATTGATTCATATCTATCAAATTTTTTTGATTAAAATTTGATGACAAATGTATAGCTAAGTCCCCAAAACCTTTATACACAAAAATTTTATACTCTATGAGGCCCATGTCCTAAACAGGCTTAACCATCCAAGCAGCAGATTTGATTTCGAAGTTAAAAAAAGCCCAACCAATCGATATGGGCCAGAAGCAACAAAACCTAACAGAATAACTAAAGTTTGGCAATTTCGCTACAATTTTGCTATTACCAAGTGTTTGCATGTAATAGTGGATGTTGGATCGATGTAGGCCATCGGATTTTTCTTTATCCACTTTATAAATAGCTGCTCATCACGGTGGGAAAAAAAAAGAGAAAATTCGATCCATAGCACAGGAAACAAAGTGGTACCAAAAAATAGCACAAAAAGTTTCCACTTTCGATCCATAGCATAAGCCACCGATTTTTCTTCGCCACGTAGCACTTCCGTCGCATTTTGATGTAACGGCGTTAGATCGGAGTAGAGAAAATTTTTGTCGGACTCATTTGCCCTTCGCTCCCCACATTCCCCACCAGGTCTCCTCTTCCACTCCCTCGTGGACGGCGGCGCGGCAACCATCGGCGTGCCGGGCGACCGCCTCGTCTCCCCGCCACTGCCCGAGCGTGGATGGATGTGGGCCGCTGTACGCCGTCGACGACAACGATGATGGCCGACGAGCACTTCTTCCCCGCTGCGCTACTACTTCTCCTCCTTCACCTCCTCGTCCGGCGCCGGCACGGGTGCGGGCGCATTGCTGCCAGCCGTGGCGGCGTACGGGACGATGATGATGATGCCGCCGTGGGCGGTGGCGGCTGAACAGATGGTGATGATGGTGCCGGCGGCGGCGGAGTGCATGGCGCACTTCGACTCCGCGCTCAGCTCGCTCGTGTCGTCTCCGCAGGGCAGCGGTGATGAGATGGCGGCCATCGGGAGCATCTGCAACCACGGCGGCGCCAGCGCCAACAAATTAATCAACTAATTAATTAAATCCTAATTAGCTTTTTGCAAGTGCACTAATTCGCGCGGCTCAGCTTCGCCGAGAACTCGAGAATGAAGCAGCCGTCGAGGAGCAGCATCTCCGCGAAGCCGTCGCCGTCGTCGTCCAAGATGGCCGTGCTCTCGCTGTAGCAGCAGCGAGCACGCTGCTCGACGGCCCGAACCGCGTCCACGAAGTCGGAGAGCGGGACGGTGGGTGCTCGCTGGAGGAAGCGCCACTTGTGCTGCTCCATGGCATGGAGCTCGTCCCGACCGTGGTGGTAGGGCCTGATGGCCACCAGCCGGGGCTCGTACAGCTTCCTACAACTGCTGTTGTCGTCGGGACGGGAGCCGACAGGGACATGGAATGGCGCGCGGCTGGGGACGGGGATGGCGGCGGCGGGGATGGGGACGGGGATCATCGCCGCGTCGCAATTTGGCGACGGCGCCGTCGTCGTGGGCACCGGTCCGAGAGGACGAGATGACACAGGAAGACGAAGGGCAAATGGGTCCAACAAAATTTTTCTATACTTCAATCTAATGCTGTTAACTCTAAACCTGACAGAATTACTATGGAGCTAAGAAAAACAGGTGGCCTGTGCTTCTAATCGAAAGCGAAAAATTTTTATACTATTTTTTGGTACCGCTTTTTTTCCTATGCTATGGATCGAATTTTCTATAAAAAGAAAAAAAAAACCTTGAGATCCCACTGCCGCGCGGCGCCGCCACTACCATCGCGCGTTGTCAGTTTCTTCTTTGCTATTGCCATCTGCATCCTCCCCTACCAATCTGTTGTTCTGCCTGCTAATCTACTCCTGTTCGTTGCTGCTGCTGTTCTGATCTCACCAGTAGAAGAGGACAGATCGAAGAAAAGGAAGACGAAGAGGAAATTAGGGATTCCACAGTGTAGTTCATTGGAGTGGTCCAAATTAAGGTTCTTCACTACAAGGGTATCCTCAAATAGTCCCCAGTTACATATATCCTAGTCTCTGTAGAAATACAGTTTTAGTTGCCGGTATATCAAATTTAATCTTTTGACTGTAGGCTGAAATATTCTTTTGATTTCTTCGATTGTAGTCCGAAATATTCTTTTGATTTCTTGGATTAATTAAAGAGTAAGGGAATCAGGTCATGTGGTCCAAACAACACTTGTAGGTCATGTTAATATCTTTCTATAGGCACTTGTTTCACTCGATTCAGATAAGCGGTTTAGGAGAAAAAAAAAGCAGTGATACTTTTCTGTAGATGTTAAACAAAATCTGTCAATAATGATACAACAAAAACTGGCCCTACATGGCACAAATCTGTTAGTGATAGAGGCTAAATTATAACTTTTGATGGATAGGAAAGTTGTAGATAATTTTCTGTAGATGTTCTATATGTATTTTTTTTTGCTAAATTTGGTTTAGCAGTTCAAGTGTTATGAATAAAACAGCGAGGACATGTTTTTGACGGGTTATTATAAATTCCTGATTTCAGGCTTAGACCTTAATCGGTAAATTGGTGGATAAAATTTAACACTCAAAGTCTTTCGTTATTGAGAATTTGAGTGTAATTTTGTTATTTTAGGAGTTGAGGATTTTTTATGCCACCCGTGAGTTACTGATAATGTTAATGCAAGTGCATAACAAACTAATTAAATTGTGTGAGATGAATGGATTGTTCGCTTTGTTTATTTGTTTTCATTACATATCTATGTGATTGAGTATGTTCAGATTATGGTTCTTGCTATTCATGCATTAAGTGGTTCATGGTAGCTTTCTTCATGATAGGCTATCAAAAAAAGCTCGAGGCTCGTAAGCTGCTCGAGCTCGACTCGTCCTAGGTCCTAGGTTCAATAATCACTCGTTCAGCTCGAGCTTCAAACGAACCGAGCCTGAGCCTCTCCCAAAGCTCGCGAGCTTTGTCGAACCGAGCTCGAGCTTCTAACTATTCCAATAATATATGTTTTTTATTGTTATTTAATAAATTAGGATATTAAATATGTAACTTGTATGTCTTATATTGGTGTTATATATTTATTTTATTCTTTTTCTTCTTCTATTAATATGATGAGTTAGAAATTATTGTTTTTTTAAAGATTATCCTTGAAATATACATTGTTGTACTTACAAATCAAGCTTAGTAGTCAAGCTCAAACTTGATCGAGCTCAAACTGAGTCTGTTTGAAAGCTCAAGCATTTTATAGGCTCGGCTCGAGCTTGTATCGAGCTCGAGCCTAGGCAGGTGATCTTGCTCGAACTCGGCTCGTTGACAGCCCTACTTCATGGGTTATGTGTGATCAGTTATGCCTATAAACTATATGCATGCCATGGTTGTACTAAAATAGAAAGTAGGCAATCTTATGATTATTGTAAATATTGGATGTACGTTTCTCGTGTGTGTTGTGTAGACTGTGGGTATTTGGATACCTAGTGCGTTTGCATCCCAGCAACATCAATTAATTTTTATTGCAAGTGATGCAACTAGAACACTCAAACTGCACGGTGAACTGTACCCTTTTGTTTCGTATGGCAAAGTGATGTAAATTTAATGCTACCACAAAACTTTATGCGTGTGTGCTTATTTAACTTGTCATGATCTTCGCTTGTGACTGCATTTGTTGCCTTTTGTTTCTCTATTATTGCACGCATATCCTCAATTTGTTAGTAGTTTTAGTGGGTTTGTGTCTCTCTCCTTACGCTATTCACACGTTACCAAATGCAATATAAGACCAAACATGTGCCCAAATTGATAATATAGAAATCAACATTGTAGTTTGGGGCTAATTTTGTCAGTTCTAATTGAATGTTAAGGTCAGAACTTAGTAAAAGTTTTTCTATGGTATAGCTGATGTTATATTTTGCAATATATATACATGTAATAACTCGTATTTTTTTTCAGCTGGCCTTGATTGAATGTTATGAGGATAAACAAAACTGCTAATCTAAGTGAAGAAATGTAAGATTAACTAACTGTTATTCTTTCTTATCTCAAAGATCTATTTATTTTGTAATCCAAAAGAGTATGAAATATGTACGTGTGGTGCAGGCTTGTTGATATTATAGCAGAAAATCTTGTGAAGTATGGACCACCTGATGTGACTGTAAATGATTTGAAGACTGCCCTGCATAAGCATAAAACACAAACAAGGTTGGTCAAAACGTTATTGCACTGATTCTGATTACAAATTTAAGTTTGAATTTAGACAAATAATTTCGTTAACATATTCTATGAAAAAAGCTCCAGTCTATTCCAAACCAGGACAGGAACCATGCTAAGCATTCATATTATATAATGTATGGAGGAATAACATTCCTAAAGTATATATATAGTAGTTTTTAATTCTACCTTAATTTCAAATTTCATTAGGGGGTGAAGAAAGTGGTTAAAAGACATAAACGAAGTGCTGCCAAGGAAAAGCAATCTACTCCAGCCAACCAATCTACTTCAGTAGTTGCCACATTGGATGAGATTAAGAAACTCAGAGAAGAAGTATTGAAGGAAGCAATTGAGGAGGGTTTACTTGTCTCGGGGTGAATAAGATCTTATTGTATTAAGTGAAGCTTTGAGACTAGTGGTTGTGAATAACCATATTTCGTAATAGTGAGCTTGATCTTAAGTGACTACAAGACGAAGCTTTTGTTCGTCACTGGCCTTAGTCAATGGCAGACGCAGAAATTTTCCGATGGGGGTACAAAGTTTAAAAATATACCGAGACATAACTAAATATGATACAACTATTAGCATATATATTCAGTAGTAGTATATAGATAGTAGATTTCACAAAAGTAATGTATACTTAATAATTCAAGGCAAGATTAATTTCTTGCTTTTATGCCAAAGTGCTCTTTTGGTTCAAGTATATGTATCCATAATATGCATGCTATACGATGGGTTCTTTCTAAAAAATTTTTGGGGGTATAAGCGTACCCCTATGTCCCATGGTGTGTCCGCCCATGGCCTTAGCTCAATTAACCTATAGTATTTTCATGATTCTAACATGTAGTCATGTATGATCTTTTGAAAACAGATAATATATATAGCTTGTGTTGTGGCACTATAAATTGATTGGTGGAGGGGAATATCGCCCATAAAACATCTTCCACAATGCTAATTGAGGTTGTCCAAGTGTAAGATGTGATCTTCGCGTGTGGAGAAAGTAGTTTGGGTCTGGTACGAATTTGCCCCCATATCATGTACTTATTCTATTATCTTTGGTTACACTGGAGTGATAGATCTCTGTACGTCTTTGCCTTTAAGTATAAAAGTAGTGATTTTGTTAGCCAAAACCTTAGAATGATTTAGCAGTATAGCTTTAGATATCCTTTGCCAGTTTAGAAAAGTTGCCTGGTAAATGAACATATATTATGTGTTCATAACTACACTTCAAAATTGTCCTGCATTAATAGTTTGATTAATTTGTACACAAGTTCTGTTATGTAAATGTGGTTGAGAAAAAAAAATAGAGTTTGTTTTCCCCTCTCTCTATGTAACCAGATGTTAGTCATGTACCATGAGGTATTGAACCCTAACTTGGAATGCAATGTTGTAGTTTCAAGTTATCTCCATTGTCCAGGGATTTTGAAGGGACTTAGGAAATTGTAGTAAAAAAAAAGGAAATAGTGCTTTGGACTTCTCAAAGCAAATGAAAGAATAAATTATCTTCACGCTACATGAACTTGCGTGGTGGCTGCATGAATGGGTATAATAGCTTGAAAATTGCTAATTCCGATACAATAACTTGGCTAATCCATGCGAATCTGGACCAAAACGATTCATGCAAGCAAAAGTGATATAACATGGCACACGTTGCAGTGTAACTATTATTACACGCAGTGGCGAACCCAGAAAAAAATTACCAGGGGTCCTTGATATGCTTATAGGCTAATTTTTTAGTAATATAATGCTTAATATGACCTAAAACACCTAGAAATAGATAAGCACCGGGTAGATACATGTAGGAACGCCCCTGATTACACGTCAAATTTTAGACCGACAAAATGTTTAGTTATGATTCGCACGAAATTTATAAAATTTAAACCGACTCTGAAACAAAACGATTAAAAATACCTGACCATGAAAATAAATAAACTTTCAAAAATAAATTTTCAATGAAAATGGAGTGATTGATCATGAAAATTAAAATATTTTTTTCCCAAAGTTACTTGTCCTAACTTAACGCATGACATAAACCATCCTGGTATATTACATTGAACAACATTGAACGAGCTATATAGAGGTTCAAAATTTTCCAAGACATGAAATAAATTGTCTCTGTTCTGAACATGAAAATATAGTTCTGTAGGACAACTAATTGATCTTTTTCTTGGGATCTTTAAAACATGGTCATACGTTAAGCTATCATGATATTAATGTGTACCATATTACATCAAGTTTGCTTTGCGTGGGTCTCTTTAGCCAGGCCGGTCATGCGTTAAGCTATCATGATATTATGAACTAGCCAAGTTACTATACCGAAATGGTCAATTTACAAGGTATTATATATACATATTTTTATTCACAGCACAAGTTCATATACCGTGAACGTAATTTACTTTAAATGAAAACGTAAGCTAGAAGCTCACGTTTGCTTTCCTATTGAATAAGGGCATAAGAAATGGATTTTAGAAATTTTATTCCGTTATTTAAAATCTCAGTGATTGAAATGCTTAAAATTCTCTCGATGCAACGACGCCTAATCTTTTAACTCAAAGAACACAAATAATGATTATACAAAATAAAAAATACGGATCTTCAACTTATTAAGAGCATCACCAAAAGAATATGTATAATTCACCCAAAAATTTTGTTTTTGTTTCCTAAACTGAAAATAGTAAGTAAAAAAACTAAGAAAAAGCTTAAATATAATCCCAAAACTAAAAGTGAGCCCTTTTTATTAAACTAACAACAAAAATCTCTTTTTTTTCTCTCTGTGACCGCACGGAAAAGGATCCGTCGATCCTCTCGGTGCGTTTTCACGGCTTGCACGGGAAGGAGGGAAGAGACGCGGGGAAGGAGAGGAGAAGCACGCAAATGGGAGACTGGGAGTCGGTGGGGATCACTCTCTAGCTCTCAAATCCACATAGCGAAATATACGGGATGAGAACTCCAAAACTAACGCAGGGCTTTTGGGATTTATTGGATCCAATTCTTTCACTAATAACCCTCGAAATCAGTTTTGGGAAGGAAATATGATCATAACTTTTTGAACTTAATTAGAAAGCAGCCCAACGCAAAAAAAAATTGTAGTTTATGGCACACATTTATACCAAAATTTACTTTGACCACCTTAAACTAAACATCTTTTTATTTTGGATTTGCTATTTTTACAATTACACTTTAGATCGGGTGAACCATATATTAATGAGACATAGTCACCCGTCCTTGTGTCTCACTTACAGATAGGCCACCTGGCCCAAAATACAATATTTGCCAACAATGCCTAGCCTAAAGTGAAAAAAAAAATCTCCAAAACTGGTTTGTAATTTACTTAAAAAAATACTCGTGGAGACTGAAGAAGGGCCCCTGGCGACTATTCTATATACATCGCTTGGAGTTGAAACAACCAAAAGCTGGATTATTTAGCCGGCACGTGGAAATCAATGCTGCAGGAAGATTAATTAGGTGGACACACCAAACCCTGTGGTTGGTGACGCCCTGTTGTTAATCAACTGGGGTGTTCGTTGGACATGGTTTTTGCAGGAAAATTAAGCAAGAAAATTAAGAAGAATGCTCAAGCTGACATGAGAAAACGTAATCCAATGGAAGCGAATTTCAAGTCGTTCTCTTGTACTACCATGTTTAGAATACATAAGACAGTGCCAACGGTTTGATGGCTCCTATTGGCTCGTGTGATACTGACTTGTGTCACAAAGCATCAAATTGCTTCTTGGAGTATCTTTATTACCGAAAACCCCAAAGATTATTCTATTCCACCTCAGGGTAATTGTGCTGAACTATGCAATGAATACAAATTCGCAAAATATCATGGTTATCTATCTTGCTCAAATTGAAATTTGAGTCCAACTGAGACTGCAATACGATTTTTCTTTTCAAAAAGAAATTATTAATTTTTTTTTCATGAAACGCAATTCAACCGTTCGAGAAATATGCTGTCATAAATAAGTAGTCTAGTGCAGAAACAAAATTAATATCACATAAAAAAGAAGGTTGTTAATTACAAACCATGTTTCGTACTACAACTCTAATTTGTAAATTCTTATTTCAGTCACAAAATTCCAATTTCCAATTAAGAAAAATAAACGTAGACGGCTAAGCCCACCCATCTAAGGCTAAGTTCGAGAGGTGAAGTACGCACGAAAAATATGATGGTTTATTAATATGATTTTTTTTAAATAACTTTCACATAAATTTCTTTAGGAAACATATCATTTAATGGTTTGAAAAACGTGCACATAGAAAACTAGAACGATGAGTTGGGAAACAAGAGAAAAACACAGCCTTAAGGCTTCTTGATCCTCTAGTTGGAGGTTGATTTTCAAACGCATGATAAACGAGAAAGCTCATTAGCACATTATTACTTAGATATTTATAATTATAAACTTGAAAAAAATATTTATTTGAATTTTTTAAACAATGTATGCATAAATTATTTTTTAAAAACACACCAATTTAACCCTTTAAAAAGCATCCTAATAGGAAACGAGGAAGTTAAAGATTCACCGAAGGTGTGTTTGGATAATGGAAAAATGGGGTGGGATTAGAATTGGTAAATGAATCAGGGTTAGGATTAAATATTAAAATGAAAGAGGGAGAATGAATGGTTAGAGTTTAAATGTGTCTTTTTGGTGGGTAGAAAATTATTTGCCATACACTCCCCGAGAGCGGTGCGTGCTTGCGTGGGCAGAAGCGTCTTTTTCGTTGGAAAAAAAAACTGCTTAAAAAGGAAACAGAAAGAGCCCAGCTTTGGTTGTCACCGTCTCACCAGAAACGAAACAAAAAGCCCCACCACCTAAACCTCCTCGATCCGACCGAGACTCCTCCATTTCAGCGGCGCACGCGGAGAGCACGCGACGCGAGTTCGTCGACGAACAAGGCTAGTGCAGTAGTTGTTGCTGCGGAGATGGCGGCGAACCTGGAGGACGTGCCGTCGATGGAGCTGATGACGGAGCTGCTCCGCCGCATGAAGTGCAGCTCCAAGCCCGACAAGCGCGTCATCCTCGTCGGTAACGCCCGCCTCTTTCTTCTTCCTCTCTCTCTCTCTCTCTCTCGGTGGTTTGGTTCGTTGGTTGGTGGATCCGGTTCGGCGGCGCGTGCTGCCCTGGTCGGGAGATGGGGAAAGATTGCTGTGGCTTGCTGGGGATGTTGCGTTAGATCCGTGCAAAGCTGTCTCCCTTTCTTTTTTTGGGTCAAATCTGGGTTTCTTCTTCCGCTCTCCTCGTGGTTTTTTGCAAACAAAAATGTTTGGCTTCGAGGGAAATCTTGTAAAATTTACTTGTTGTTTCCACCTTTGGAAACTGCGGCAATTTTTGATGGTCAAATTGCGTTTGTTCTTGCAACTTGCGATTGAGTCGATTGGGGTTTTTCCATTTGACGGAAGGATATTAGTGACAGAAATCAAGCGAAAAGAAATATTTATATGATCGGTGTTCGACGCATAATAGGAATTTCAGGCGTTTAAGGTATAGAATTTATTCGTATTCAGTAGTATGTGTTGAAATTGGAGGTTGCATTTTTTGTTCTCACACATGTTATTTTAAATTTGTCATGTGGCATGTGTTGAGGATGAGCAGAAAACAACAGGGCGGTTCGTGGTTTTTTGTCTGATGTGGAAACTTTTTAAAATAACCAAAACAGAAAGGTGCAACTTTATATGTATCGATAAAGGTTTGGAAATGTCACTCGGAATAAAAACAAAGAGATAGACGTATTACTCCTTTGTTTCAATATTCACTAGTAAACCAAATCGATCTGTATGGTTATGTAAACTGTGTGACACAACAAATTTCAAATAAACTTGTTCTGTTGCGCAATGCTCTGCTTCAGCAATGCACTACTCTAATTTACTGGTCATCAAACAAATCATTATGGAAGGTTTATTCTATTGTTCTTTTACTTCATGAAGTATAGCTAATTTACAAACACTCTGCACTACCTAATTTAAGTGGACCGAATCTAGTCATCGTCTGCTCTTAGCTATCTCCAAATTGATGGCTTGTTCTAATTCATGCATGTGTCACTGAGACACTGGTGTTGTTAACAGCATTGTAAGAATGCCAGTTACACCCTAATATGTTATTGAGGATAGGATAGTGTTGACAACTTGATATCCATAGAGGCAAAGTGATGTCAAATTTTGATGCTTTTATGGATAGTTTAATAGGCATCTGGGCAGAAAGCTTGAATATTGATGTTCTAGAATGGTAAGACAATCTCTGCGTGTTCTAAAAAAAAAAAAGGTAAGACATACAATTTTGACATCCCTTTATTTTACTAAATTTTAGGTCCACCTGGCTGCGGAAAGGGAACACAGTCACCGCTGATTAAGGATGAATTTTGCTTGTGCCATTTAGCCACTGGTGATATGTTGAGGGCTGCAGTGGCTGCTAAAACTCCACTTGGGATTAAGGCTAAAGAAGCTATGGACAAGGTAGTTTTTAAGAAACATATAGCAACAGAAATTATAACCAGCAGGAATGGGTTTCTTGATTCTTTTGTTTCTTTCCTTATCTTCTAGGGAGAGCTTGTTTCTGATGACTTGGTTGTTGGGATTATTGATGAAGCCATGAAGAAAACTTCATGCCAGAAAGGTTTTATCCTTGATGGTTTCCCTAGAACTGTTGTTCAAGCACAGAAGGTGAGGTCCTTGGTCAATATGCACCGCTATATAAAAGAGCTCCTTTTTGTTATTAGAGCTGTCTATATAAATGGACAGTTTCTATCATTGTATCACTTTTCTTACTAAAAAATGGTGCAGCTTGATGAAATGTTGGCCAAACAAGGTACTAAGATTGACAAGGTTCTAAATTTTGCAATTGATGATGCAATACTGGAAGAACGAATTACCGGTCGTTGGATCCACCCATCAAGTGGTAGATCTTATCATACAAAATTTGCTCCTCCTAAGACTCCTGGACTTGATGATGTAAGTCATACCAGATTACTTGCTCTCGCTTGCATTTGTCAGATACTCAGATTTTTACCATTTTCATTATTTCTATTAGATTTGGTACATATATTGTTTGATGCTTGCAGCATATGCGCCTTTACCATAATTTCCCTGTCTCATCATCGATCATCGTAGTACTCTGCTTACTTGTTTTTTAAGAACAAAACATGAGCCATCATTCTTTCAAAATAAAAAAGGTTCATTGAGTACCTTCTTCTTGCCACTGTTTATTTAGTTTGCTTCCCAAATAGTTAAATAGGTAGTGTGATTATGGATATATTTTTCTTGTTTTGGTTGTTTCTCGTACGAAGAGTAAAATGCACCTTTTGTTGACAAGAAATGATAGGCAGTGTTTGCATGACACACTTTTGCTTCCTTTTCTGACAATTATGCCTGTTTAAGTGTCCATAAATAGATACATCGACATGTTTTTGTAGCAGGAGATTGTATATTGTTTCTATTGCTTCCATTAAAAGCATATTCTTCTTTAGCAATGATTTCATGTGGGACATATTTGTGCTGCTATTAAGTAAATTTGTTTGATATCATATATATCTTTTAATTGGTAATATTATGTGCACTTCTGCTCCCTGATTGCTTTGTCTTTTCACAAAGGTTACTGGAGAACCCTTAATTCAAAGGAAAGATGACACAGCTGCAGTATTGAAGTCAAGGCTTGAAGCCTTCCACGTACAAACTAAGCCTGTATGTTTCCTTTAGCAACTACGTTTTTAAATATTCAGATATTCTTTTAGGATGTAGTCGTACTTCAGTTAAGGCGGATTCCTTCAGTTGCATTACAGTGTTTCCTGTATATCTTTCATTGTTTTTAAGTTCTGATTACATTTTGCCAACCCTTCATTTCTAGATTTGTACCTTTTCTTCATTTGTGGGTCTGCTTAGTAGAGCTCCAATAATTCTTGGTGCTGGGTATCTCTAGATCCAAAAATTCTTTTTGAGTATGAACTGGGAGTAGATTGGGAGTTTTTCAGTGAACCATCTTGTTCATTTTCTCCTACAAATTCGACATCATTTGAGAATTCATGAGATGGAGTTCTTATATATTTCATATGACTGTATAATGTATTGCATAAGATTTTTGACAACATGGTGAAGTACACTTCCATTGCGGTATACGTTTATGTATCTTTGTTGCCTGATATTTCCATCTCCTGGCTTCAATTTCCTCATTTCTTTTGTAATCCTTAGTTTTATTGTGAAATATTGTTTATTATCTGCCATAATGCAAAGCAGTTGCTGCCTGTTCACTCAATTTAATTCGTGGAATGGTTTCCTTCCTCTAGGTGATTGACTACTACACCAAGAAGGGCATAGTCGCAAATCTGCATGCCGAAAAACCACCAAAGGAAGTGACTGTTGAGGTCCAGAAAGCCCTATCATAAACTGCCAGTTCTTCAGCCTATAAACATGACATGTGCCGAAAACCCCTTACACTGGGTTTTCTAGATGTTTAAACTGCTGCCAACACCATGTGGTTTTCATTTTGATTTGCTGTATGGCGCAATTGCTCCATTTTATCACAGTTTTCGCTTCACAGTCTGAAATTTGTCAAAATAATTTGTTGGAATGAGGAAAGAAGTTTTGTATACCAACACCGATATAATTACATCAAGTCAATCTTGACAGGGTATTCCTTCTGTTCATCTTAATTTTGGAATTGATGCCTTTGTGGTGATTCCCTGTCTTTGACTACACAGATCCTCTGTGTTTGTGTAGCAATATATTTGTAGGGTCAGTTTGAATCGGCTACAGTCGTACAGCCGATTTGCAATATATATAGAAGTAAGGTGAACAATTCCATTTGCAAGTGAAAATGGCAGTTGTTTGCCCGAAGAATTTGAATTTACAGGTCATATAAATAATGGACTAATGCTTGATAAATATGTAGATGACTACTGTAACAATGCATATATCTCTTTGTTTTTCAATATACGGTGTCTTCGACTTTTGATATGTGTATTAACAATTCGTTGTGTTCACACGGGCATGGATATGGAGGACTACATCGTTTCGCTTATTCGCTTATTGAGAAACGGTATATTTATAAATGAAAAATAATCTGTAAATAAAACTTTTATATGCGTATTCTTAGCGATCTAAAAGTAAAAACTGAAAAATAATCTACGGTGAAAAGTTAAAAATTCAATTTTTAGCAAATAAAAATAAACCAAAAGAGGAGGTTGGGAAGCTCAGGGAAAAAACTGGGAGGCTTCAAATGGGCCTGGCGTTACATCCCACGGGATGTCTGTACCGGCATAGAGCTTGGTTAAGCTTATGAGCGAATGTTTGTTGTCTCCCCAGAGAGAGAGAGGTGTCAAACCATCAAAGCATATAAAATGTAGGATCGAAATACAAGAACTAAGCCAACCAGAGGGGGAGGGGGTGAATGGTTGGTATACCCAAAAACCTAAACTTTTTGCGGAATTAAAAGTTACCCTTAAATTCGATGGATCGTGATCTGACCGTAGGTGATGCGCCGGCCTAACCGCCTGGAAGCCGTCGGTTTGACCGGCGTTGAAAGCCCGGTCCTACCGCCTGAAAATCGCCTCTGCCTCCTGTTGCCGTCGCCAGTCTGACCGTAGTGTACCCGCCGGTCTGACCGCCGCAATGTCACTGGTCTGACTGCCGGTGTTTCGCCGGTTAGACCACCAAACCCGAGAAAACACAAATCGAAGAACTCTCGAAGTAGATGACAATTTTATTATTTCTCTATGTGTTTACAAAGTGCGACAACAGCACTCCTCACAAAAATCTCAACTAAACTCGAAACCCTAACTAAACTATCAACTCAATACTCTCAAAAGCGATACCGGGAAGCCTCACGCTCCCTCTCTATTTATACATGAGGTAGGCAGCCTAAAGCCATGAACCAAACTCATACTAGAAGTCCTAATCCACTTAGGAAACCTTCCTGTACAAGAAACAAACTTTACAAACTCCAATCATACCAAATTTAGACTCCTTCCAAATTCGACTCCGTATCCCATACGCACACAATGCCTCCATCGTATGCCATATGGAATCTTCACCAACCACGTGCATTGAACTCTAGCCTAAGTATCCTGCATGATATCTGACCGTCACGGACATCGCTTTATCCCCAAGTCGACTCCCGATCCATCACCGGCAATACTCTCTCGAGGCATCAAGTCACCTACACATGAATCAAACAAAGAAACCATATTTCGAGACCAAGCTATCTCCAACTTGACTCATTGTTAGCAAATAACAGTATTACATACGTAGTATCCATCTAGAAGCCATAAACATAAAATAATCACGGATATCCAAACAAACAACCCGAAACTGAAATCAACACAGAGTCGCCCGGTCTGACCGCTCGATAACCGTCGGTTTGACTGGCAACCCATGCCCGGTCTAACCGGACCCAAAACTCAGCAGCTCCTGTTTAACATCTGTAAAATCCAATCATCTCCAAAACCACTTCGCCAATAATCTCCAAATATCAAAACCAATAATCACATATGCCAATTGTTCATCACAAAATAATAATCAAAACACTTTGATTTTACATAAAAGGGTTGGTTCTAGAAATTGGCAAGAACTATGCTAGCTAGCTTGAGAGTTTCCAGGTTTATATGGACTTAGCCGATAGTGAACAAAACAGGAGTGTATAATTGTTATCTTTCGGGAAACTCGAACTTGTATACATGACTTGTGTTACTCCCAAACACTCATGGGCACAACAAGCTCACCCAAAACCCTTGGTTGATCCCAAACCTGTAGTTTCGAGAAAGGCCCGGGGTCTTCCCGGCTAGCAACGCAAGCTGCGAGCTAGCCGGTCCGGGTTCGAGCCTCACCCTCCTCCTTATTTCAATATCAATCTAGTCCTTCCTAGATTGGTCCTATTTTTTTAAACCTGTAGTTTCCTACATCTACGGAGCTTATCAATCCGACACTTTTAGATGCAAATAACGTATCTAAAAATGTACTACAGGATAAAGTATGTGTTTAAAATCCTTTATACAATAACTGAACTTCATAAGCATTATATTTGAATATACTAAATAAATGAATAGTCAGAGGAAAAATCAAACAAAAAATCAGGTAGCAAAGTGGAAATTCTAAAATCAAATATCAATTTAGAAAAAATATAAAGAGTAAATTTTATAAAACTGAATCGGTTGGTACAACGACATTTCACAAAACTACAAGAAAACATACAGTTTTATTGCAAAATTTTGACTTTATCCTATACAGTTTCTGATATGTGGGCCTAATTTGCATGAATGTGCGGATATTGCATGGATGAACTGACAGTGAGCAACCTAACATACAGAGTTGTATATTTCTGTTAAAATCAGTGATTATCATGCAATCAACTAAAGTTGCAACAAGCTGGTAGTTATGACAAATGGTTGTAGTTTTATCAAATTTATTTATACATAAGAAATTGAATATATCTCGTAGAAAATAGAGAACCTGTAAAAAAAATGATAAAAGGTGTAGTTTGGTGGCACCGAACCAAACCGACGGCTTACAAACAAAGAAGAAGCCGCCCGATCTCTAGTCACCTCTCAATAATGTAGAGTAGTTCGCATTAATAGTTTTGATTATAGAACATCCTCGCTGATGACTCGACCCATACATTCACACGATCGCAGAGCACAATGGTAAGCACATTGACAAAGAGTGGAAGAGGTATACATTTTCCATTTCAACATGCCCCTCATTTTTCAACATTGTCAATACTTAAAGGCTATGTTGTTCCTTCCAAAGTTGAAAGTTTGGGTTGAAATTGGTACGATGTGACTGAAAAGTTGTGTGTGTATGACAGGTTGATGTAATGGAAAAAGTTAGAAGTTTGGATCTAAACACAGCCAAAGTAGCTATGCATGTTTGTGCTGAAAGATTGCGTTCATATTTTCTACCCAATTATTTTAACTTGTGAACAACAAATTGAACACATTGACTTGTACTACCTGTCTCATATGATGGCTACCTCAAGCATTCAAACTTAAAATGATCGAGGCAACTGTATGTGATGTAGTAGTACTCCCTAATATAAGGGATTTTGACATTTGCTTGTGTTGTTTGATCACTCGTCTTATTCAAAAAATTTGTGCAAATATAAAAAACGAAAAGTTGTGCTTAAAGTACTTTGGATAATAAAGTAAGTTAAAAAAATAAAAAATAATTCTAAAATTTTTTTGAATAAGACGAATGATCAAACAGTACAAGTAAAATGTCAAAATCTCTTATATTAGGGGACGGAGGAAGTAGTAGTTATTTCAATTCAAATATCCATCTCATAAAGATCATACAATCATATATATATATATATATATATATATATATATATATATATATATATATATATATATATATATATATATATATATATATATATATATATATATATATATATATGACCGCCGAAACTAATCTACTACTCTACCTCCGTTTCATCAAATTATAAAATGCTTTGACATTTTTTCTAGACAAATTAATTTTTTTATGTTTGACCAAATTTATATAAAAACATAACAACATTTTCAACACAAAATAAACATACTACCAAAGTATACTCAATTTTGTGTTACTTATTTGGTGTTATCAACATTGCTAAATTTTTCTATAAACTTGATCAAAAGTTGAACTACGAAAAAGTCAAAACAGTTATAAACGGAGGGAGGAGGCTTTCTGATTTTCTCCTATACTTGAGGTGAAAACTTATTATACTTCTAAGAAGCACATTTCGACCTGTACTAGACCATAAAAGATGATGTGGCCAGCACAGATCCCGGCAACTGACCAGGAACGAGGAGATAAAAATCACAGCCAGAAAATATATTCTCCATGAGATTCCTGTGACGAGATAATGTAACCCAATTTATTGTTCATTTATTTTGCAACAGTACAGGATATGTCAAAGCAACACCACCAGTCGGCTGATCCAGTATGGTCACTACTTCATCTTAGCAATCTACTTTAACTTTGCTGTCCAATTCAGTGAACTCTTCGAAATATGCCTTGAAGTGTTCGTACGAGTGCTTGATGTCATCGACAGCACACATTTCCCTGATGCTGTGCATCGACAATTGTGGTGCTCCAATATCCACAGTACGAATACCAACACCACTAGCTAGTATTGGGCCGATGGTTGAACCACAACCCATGTCGTTCCGAACAACAAAATCCTGCAAAAATGAATGCAGAAATTAGATTTTATTGATTTCCAATTTGTTTAAACAAGTAATAGCCCCTTGTTCTTAAACTGGATAAGCACAAACTGTTCAAGAGCTTATCTAATTTGTTTATTCATCTCAAGGTCAATAGATTCTTTTTTCCGAAAAGGAAGGCAAGAAATTTGCCTTATATATTGATAGAGCAGGAGTCAAGGTCAATAGATTAGCCAGACATATTTTTGAACTTAGAGACTATGACAACTTGATTAGTTCAGAACAAAGCACTATTTCACAGTTGTTATAGAAGGATCCTTCATACATGAACTAACCTGTATAGGTAGATGGTGCCTCTCAGCAATTTCCCGAAAAATAAATGCTGTCACAGCATTTGTAGCATATCGTTGGTTAGCATTGTGTTTAATCACGAGTCCTCCATGCAATTTAGGCTGGTGGTTCTCCTCATGCTTGTCCTGCAAAGATAAATAGAAATAGGTTCAAAAGGTTTAATTTAATTGTTGCTGTATAACTGCAAATCTCAGATACTGATGCAAAGAAAATCTTACCATATAATTGGGGTGTAAGGCATGTGCCATATCTGCAGATACTAGAAAGCTTCTTTGAATAGCCTTTTCTAGCAACTGAAAATTAAAAGCAGATTGTCACAATGTAAACCTAAATAGGTACACAGACTGCAAACAGTCTAGTTGTTTGTAATGTGCATAATGGAGCTGGGGAGAACTATTTCAATATGTGCAAACAGTTTATTTAAAGTATCCTTTAAGCCATGCCACATTACATGGTCAACAAAAACAAAATTGTTTAATGAAAGTAACAGATCTGGTTACCAACTGAAACAGAAATATATGCTTTATTCTTGCGTAATGAAAATCAGTTAGTACCCTCGAATTTGAAGAGTTAAAAGACCCTGTGATTCTTGACAAAGCATCTAACATGGCAGGAGAACCAGCTCCCTGAGCCGAATCAGATCCAACCTCCTCATGGTCAAATAGAGCCACCATTCTCACACCAGATTCATGCGCAAGAGATTCTTCAGAAGAAGTCGATTCTATTAGGGCCTGAAACAGTATAGGGGTTAAGTAATTGCATATTATTTGCTCGCAAGAAGAAAGAAATAATTAGTTCTTTAGAAAGGGATGCAGTTGACTAACTTTATTGCCTTAAAGTACACAACGGAAAGGTATCTTTCTGTTCTAGAGCAGCACATATACAAAATGACGACACGGTGTAGCACTTAACTAGAGTTATAAAGGATGCTAGGTCGCTAACCCATTCAATAGCAATCACGATTGCGATTCATGATACAAGAGGGGCTCCATTATACAAATTTGGAATGAATAGAAGGTGAGAAGATGAGCTATTACTTCCAGCAAATTTTACAACTTAATTTTGATGTCATTGTTTGTTGTTTCTCTATCTTCTTTTTCTTATAAAAAATCCCCGTACTAGTTCAAATTAAGTAAATGTAATAATACACTTAGAAACATGTGAAAGAAATATTTAAACGTTCTTTAGCAAAACGCTTGCATGAAAGTAATTTCCTCCCTCAGCAGAAAATACGATTTGCAAGCACAACAACATAGAAAATTTCCAAAGTGACGTAATTAAGGAGCTAGATTTTACACAAAATCAACCAATAGTATTTCAAATAAGTAAATTCATAAATGTAGGAACTATAGGTGAACTGAAAACAGCATAGACAAACCTTCAACGAACAAAATGACATGCAAAGATTGTCAAGCCTTCCTGAAAAGATGAATTCTTTCATGGCACCTGCTACAGTACTTGGCTGGGTATCGCACAACTGCAGCTCAAAGTCACATATCTCATCAGGCTTGCAGTTCGCTTCTTTAGCAATCAACTGCAACAAATTTAAAAGAAAGATATATCAGGAGTTTTGTATTATTTGTGAACCTATTTGTCCAATGGAATTAGTATACTACACAAAATAAGTACCTGCAATAATAGTGGATGATGCTTGGTGTTCTTACTCTCAGATGACTCTGAACCATTTTCTGCCACTAATTTCTGCATTTCATTCTGCAAAATATTGTATTGCCTTCAGTCTTGTATTGCTCCAGATTGCCATATTGTATTTTGTTCGTTGAAGTGAAAGAAATATTTAAACGTTCTTTAGCAAAACGCTTGCATGAAAGTAATTTCCTCCCTCAGCAGAAAATACGATTTGCAAACACAACAACATAGAAAATTTACAAAGTGGCGTAATTAAGGAGCTAGATTTTACACAAAATCAAGCAATAGTATTTCAAATAAGTAAATTCATAAATGTAGGAACTATAGGTGAACTGAAAACAGCATAGACAAACCTTCAACGAACAAAATACAATATTTGCTTTCAAGGACTAATTGCTCCAATGGCACAGTAATTGTTATCGAACAAAATATTGTATTGCTCCAGATTGCCATATTTACTCAATAGTTACTTTCAAGGACTAATTGCTTCAATGGCACAGTAATTGTTATAGAAGCCAAAAAAACTTATTTGCTTGGTTTGGATGTTATTAATCTCATGTTTGGTCCTAGTGATTGTAATGCAATTTTGTGCATGAACTAGCCAAGTTCAGCATGGCTTTAGATTCTTCTTTGAGCCTGTTTATTTGGCATGAAGAGGCATGAAGATTTACCAGAGTTTGTATCTAGAACGCTTGTTAGTGGATTTCCTAACATGTCATATTAATGGGATACATTTCTAGTTTCCATAAAAAAAAGGAAACTCAGACACTGGCCAATGTATTCAAATCACCTTAACAGATGTGGCCAGCACAGGGACAAGATGATTCTGGTTGTTAATCTTGAGACCTTCTGAGGAGATATTCCTGTACATAATTTAAGCAAGACAAATGAAATTACTCTTTACTATTATAAACAATAAAAGCATCGAAACATAACAGGATTTATGTCCAGCATAGGTTGCACTATTGAAAGTAAATGCATGGTGAGAATGACATTTCAAAGTACTGGCAAGTGGGCATGACAAACCAAAGTATTGGACTAATTAAATATAGTGATTTATTCTCAAAACATTTCTTCAAAGTTAATCTGTGAACGGTAAATTAGTTTAGACGTGTTAAGAGCAATTGTGTAAGGTGCTAAAAGCTAAGGTTTTATCCACATGTATCGTTGTTATTACATGTAAACAGCTAGGTACATTACATTAGCGAAGACCTAAAGTTCACATAACTAATCAATATGATATGTCAAATTTTCAGTTTTCGTTGCCATGAGAAAATTTATATTAACTAAATTTTGAAACAAAAGAACATAATGGCATTTCTGTAGAAAATGTTTCAATACAAGATGAACAAATGGACCAGGATGTTGTGAAATAATGTTGGACATCACGATCTGTATACGAGCTATCTTACTACTGATCAAATATGGCAATTCCTTCTCTTATTCAGTTTAAGCGAACACATCCAAACTAGATATGTCAGAGTGTACAAGTATTACTTTGAGTTTCCTTTAAATTGGTGATGCATGTTTTCAGTTAGGCATCTGGCTCAGTTAGCTGAAGTGTGGATTTCTACTCTAAGTTTCTAATGGTAAAAGGTTCAAGTGCATGCTGACAGGGTCAAGCTGAAACTGATACCTGAAGCATGTCGTCGATTTTCTGTATTTGGGACCTACTGTTATCTTTGGTTTAGTCCAGATTTTTTTTCTTTGACAAACATTAATTACTACAGGATAGTAGGTAGAATAAATAAGTTGCCACAAGAAACCAAATAGGCAATTGGACACACATGTGACCTATAGTTTACTTTAGTTTAGGTTGATTAACTGTTCCGATCTAGCAATATAGGACTAACAAAATTACGACCTAAAATTTAATGTAGGTCCAATTTTCATGGACTTAATCACAGGAATAAAACACAAAAATGGATAAGTTGCTAACACCAACCTGTCAAGGTGAATAGCCAAAGTGGGGATTCTCATGACTGGCTCTTGCACTCTTACAAGCTTATGCGCATACGACACTGCACCATCCTTCTTCTCCCTTACAATCACCCTACCAGCAACAGTAAGATCACGGTCGAACCATGTGTACCACAAGCCACCTCCATAAGTTTGGACCCCAACCTCAAGATAACCTCCCTTTGTTACCTGCGTGGCAAGAAGCAGGATTTAATCGCCAATTCATCGAATTGTACCACGCCAATTAACATAAACAGAAATCAACTACGAAGAGTTCAAACTCTAAACCTTGGAGACAGGCTTGAGCTTCAGGGATGGACTGTCAGTATGCGCACCGATTATGTGAAACCCATTGCCGGCAGCATACCTACAACACATCAACATAATCCAATAATAAATAATGCACTAATCAGGACATTCATGATCCACAAAACCGTATAGAATTACTACAGATAAGTTTCTTCACAAAAAAAAAATAGAAAAAGTATGACAAATTAAATAATCCTATAGCCTCGAGCAATCCAAGGAGTGTGAGGACAAGGTAAAAGTGGATCTAGCAGAGGCTCACTTGGCGCCGATGGCGAAGGCGACGATGGTGGAGTGGTTGCGCGTGAAGAAGTACTTGCGGCCGGGCTGGAGCCCCGCCCACTCCTCCCGCTCCGACAGCTGCGAGAACCCCGCCGCCTTCAGCCGCCGCTTCGCCTCATCTGAGACAACACATTCACAGTCCAGTTTGCGTCGATCGACACCAAAGGAGGAAGAAGGAAGGGAAATAGGAATCGGGGGGGAAGGGGGGCGTACCGACGGCGTGGAAGGCGGTGGGGGAGGCGTTGAGGAAGTCGACGAGGTCGGAGACGACGGGGGCGACGGCGACGGCGGCGGAGGCCATGGGCGGCGGCGGCAGTAGTGGATCGATGAGTCAGGTGTAGCCGCCGACTTTGGTATGCAGGGATCGGTGTAGGGCTGTCAAAAAAAAAGGTCGAGGCTCAGCGAGCAGCTCGAGGTTTCGAGAGCCGAACCCGAGCCTGAGCAAAAGCTCGCGAGCTTTACCGAGCCGAGCTCGAGCTTTATCAAGCCTGGCCGAGCTTGACCGTGCATAGTTTATATTGCATGTTTACCTTATTAATATAATAAACTAATAGATAAATATATATATTAGTATCTATTTACACAATAAATTAGCATATGTTAGTACAATATATTTATTTTAATTATTTTCTACTCTTTTATTAGTGTGATTAACTAAAAAATAATTATACTTATCAAGAGATTATTATTAAAATATATATTATACTACTTATGGCCGAGCTCGGTAGCCGAGCTCGAGCTTGAACCGAGCTTGCCTAAAAGCTCGAAAGTGCAGTAGGCTCGGCTCGAGCTCGGCTCGAGCCTGTGTCGAGCTCGAGCTTGGGCAGACGAGCTTGCTCGAGCTCGGCTCATTGACAGCCCTAGATCGGTGAATAGTTGTGTCTATGTATTGTACCCGTATATACTATGTTGTGTCCGGATGCCCCTTTTCCCATCATCTCTCCCTATGTCTTTTTTTTAAAAAAAAGTTTCTATACGAAAATTGCTTAAAAAAATAAAATTAGTCCATTTCAAAAAAAATAGCAAATACTTAATTAATCACGTGCTAATGGACCAATCCGTTTTCGTGTTTGTGTTGGGAACTGCCTCCCGTGAAGATAGCGTTCTTTTCCCCTCTTTCCCAACTCACTTGCCTCATTTTTCACGCGCACACTTTTAAAACTACTAAACAATATATTTTTTAAAAAAAAATTCTATATGAAAGTTACTTTATAAAATCATATTAATCTATTTTTAAAGTTTTTTATTAGGCTAATACTTAATTAATTTCACTATAATCGCGTGCTTTGTTTTCCGTGTCGAGAGGTGCCCAACCTTACCTCCCGAACATAGCCTAACTTGTTTATACGGGGATAATGTTCCTATAATTTTTGGAATCAGAAAAGAAAATCAAATGGAGTCGAATATTATCGAATACTGATACATAATGAATATGAGTTAGAATACGGGCACGAATATTTATCGGAACATAAAGAAAGACCTTTTTACCATTCTTACAAAGTCAACAAAGAAATATAGGCAGTTTTATCCAAAAGAAAATAAATTCGTGGTATATATAATATGTTATTCTAAATTAGGCTCTTTGGTTTTCTAGATTTTAATAAAAAATATAATTGTAAATATGAAGTTGTATTCAATATTCATATTAGAATCTCAATTTTAAATGTAATTTGTTTCATTTCAAAGTTATTAGTAATGAACAAATGTAATTGACATGGACACTTCTTACTCTTTTTAAAATAATAAGGTATTCCATTAAAAACAAATTATTTGATATATTACTATAATAAATAATGTTTTTATTATAGATAATAGTACCGAATATAGTGTATGATTTGTAACTAGCAAATATGACATACTGGATAGCTGCATACCTTGTTTCTAAAATAAAATTATTTAACAAATATGTTGGGATAGAGATGTGAACCTAAAGATGGAGATAAATGGTTTTATAAAGCTATCCGAATAACTATTTAAAAATTATCCATATATTTTCTAACCATTTTTCGTTTTCGCCATATACCAACCTTACTGTATCTTTTTCTGAAAAAAAAAATCTAAATTCGTTTCTATTGTCAAAACTATCAAAAAATAATATCCGGCCGACATTATTTATTTCCGAAAAAGCATCCCAGTATTATAACTATCTGAACCATTTTCATCCATTCGTATATTAATGGTTTTAACAGATGGCACCATTTACGTATTGATACAGGTTGAACCATTTGTTTTATAGAAAAGTAAAATGACCTCGATATCGCTTAGAGAGGAGGTGAATAGATGATTTAAAATGAAATACGAAAGCTAAAGCGAAACATGGTTGGATTATGATACTAGGTCAGATTGTCGGAAGTAAGAACGGACCATCTGACCTGTAGAGCAGCAATACAAACAGGCAACAACATTAAAGTTGATCCAATCCACAAGTAAGGAGGCGAGGTCAAACATCACTACATTAGTGTGGTAGAAAGCAATTCAACAAGAAAGGTAAAGGGAAAGAGGATATCACCAAGGTTTATGTAACAGTATATTTTTCGGAGTTCAAATTCTTGAGGGGATTCTAATCTCTGTTAAGGAGCTCACAAATAGTCAAGTCTTTTAATCTGGGTTGATGTTACCAACTGAAAGTAAAGATCCTCCGGCATTAGTCTCGGTTTGTGTTTCCAATCGGTACTAAAGATGCACTTTTAGTACCGGTTGGTAATACCAACCGAGACAAAATGTTTTCAGGGACTTGGACTTTTAGAACCAGTACTAAAACATTTTTAGTACCGGTTCTAAATCTAGCTGAGATATTTGTGATTTTTGATACCACGATGAAAGATCAGTTGTTAAGTATTGGTAGCACATGCATGTAATGGCTGTTCATGCAAACTGTAAAGTCACACTATCACTGAACAAAAAAAAAGTCAAATAGCCGGAGAGTATTGTTGAGAAGAGGCCATATTTCGAATGATGGAATATCGAAGTGTTTGGTCGGTCCGGATGCTGATGTAATTAGGGATGAAAACGGTACGAAAATTTTCTGGATTCCGGATCTATTTTCGAAAACAGAATCTGTCGGTCAGAATTTTTTCGAAAACGAAAACGAATTCGGAAATATTTTCTTGGAAACGGAATCGAATATGATAGGGGCAGTTTCCGTCGGAACTCGGAATCGGTCGGAGACTTTTCGGGAAATTTCTCGGAATTTCCGGAATTACAAAGGCCCATAACATAGTCTATAATTCCTCCCTAGCCCAACCCAATTTAGCATCCTAATTCCTATGTCACTCAATTCAGCCCAACCCAATACACCCAATTCAAACTTGAGAATTGAACTTGACATGATTGTGTTTTGTGATGTAATGTTGAAATTTGAGACTTGAGAATTGGATTTGACATATTTTAAAGCTTAGTTTGAGGGGTTTTTTATTCCGATATATTTTCGTTACCGTATCAGCACCGGTCAGTTTTCGCTCCGTTTTCGGTTTTGACAATATTTAATTCCGTTTTCGTATCTGGGTTTCCGATTCTGATTCCGAAAAAATATGAAAACGAAAACAAAAAATATAGTTTCCGCCGTTTTTGTACCGTTTTCATCCCTACATGTAATGAGTTGGAGCTTGATATCTTTTTTTTACTGATGAGTCAAACTGATTCAACCAGTGAAGAACATGAGCACGGGTTGTTTTATTGTTTGGAACATGTATTACGAGCTTAAATGCTCATACTATGTAACCTTGTGGTTGCATATATCCTGCGGGATGTAGAGGCCTTTTTTTTTTCTCAAATCCATTATCTAAAAAAATAATGACTGATCCTTAAAACATAGAAGAACCATTTTAGGGTGTAGCATAGAGCCACGGCAAATCATAACAGTTGATTATGTGTGCTTCATTTCTAATAAAAAAACATATGATCTCCCTTCACCAAATACATGATGGTTAAAAATGCAAAGTATCATAAGTATCTTTCCTAAATTAATTATTTACTAATGAAGAATTTATGATTTAGGCAACAAACTGAAGAGGCCCACAATTTGCCAAAACAAGGCGCAATGACTATGTGTAATTTGGGCCTACATGTCAATGGGAGGCTTAGGGCAGGTGCAATAGGGAAAATGTACCTACTATTAGCCGCTGGCATCAGCTCTTTTTCATTGCTGGAAGAAAGAGGGAGTGGAGAGAGAGAGCAGCCGTCGACTAAATTGACAACGCCTGTGCACAGGCGCCTAGACACGGCATGCATACGATGGATGCTGTGATTGGTGAAAAGAATAGGTGAGAGATAATTAAGGTTGGCCCACATGGAAAGAGCATCTGTGACTGGTTGATAGCCTAGGAGAGAGAACCAAGGTTTGGCCCACATTGAGAGAAAAATTAATGACTCGGTTAAATATTATATTATCTTTAATGATATAGAAATGACATGTAAGCTCATCTAATAGATGGCTGCTTACTCTCTTATTAAACTTGCCCTTATGTTCGATTCTCACATATCCAATAATTTTGTATAGTTTTTACACTAATAAAAAATATGAAAAGTCGGATTTGGTATGAACAACGGATTAATTGTATGTTTGCCATATACAAAAGATAGACGCAGATAATTCAAAATTCCAAGTTGTGCTGCGCAACTAAACTAATCGATCAAAATTCCAACGACCGCCAGACCAAATCCCAACCCTTTAATTTGCATGGGCTCCTGCCTTTGCCATATAGGAATTCCCATTGACGACAACCGTGTCCGGATGTGAACTCGAATTACGTATATACGTACCTGCATGCATGCAACATTCCAGTTCACACCATCTACAACAGATACCGGGATCAAAGATTATTAATCTTTAGTCCCGGTTCAAAAGATTAGAGCTACTTTTTGATCTTTAGTTTCGGTTGGGAACACCAACCAGGACTAAAAATGAGTTCCGGTTCGAAAAAAAATAGCAGGCGGTGTCAAACCCCTCTATTATTTTTATTATTTTTAGTCCCGGTTATTTCGAGTCTCGATTGGTGTTACCAACCGGGAAATAAGATCGGCATATGCGGCAGAGATGACGAGGCGTGCGCGAGACCCAGAGGCAATATCAGTTAATAAGTTCTATCTCCTCCTCCCTCACCTTAATTTATCTCTTTCTCCTCTTCACCCCTATCTCTTCCTCTTCCTCCTCTCCTCATTCTCTTCCTCTTCCTCATCTTCTCCTCCCCTCTCCTCCCCATTCTTAGGCGGCCGGGCAGCGGCGGAGGCAGCCTCGTGCGCGGATCCGGGATCTAGCGCGGCCGGCCGGGCGGCGGCCTAGCGCGGAGGGCCGCGCCCGGTGGAAGCCGGCGCGGAGGTTGGTGCGGCGGTAGGCAGTGGAGGCCGGGGCTGCTGCGTGATTTTTTTTTTCTTTTTTCCTTAATGTGTGATTCGATCTGTGTTGAATGATTCGATCTGTGTTGAATCGATCTGTGATGAATGTGTGATTCGATCTGTGTTGTTGTTGTGAATGATTTTGAGAATGATCTGTGTTGTGAATGTTGTGAATGATTGGGGATTAACTATTACTGTGAATGATTTGGGATGAACTATATAACTGTGAATGATTTGAGATAATGGGCGTGAGATATACAAAATAGAAAAAAAAAAGAAAAACTCCGATTGAAAAACCGGGACTACAATGAGTTACCAATCGGGAGTAAAAAGCATTTCTCTACCAGTGATACTTTTATGTATATATATAGTTTTATATATTTCAAAAAAAATTTAAATAAGTCGAATGGTCAAACATGCTTAAAAAAAGTCCACGACGTCCCATATTTACTATTTAGGGACAGAGGGACTACGCTATATAGAAATACTCGCAACATTTTGAAAAAAAAATCAAACAATAATAAGACCACTGGTGGAGAAAGCGTTTGTAGTCCCGGTTCATAACCCCCTTTAGTCCCGGTTTGAAAACCGGGACTACCAATCCGGGACTAAAGATAGATCGCTATCTTTTGTCCCGGGTGAAATAACCGGGACTAAAGATCGAGCTGACCTTTTTTTTTTCATGGCCCTGTTGCTGCATGGTTTATATATATATATATATATATATATATATATAAACCATGCATATATATGTATAAATACACATATATATATATATATACATATATATATATATATACATATATATATATATATACATATATATATACATATATACATATATACATATATACATATATATATATATATATGACCAAAATATATATTTACATTAAAGAAAATGTGTACATGCATATAGAAAAATAGACATGTATTAATTACAATCTATTATGATGTCTTAGCTAGCTACGATTTCGACGTAGTAGTAGTCGTTATCTCAGAAGCTAAGGACCTTTGAATTGTATTTCCGTCGTAGTAGAATTCACCCTTGGGATCAAGGATTTATTCGTTGATGAATCCCATTAGTTGTTCTTGAACCGCCGCGATAAATTCCTTGTGTGTGATCAGGTTATCCCTCATGCGAATAAACTATATGAATGTATGAAATTAATTAGTAATTAAACAACAAATCGATACGTACGCAATGAAATTTTGAATTTATTTGTACGTACATCGAGCTCTCTTGTGGTGATGATTTGGTCTGCAAGGCAATGGCAATACTCGCACACGTAGTAGCCGCACAAGTTAGTTCCCTGCTTTTGCTTTGCGCACTATAAATAAATGATAAACTGCGAGAGATCTAATTAATATACACTTGTATGTATTTGAATTGGAGATTGAATATAAATATAGAGCATGTGTACTCACAAGAAAATTGAACTTCCGCCTAAGTCTTTCTCGTCATTTGCCGTGGACCAAATGACGGAACCGATACCAATCGGGACTAAAGATCCCGGGAGGGCCTGACAGACCCTGACAGCATTTGAACCAAGACTAAAGATGATTGGGACTAAAGATCATCTTTAGCCCCGGTTTTATTGCAACCAGGACTATTGTGAAATTCGGCCGACTGACGAAAGATGGTTTCTCCGCCCCTGGACGAAAAGAAAAACAACGATCAGACCGGGAAGGGCGTGCATGCAATTGTTGGAACGTGGATAGGCACGGTATCTATTTATTGGTCTTTATCCATGCATCTTGGAAGGGGCAGACCGGCAGCTCGAACGTCCTGTTTAACGCGCTAGGGCGATCGAGACGCGCAAAATTTTCTGTGCATGCAGCACGCGCGCGTACGTGTACGAACGCGCGGTGCCCGAAAATCGCATTGAGTATAGCAGCAGCATCGTTCAGATTGATCGATTTCCATCTCAAAAGAAACAGGAGCCTTTGCTATTTCCTCGGCCCCGACCAACAAACAAACAAACAGCGGATGAGCGGAGAGTAGTCAAGCCGCGTCGTCGCGCGTGGTCGTCGATCGCATCGCGCTCTCTCGCGGTTGTCGTCCAAACGCGTTGAAATTAACCACCGATCGATCGAGATGGCCGTGCGTGTAAAGCCCTACGAGTGATCGCCCCGGCCGGCGCTCTCTCTTCCCTCGTCATGGGGAGGGAGGCGTCCTCGCCACCGCCCCCGCCGCCGCCGCCGGCGGTGGTGCATGGAGCCGGCTCGTCGTTGTCCGGACAGAAGAGGAAGGCCGCCATGGACGATGGCAGCGGCGAGGACGACAACGTGCCACCATGGCTGAAACTGTCTCTCGGTCCGGTGGCCTACGGGGTCGCCACGGGCGTCGTCGACGACGACTCCTCTTCTTGCGCTCCGGCAGTGACGACGTCGATCGAGGTGCGGCCGCCGGTGGCCACTGGTGTGGTCTCCGGATCGGCGGCCCAACCATCGATTGAACATGTTCCTGCCGATGATGCGGTGGTCACGCCGTCTTTTGTGGCCTCGGCAGCCGGTGTGCTGTTCACCGGCTGCGCGAGTGGTTTGATCCCCAATGGTGCAGTCTCGGTATTTCCATGCTTTAATTTTCTTGGACCTTCAATGTCATCATCAATCCTATCGCACCTCCATCAACAATTCTCCTCGACTCGACGTCAAAGCAACGCGTCCATGGCAAGATCTAGCCGCACCTGTGGCGGGGACGACGACATGGCACTTAGCAACATCGCTGCGCCGAACGTCACAAACGGTGGCGGCAACAACAACAACGACGGTAATGCTCTTCCTGATCCACCGTATCCTTGGGCTACCAATGAACCGGCCAAACACCACTCCCTCGCCGAGCTCGCTCGCCGCGACATCACCACCATCCAAGGCGACGCTCGGTGCAGGCGCTGTGATGCACGCAAGGTGATCGTCTACAACATTGCCACTAAGTTTCAAGAGGTGTCCGACTACTTACGCCAAAACCACCAACATATGCATGACCGTGCGCAGGCGCGGTGGATGAACCCTGTCGTGCCGAACTGTGACGACTGCGGCCATGAGAAATGCTTGCGTCCGGTGATCGCTGCCGAGAAGGAGCGCATCAACTGGTTGTTCCTACTGCTTGGGGAGACACTGGGTTTGTGCACACTTGATCAGCTCAAGTATTTCTGCGCGCACACCAACCGGCATCGCACCGGTGCCAAGGATAGGGTGCTCTTCTCCACCTACGAAGAGCTATGCAACCAACTTGTTCCTGGGCTAATCACAAGACGTGACCAGTTGAGGATGCGTTAGTTATTAATTTTTTCGGTTGTTAATTTAGACTTTTCAAGATGCAACCATGCGTGCCTACGTGGTTGTTACATTAGGTTCATCTAGAGTCTCTGTCTTGGAGTCTCGTCTCTATAAGTCTGTGAGTGTTTGAGATAGTTCGCGATATATTATTTCTCTCTTTTATTTGTAAGTTGTGCAACTGGATTTGAATGTGGGTGTGTATTGTTTGTTTTAATATACTATTTATGTCCTTTCAGCTTTGAATGATAGGCGCAATTTGGTGTGGTTTGGGATTTGTCCTTAAATTTGGAGAAATGTTGATTACGGCCAAAAATACCTATAGGTCTTTACACTTTGTTGAGAAGGTGCTTTATGTTACTTGGAATATCTGGGAGAAAAGAAATGGTTTAATTTTTTATAATATCGCTCCTTCTCTTTTCTCTTGGAGAGTTCTCTTTAAGAATGGTATCTCCCTTTTACTCCATAGGCTTAATTTGTTTGATCATTGGATTAATCTGTTGTAATTTTCTACCTTTTATTTTTTCAATATATTAAACTGTAGGGGCTTCCTTCCCTCAAGAAAAAAAATGGCTTCTTAATTCAATTGGAGATTTCAATGTGGGTCCAGTTTTATTTGTGTAGATAGTACTAGTAGTATATTGCGAAATTTCACTGCTGCAAACTTGTAATTACTGTATTTACACTAGGTTGGATTTGAGATGATAGATGCTATGTAGAAGCTGAGAGTACGTAATCTATGTCGTTAGCAGCAAGTAATTCAAACCAATGGTTTGGTAAATGTAATCTAGCTATATATTTTTTTTAAAAAAAACTGAGCCAGCAAGAGTTGGTGTTATATTGAGCAGAGTAAAAACATTTGTGCATTGAATTTTACAGCCTTAGAGTAGAGATATGTACTGCTGTAGCACTGGTTACAAACTCACAATATGTTCATTTAACTAATGTTGCGGTGTTTATAAATGCATTTCTTTAGTTTGCTCAACTAATTTATGTAAGATTACTATTTTTTTATTTTGTCAATTATACTTTTCCTTCGCGTTGATCTAATTCACTTAGTTGCTATTGGACCCATTTTTTCCCCACGATGTAGTTTCATGCCAAACTGTATAAACAACACATTGTTGACCTTGTCTGTGGATAGATTGGTGTGTTATCACTTATCACCCAATGTATAAGCAACCCATTGTTGATGCATCTATAGTACTGTTTATATGGAATTATTAGTTACCCACCAATCTAATTATTTTTTATGAACGCAAAACCTTAATAGATTTATAGTTTCTAAAAATACACTGCCTTTTACTTATCTTACATACATACCTAATCGGTGAAATGCTTGCCAAGCCACATAGTTCTACGAATGCAAATCACTAATCCGTTTTAGTTTACTGCACTTGCTATTTATGTTAGATAGCTTGGATTCAGGCACTAATACATTTCATTCCCTTTGTCCAAGTAAATACACTTAATACATGATATGATATATCCTAATACTATAAATTTGGACACATAGACACATGCAAGTGTTTTTCGGTAGTTTCAGCGTGGGCGGCGTGAACGATATTATGGTTTGCCACAAACTAGATCATTTAGTTTGCATTGGTGTTTGATTTGCAATTGTAGAATATTGTAGAATACACAGCTTGTCAAACTAAGGTCTCAATATGTCCTGCACAATTTTTTTTTCATAAAATCGGGTTATTTAGCTATGCCCTGTAATGATGCCACTGAATAATGGTCGTTACAATTTTTTGTGTACACATTGTTATTTGGTTATCGGATTGTTGTGGCTTTCTATTCCATCGGCTTTCTTTGTGTGTTTACATGTGTGTGTTACCCCAACACAGCTTAATCAGGAGAAAATGGGTACAGATATTAGTAAAAATTGTTAAACCAACTGAATTTTTGTTTTTAAAAATACAATTCCTTAAAGAAGTGTTTTGTGCAGTAACTAGAGGAAATAAAAATCTCAACTATAAAAATTAACTCAAAAGGCAACAATGTTTGGGAACAGTCAAATACTCAAGAAGTAACTAAATTTGTTAATAAGGGCCTCAGTTGGTGAACAAAAGAGGGCATAGTATGGTAAATGTTGGACAATATTCCATTTATATTGTGGTTTGTAGCAGTGGACAGTCTTTAATATTGTTCAGTTTGAACTTGATCAAAATTCCTGCTAAGTCTTGTTGAAATGTTTTAATATCTTGCTGCATAATGTAAAGGGAGAACATTTTAAATGATTTTCATAATGGGAAGCATTGGTGCAAAATATGAATAGAGTTGGTTTTAGTTGCATGAATTTGAATTGGTGGGAGATAAGATCCGCTCCAATGCTCCATGAACTCAAGGATATATAGGCCACATGAGGCGTTAGAAAAATTGAGGCGTTAGGTTAACACATTACAATAATTAAATAATATGAATAGCATGTGGAAGAGTTTAGGAGTAACCCACGTAGTCTCCTTGCTTTGGCAATTGCTGGACTTCGCTGTATTCCCATGAGGTAATATTGAAATTAGGCCAGTCATGTTGTAATTATGGGTGCTGATTTTTTTGTCCCCTGTAATCCTCTCTGGATAGCTACCAGCTGGGAAGTGATTGTAATGTCAGGTTTGTTAAAACACGACGAACTCGATTTGAATTGTACAAGTGGATCGAAGTGTATCGCTCACCACACGCCTTAGATCGGGTCGATCTTCACTGATTGGGATATATGGCTAGCGAATCGAGTATTTGCACTTCACGTTGCTTGGCGTTAAGAACGGCAAGGTACCAGTGTGTTTCTTTTATATTAATTGGGAGATAAATCTGTAGATGTGCGATAGGAAGATTGGGTAATAGCTTGCAATAACCATTGCATAGAATAGCTAAATAAACGTTCTCATGTCATATGTTAGGTACTTGCATGCCATATTTTTAATCCATTGTTTATCATAGGGGTTGTTAGATTTAGCATGCGCCCTCTTTCAGTAGATGTCACACCCTGATTTTAGTTCCAGGGATTAATAAAATTATTTAATAAATTATTCCTAGAATTTATATTAAATATTCCCACATTTACAAGTGATATTAAATGTGGGAAATAAAACTTCCTAAATAAAAAATGGCTTGATTTATTTATTATTACATTCTCCATGATTAATTATACTCTGAAAATTCTCGGATTTTTCAGAGCTCAATTGTTAATTTGTAAGATACAAAAGAACATACGAGTAATTATTTAAATACAAATTAATCATTAAATGATCTGGTTATAATTTGTTTTAAATACTTTGAGTGATCAAGTATTATGAGGATTTTTATTGGAATTATTGGAGCATTTGAAGCGTTTTAATGGAAAAGATCATATGCAATGATTAATTTAAATGGAAAAGTAATTAAAAACCCTCTCCTAAATCTAGGCCAATTCTGGAGAAGTCTCAACATTTTAGATTTTCAAAACTACTTATACTTTTGGAGTAGGAATAACCCTTATGACATATCTCCTTGACCGGGAGCATGGTGTATTCGAATACGTCTGCAATGTCTGCCCAGCTTTACCCACACGATGAGAACAATTCGCGAGGTTGTAAACACCATAGCCGTTCGAGAGTCCCATTTACCACTAGTTACTGCACAGTGGGGTCTTGGTTCATCATAGTGGTCAAACTCTTGCCAGGCCTAGGCAAGGTATCTATATCGTCACACTTTCATGAAGCCCACTGTTGTGATTCATGCCACCCAAACACCTTACGCATGATTCACCACAAAACCTGCTCCTAATAAGCCACCCAACAATCTTTCATATAGTAGGACAATGTACTAGGCTAAGTCCAATTACTTGGTCGTGTGGATGGGCGTAACTATGTCATTTCTATGGTATAAGGGGATAATTATAATCCGGTTAAACCACCAAAATATCTCAACATCCCAAAACTTCCATACCAACTTCATAAATCACACTTCAAAAAGCCCATTTTAACCGGATTCCTAAGTTTGTAAAGATATTTGGAATAGTGAACCACATAAAATGATGACTAAAGCATCATTCTATAATCTCATGCAAAAATGCTTGAAAGTATTTAATATCTAAAGAGTAATATTTCATGCATAAAATGACAGTTATATTAAGTTTTCTATATGATCAAAATTTTAGTTATGTCTTGCCTTGCGCCTTAAGATTTCCCGCGGCTTTAGCGTAATCATCTGAGTCCACGTCAGCTCCTTGGATGTCGATAGAATTTGCTGTACGGTCTAACGTACGAATACGAAAAAGATAGCAAATAGAGCCTATAAGCAAATTGCTACAAAGAAACGATAAACCAAGAAATAAAGAAAATTGGAGCAAGGCGAAGGAAAAAGGAGTTGGGTCAAAAGAAATTTTAGTTTGGAAAACAAAAGAGAGGGGTTTTGGTTTCTAAAGGTTGGGTTTCAAATAAAGTTGAGGAAAAAGAGAGATTGGGTAGGTAGGGTTTATTTGGTGGTTTTGGTTTATAGTCGATGCTAGAATAGAGTAGCACAATGGCTAGATATTTGGAGTTGGTTAGCCGATGCTAAGGATAAGCAACATTACGGCTAAATATTTGGCTTATTTAGTCGATGATACAGCGCAATGACTAGAGAGTTGGGAAAAATTCGTGTGGGTTTGCAAGATGGAAAGTGCTACTCTAAAGCTGTGAGTGACAGCAAAGCGGCTAGGATTGCACATAGTCCAAGGACTAGTGTGCTGTGGAGGTCGGGAGAGTAGTGAGGCTTCAATCACTGTACGCGTCGAGGCATGCGGTGTGAAGGGCAACACTTTGACCTTGGAACTAGGTTATGCCGTGTTTTACGATCAACGATTCGACGTCGGGGTTTGTAGACTACACGAATGTCTCATGGAAGCGTAAAGTTTGCACGACAACTGTTTAGTGGCTATTGGATTAGCAAAAGAAATAATTGAAGGTTTTAGAAATAAAAGGAAATAAATAGATCAAAGGAAATTGAATTCAAAATGGGTTTTTAAAGAAATAAAATTTAAAATGGTATTTGAAATGAATAAATAAAAGGTGTTTAAATAAATTAAAGGAAAAATTTAGTTTTTTAAAAAAGGGTTTTTAAATAACACAGAAATTTAAATTTAAAGGTATTTGAATAAAATAGAATAATTAAAAAAGGTTAATTAAAATAAATTTTAAATTCGAAATGTAAATAAATAAATGAATAAAAAGGGATTTAAATGAGAAAATTTAAATAAAATTTAAAAATAGAAAATTTGGTATCAAAATAAAGAGTTTGAAATTAGATGAATTTAGATAAAGAATTTACTAGAATTGGATCTATGATTTGAGAAATATGGGTGTCTATAGAGATTGAAATTGAAACAAAAAGGAAAGGGATTAGTATGCAGTGGGGCCCACTTGTCATAGCCTTCCTTCTTCCTCCTTTTCTCCTCCTCGTCTTCTTTTCCTCTGTCTCACAGGAAGCCGAGAGAAGAGAGAGAGAAGCGCGAGCAAGGTGACGGCGCTCCGGTGGCCGAGAGGTGGCGACGCCAGCGGCGGGTGGTGTTCCCGCTTGTTGCTCACCCGAAGAGGAGGTCGGCCAGCGAGGGAAGCGAGGGAGGAGGCCGGAATGGCGAGGATAAAGATTGGTCCGGCCAGGAGAGAGAAAGCTCCGGTGGTGGCTCGATTTAGGGTGGAAGGAAAGGGGAAATAGGAAAAATTGGTTCACCTCGGCGAGGCAAGCCCGGATGGCGCAAGGATTTGGCCAGCGGAGCTCCGGTGAGGGAGATCGGCCGGTGGCGAGGTGGTGGCCGGCATGGCAGGAAAGAGAGAAAGAGAGTTTAGAGAGCTCGGCTGTGGAGGGGGAAAGGGCGACCGCGGAGGTCGGTTCGGAGAGGAGAAGGGATACTTGGTTATGGTGGCGGCAGCGTGGGGAAGTGGACGACGGCGCCGGCTTCGTTCTTCCATTGGCCGAAAAGGGCGGCGCGCACACGCGGCGGCCGTGGCAGCGTTGGGCGGTGGAGGTGGAGGAGTACGGCACGACGCTCCAGCTAGGCAAAACAGCTGCAGCGGCGGCAGGACCGTGGCGACGGCGCGATGCCGTGGGCGGCGGCGTGCCCATGGCGCCAGTGGCGGCGCCCACAGGGGAGGAAGAGAGAGGCGGCTGGTTGGGCCGGCTCGGCTGGGCTTCGGCTCAGTTGGGCCGGCAGCCCAAGAAGGAGTGAGTGGAAGGGAGAGAGGAGGAAAAGGAATGGGCCGAAAAGAAGGGAATTTCGGCCCGAATTGATTAGGAAGGTTTAATATTTTTGTGTGGAGAGTTTTGAACGGAATTCAAAGGAGATGAAAGAATGAAAGTTTTGGGATTTTTGAACTTGAACATGGAATTTGAATAAAATTTAAAGGAGATGAAAATCAAAGGATGGATGGATGGATGTGGACCTTTTTGGACTTTGGACAAAGAAATCAAATAGAAATCAAGGGAAATGGAACCTAAGAAAATTTTGTATGGAGGGTTTTTTTATAAAAAAATTAAATGAAAGGTTTTTAAAACAAAAGGAGTTTGAAAATATTTTAAATAAAATCAAGGATATTTATTTTGAGATAAAATTTGGTGGAAAAATTTGAAATGGGTAAAAGTGCTCCAATTTTATAGAATTCAATAAGAATCAAACATAAGACTTGGCACGGAAGTTTTTCTTTAATATTTAAAAATTAAAAATTAGAATAATCAAAAAGGGAAGGAAAGGCAATAATTTAATTTCTAACTTTGGATAAATTTGAAATGGTAGCAAAAATAGATGGAGGCAAATAACTAGGATTTTGACCTCCAAGATATGGGGTATGGATTCTTGGTTTAGTATTTGTGGCTAAGGGAAGTTAGACTTTCTAAGGAAAAAATTGGAAATAGTGTTCTTAGCACAAGAGCAATCATTCAAATATTCGTGATAATATCGTTCTTGTGCTAAGGGTGTGATCAAGCCATAGGAATCAAATTGGCGGCTTGATTCATAATTAAATAGAAGAATTTGAATAGTTGATCTTCTAGAGGAGTTTGTGGTAGGTATTGTATGAAGGATAAAATGGGGATTTCTAATGATAGGTCTAGATAGGAGTTTGATCCAAAATAAATTCCAATAAAAAGGAAGTTATACTGGTTTAGCCCCAAAAATAAAAATGGTTAATGGGATATAACAGAGAGTTGGGTCAATCAGGGAAATATTGGCCCAAGCTAAATAGTAGACTTTGAAATCTTGAGTGGATAATTTAGATGAATGAGATTTCAAAGAGGAAATATTTATTGGAGTATAGAACTGGATTCGGAAGTATATGTGGATGGGAATTTCTACGGGAACGGAATTGGTGGTAGCTTGATAAACTCTAGAGGATAGGTATATTGACTCAAAGGGGGATTGAAAAGGATATTTTTGTGACTCTAGAGATATTTAGGTGGAGATTCAAAGGAAAGGTATCAACATTTCATGTACTCTAGGGAGGTTAGAAAATGGCATTTCATGTGTTCTGGAGATAGCTGAGCGGGAATCGAAAGGATATTTGTGGGTGTTGGAGATGTTCGGGAATGGGTTCAAAGGAAATGTATTTAGAGTCAAAGTTAGAGATTAAATAAAATAAATAGAGAGCTTTTGTAAAATTTAAAAGATAGCGATTAACTTTGCAAATAAAGTTTAAGTCCAAAATAAAAGAAAAGATTAAAAGTAAGATCACTCTAATGCAAGAATCGAGAAGAGCATAACTTAAAATATTTCGCAAAATATTTTCCTGAAATTTTGAGTCCGTTACAGCCTTATAGTCAGCTTGCTCCAATATGGGAGTTGGAAAAAAAAAGTACTCTTTTTCCTTCAAGTACCATACAATGTACTAGAGTGTTTCCTTTTCTTCCCTGATTTCCCAAACTTCACCTGAAATAAACATGTGGCAGCAATAGTAAGGTGGTAAATCCAAATTCATATGGTTAGTCATAGTTCTAAAAAAAGGTTATGCCTTATAGTATTATCATGTCACATGCATAGTTTGATTTTTTTTAATTTAGAAGCATCACACAAAAAGATTCAATAATAAGATGGAAGCAATAACCTGTTCGAATTTCTCATACTGAGAAATAATATCATCTTCTGACAATGGTTTTGGAGCACTTCGCTTTTCCTTTTGGCCATCAAAAGAAGCATCATTGTTCCTCCAGACATGTCGCCTCGGCAAGAAGCGGCGATGTCCCATATAACAATATTTGTGCCCATTAACAAGTCTGTGGTAGCAGGTTTCAGTGTGGCATGAAGGACATGCATATTTACCTTTTGTGCTAATGCCTGACAAGTTTTCAAATGCTGGAAAATCATTAATTGTCCAAAGCAAAGCAGCACGTAAATTAAAAGTCTGCTTTGTGGAAGCATATGGCTACAAGTATACATCAATGTCATTACCAGGTGCTTTTGGGCCAAGAATTATCATAGACATCACCATATATGGATCTTTCATGCACATCCAAGGTGGCAAGTTATATATAACAAGAACTACAGTCCAGATGCTATATGAAGAACTCATATTTCCAAATGGGTTAAATCCATCACTAGCAAGACCAAGTCGGATGTTCCGTGCGTCCAATGCAAATGAAGAAAATTTCCCATCGAAGTCCTTCCATTCTTTTGAATTAGCAGGATGTCTCTTATATCCATCATCTACTAACTTCTCCTTGTGCCATCGCATATGTGTTGCAAGTTTTGTAGACAAGTACATCCGTTTTAACCTCGGTACCAATGGGAAGTATCGCAATACCTTCTATGGGACTTTCTTCACTCTTCTCCTCCTTGATTTAGAGACATTATTATGCCCTTCATTTTTCCATCTTGAAATGCCACAAACAGGACAAGAATCAGCCTTATCATAAGCCCCTCTATATAGGATGCAATCATTCAAACAAGCATCGATCTTTGTGTAATCCAATCCAAGATCTGTCATAGTCTTCTTTGCATCACTATATGACTTAGGCACATTACTGCTACTAGGAAATGCCTTGCATAACATGGAAAATAGAGCCTCCATTGCATTTGCACTAGATCATAGAGGTATTTGATATTTAACATTTGTACAATAAATGCTAGTGTCGAAAAGGTACCACACCCTGGATATAACTCTTGCTCTGCATCTTCTAGAAGTCTGTAGAATTTGTTAGTTTCTTCGTTAGTTACTGTAGAGTTATCCATGTCATCATTCAAACCAGGTGTTGAGCCACCCAGTGATCCCATATTCACAACCATAGGTTCTCCAAAATCATTCATCATCTGATCCATACCATAGTTATCATAATTTTCATCCATATCAATATTGCCACTGTCTTCTGAATCTGGGACGTTTTATCCATGATAGACCCATAATTTGTAGTCTTTCTGCACTCCATGGATAAAGAGATGTTCCTTTATATTATTCTGATCAAAGAAGTGATTGTTTTTGCACTTTCTGTATGGGCATCGGAGGAATTTGTCTGCATTGTAATCTTTGAAAGCAAACTGAATAAATTGGTCAACTCCTTGCTGATATTCAGGAAGACTCCTATTAGATAAGTCCATCCAGCTTTTGTCCATGGCCGTAGAGTCTGACATTATCCTACAAAGAAAATATTATTTTCTAATCACTTATTATCATTAAGTTGTTAAATAGTAAGTAACATGCTCAATTTAAAACCAAACATTCAGTGGTACTCTATTTGATTTCAGTTTCAGGATGCTAGCGATGTTTCACAAGCTGTATCTATAAACATTATTTCAATTTTGGTGCCGTGATAGTTTTGGTGTCGAGCAATATTTAAGTGTGAATGTATTTTTAGTAAAACAAAGGCTAAATGTACGTCTATGAACATACAGAAATTGTTGAACAGTTCAAACAGTGGCAGATTTATAAGTTTTATTGTTCTTGTTTAGGTATAACAATGTATAATAAGTGTGCACAGATACATGCAAACTCCGTATAACATTTACCATGGAGACTAAAATTTAGGTCAAGTTTTGATTTAGGAGAGGAAAACAATCTCCCAAGATTACATAGATGGTCCTGTATTCTTAACAGTTTAGACTATGAATCCTGAATTATCCTAAAAGGAAAATATAATGGTTCAGGTTATAATCACAATGGTTGTAAGCATTTGATTTAGCTTGCATCAAACATGGTAATTAAATACTTATATAGTACTGTTGCATGCGTTGGTCTGGTGGCTAAGCACAGTAATTAAGCTTAATCTAACAGTATTGCCGGCACTAAACTTCCAATGACAGTATGATTGACATAAGGATCACGTAGATTACCAAATTCTATCTAATTTAATCTAATCGGCTCTGTGTCATTAACGGCAAGGTTTATGCTCTAATTCCAGTAATAACATAGAAGTTAGACACTACATACATACATACATACCTGGAATTCTGGAAATATGAATAAGTTTCCTTAAGTCTCTCCGTAAGCGATGCTAGAGAGAACAACAGTGTGGGGGGAATTCCTGCAGGGCAGGCGTCAGAGCCAGAAGAGGGCCGGGAGGAGACCACTGGAATGGAACAGGTGCCTCCTTGTGTGCTAGGGCTGCCGATCAGCCGCGCATGTGTGAGAAGATCGATAGGGAGGAATAGAAGAAGTGTTTGAGATGAAGTTAGGTTAAAAAGGAAGATAAAGGAAAGACACCGTCCATATGTTTTAAAAAAATCTGCAACAACTTTATTGCTCTAATAAGATGCGCAACAATTTATTGCTCAAATAAGAACGGCAACAACTATTGCTCAAGACAAAATCCGATACGAATCTTCAATCTTGAGGAATCCAGAAAGAAAATCGATGGTAAATCGAGTCAGAAAGATCAAATCGTACACAAACTCACGAAACCAATGACGAATATAATCGGATTCAGGCATTGGCAGCACTTGTGTCTTGGCCGTCGGGGGTGGAGGCCGACGGCGGCGGTGAAGGCCGGCATGCCACACAGGAGGTCTGGAGGGCTTTTCGGCTGGGAGGCCGACCACTGCCCTGAGTCAGCCATTTCGTTGGCAACTGGTGAGGACAGAAAATGGGCCTGTTCGGTTCTTACATCTGCAGCCATAGCCAAAAATAGCTGTACGAAAAAGCCAAATGATTTCACTGAGTGGCTGCCTAATAGGTGGACGTACCCTATAATAATTCACCAACTAACTGATCTTTAAGGCCTGTTTGGTACAGCTCCAACTCCTAAATATAACTCCAGGAGTTGAGTCTAAAGTGACGCAGCTCCACAACTCTAGTACATTTTGTGAGAGAGCTTCACCCAACTTCACTCCCAGTTTTAGTGGAGCTGAAACTGTTTGGCTGAGCTCCAGCTCCAGGCCAAACAAGCCCTTACATCCTCATTCCATTGAATCAACGCCACCAAACGAGGGGAGGATAGGCGTGGAGACGGACGGGGATCGGAGTCGGAGATGAGGCCGAGCCGACGCAGCAGCACGCGGTGGCGCTCCTCGACGGAGGTCGGCTCAGAGATCCAGACCTCGTAGGCGGAGAACGTCGCGGACGTACGACGACACAGCTGCTGCGGCCGCCGCCGCCGGTGCTGCTGGTCAGTGGTCACGTCGTCATCGGAGGCGGACGTGAACGAGCACGACGATCCAGCGACTCGTACAACTCCTCATCCTCCTCGCCATTCCAGCGACGCATGCCACCGACCTGTGCCACCGAAGCGCCCGCCTCGCCGATCTCATCCACGGTCGATCGGTACAGAGTAAATCATTTTCTTTATTGTAGGAGATTACAGATCAGTTTCCATATGTTGCCTATAAGCATGGAAGCTCTCTCATTTCACCCAAGTTGTTCGTCTACAAGTATGTCCCCTGCTTTGGTTCTTCAATTATATTGTCACTTCATTAGATGTAGTACTTTGGATGACAATGAGATTGGCTTAAAATAATTCTGCCTTTCAGTAGGCAGCACAGAACAGATTTCCCCTCCAATGTATTAGGGGAGAGATTAGATTTTCTAAGCAGAAACGTTCTGAGATTCGACCAGAAAACTGAATTGATATTTTAGTAATGTACTGTAGTTTGCTTATTACTTTCCAAGATTGCTCTGTGATATGTAAGGACAGCCTTACTTACTAGAGATTGTGATATTTCATATGGTGGCATGAGTGCTGATAGATAATTGATATGTGCATACACAAGCTTTTACACATTAATTTCCATGTCATTGCTAAATATAGATTGATGTGTGCATTCCAGATAGGTTGATGGGAACATATTAAGGAGGTGCTTACGATTCATTGACTGCAAGTTATTTATCTATCTATTATATACTAAAAGTCTATTAAACTTTCTACAAAAGCTCTTATGCTACCACATGGCGCTCTAAATACGATCTCAAGCTGACATGTGGCGTTAATAAAATCCATCCCTTAATTTTCATTTAACTCGGTGGGCCCTATATTCTAAGCCGTTGATTTGGTTGAGATTAAAACAAACCAGCGAGCTGTGCATGAACCAAGCGCCTCTGGAACCGCTATGACCCGGATTCCCGTGCGGGCAGGGTGATCGATCAACATGTTGATCTCTGATCGATCGATCGATCAACCTGTACAGTGGACACCCTTCTCCTGCTCATCCTAGCCTCCTTGCAAGACATGTGGAAGCCCTGATGATTAAATCACTATTCGCTTTTGGTATTCACACTCCTATGCATATGTACATGTGGTTTTTGCATGCATACTATACGCTGATTAGTTTGCTTGCCGAATAGTAATAAATCCAACCCATCTCTAACCTCTGCTTCACTCCCCTTTTCTCCCTTCTTTGTATGTCTAGCAGTTTGAGATAAAATTTTATGATAATAAATTTCAAACAGCCATAACTTCTAAATTATATGTTTGATTTTTATCTATTCATCATCTATCTATTATAAACTAAAAGTACATTAAACTTCCTATAAACACTCTTAAGCCGTCACGTGGACTCCTACCAACGCTCCTAAACCGCCACATGGTGCTCTAATAATTTAAAGAAAATTCTAAGAAAAATATCTAACCGTCAATTTTCAATTTTCATTTAAAGCGGTGGACCTAATACTATTGACCATTGGATCAAAACTAAATCCCCCATCACCCTTCTATCCCGGACCCATATGCATGTACGTGGACAATTACATCTGGTAGCTACAACGTTTATTTATTTGATTGCTTGATTTATTATTGACATTAGGCAGGATAATTATATATGGCCTCGGTGTGCTCGATTGATGCATGCATCCGGTTCCTGATTTTTTTTCTAAATACATGATATATATGTACACCATAATTTATCATCATAATAATTATTAGATCTATTTCTCATGGAGACTGATTTAGGTGTGAACGTGCAAGCGCTAGGGATTTACAATAGGAGTGATCTTGGTGCTGTAAATAAACAATTATTTTAGACGGTCTACACGTTTAATTTAAGATACACTTGAGCAGCTTTAGTATTTTTTTCATCAAATCAACAATCCAAGACCATGTTGGCTATTTGCTTTACTATTATATCATATTATATCTTATAGGTCCTCCTCATACATATATTATACAACCGTGTATTTATGATACATCGCATGCCAAAAATAATTATTACACAATTATATTTAACCATCCAATCGTATTCATAATAGGCTATGTGGAGCCTCGCACACACTCTAAATGAAATGCTCACAGATGGATTGTCTCTCAAACTATGCAATCATATTACAAACCCATGAATGTAGTGTAGCCTCATGTTGTACCCAATACATCTGTCAATAAATAATGGGCGACCTAACTAACATCAGTAATCCAATTAAAAAAAAGCACCTTGCTTACTTTATATTTAATTTGGTAGGCATGTTTTCTAAACAAAATAAGTCTACCTTCTATTTAGATGATGAAGAAGATTATAAATAATTGCTTATAGAAATTATTTGAATATGATATGGTATAAAGGTAACTAATAAGTTAAAATTATATAAGAAATACTAACAAAAAATGTGAATATATCGTACTTTTAAAGTGTGGTAGATTTTCTCCGGTGATATTCTATCCTTATATGCTTCTCAAACCTAACCTACGATGCATGCCCGCGCATTCGTGTTGAGTTGTATAAAACAAAACAGAAAATAGAAAAATAAATGCCAATATGAACTACATTAATTGAAATAATTGGTGAAAATCTTATAACTTATTTTGCTTCATTCTTTTTTCTTAGATATTAATGATTTTTCTTGCATCGCATCAATTTTTTAATTAAGTGCTTAGATTATTTTTTTTCTCTATCGTACGCCACAGTATTATGAATTTCTCTACATATTATTGCAAATATAAGCAACATACTAAGGTTACCGTACATAATCGGTTTAGAAGTTATATTTCTTACTATTAAATTTAATTTTTAAGGGTCAAGTTGATTAGGTTTTTTCTTTTTAAGAAATACAATAGATCACAGATATCATAGGGAAACAAGACCTAGGATACATGTATATCATCTCTGTCCTATTCATATGTAAGTAATAATTAAACTGCATCAATATAAACCAAATAAAAGAATCGCTAGCTAGATGGTACAAATAAAACACCTTTGATAGCAATTAAAGTATTTTTAAGATTTGATAGAAAAAAGTTATCCCCTAAAGAAACACCTACCTTTTAAATTACATTTAATTTGTAGATATGTTTTCTAAATATACTAAATTTGTCTTATTTTAGATGATGAAGAAGATTATAGAAAATTGCTTAAAGGAAGATTAAATATTATATGGCATAAAGCTAACAAATAGGTTAAAAATTTATCTAAGCAATACATCCTATGATACATGCCCGCGCGAATGCGCGGGCTACCTTCCTAGTTTATGTAATTTGAGGATAATAAAAGGAATTGTCTAAACATCTAGACATGGTAGCATCTAATTTGCTTCAGGAATTAATTGTCTAATTTGCTCGATGCTTTGTTCTCTTTTCTGCCAGCAAATATACAAACCAAAATGTTAATTCATTTCTCAAAGCTTTATTTGGAGCAAGGTTAGAGTGCACATTCTGTATATTTTGGTCAATCAACATATTATGACTGCCTTTTTTTTATCATCATTTATCTGAAAGGCTGAAACATATTATGTTCAAAACACCTGGTATTTTTTTACATTTTTTAGTACAACAAGAAAATCAAGTTCCTCAGCTTTTTGTGAAACACTTTGTCCTGAATGATGGAGGTAGCATCAGTTATGGAATTGGTCTTTAGAAAATGATGGTGTAAGGTGATCTGATTTGTTCATTGAGTAATCGTGCACATGTAATGTGGCATGCCTTCCTTTATAATTATGAAGCCATTCTTAACAACGGCCACAAGTTTCGAAAGCTGATAGAACCAAACAGGAATATAAAAGTGAATTTGGGCAAAAGTATGGACTGATTCTTCATATACTTGGAATGGTTGGGGTGCAATTCTTCATATACTATGTGTGTATTGTGACATATTATTTACTGTTAAGACGGTGATAAGGATTTGAGAGGTGCTAGAGGGAGAATACCTTCAATACTCAGTTTATTTCCTGACCTGTTATGATTAACCTGGATTTCAAGCATTATACAATAGGAGAATATTTGAATATTTTGTGGTGTCAGTGGTAGAAGATATACGTTGAGGACTTCATTAAGATTAATCTAGACGATATATTTGGACTACACCGTATGTTTGTGTTCTCACTGGAAAATACAAGCTCTAGTGCAGTTGTCAGGTATGGTGACCTTTGATTTGGATTTATTTATGATATTTCCTCAACAATCTATTAGGTTTTGTGCTCTCACTAATTTCTTATCTATCTCAAAAATTTAACAGATGGTTCCTTAATTTGTAGTGAGTTTGGTTCCCGTCGCTGGTCCTATGGTCCAATTGTATTTTCAGACAGTCCAGCTTGCATGTGGATTTGAGCGGAGTGAGTTGATTAATGTTAGCGTATACAGACCAAATATGTCTAACATCCCCTCTCCGTTTGCCTTCTGATATATTCTTTTACCCTGTGGGAAAGATTTATGTAGGCTATGATTGAATGCCACAATATTGCAATGTCAGGCATATAACACAGGGGAGTGCAGAAATTCTGTTGAGAGAACTCAATCTGGTAATCTGCTCCAAGCCTCCAATCTTTTTGCTATTGTTTGCTTTGGCTATGTACTGGATTGAATTTGAAGATGTTTATTTGAGCGTATATATTATTTTCATTCAGCGTTACTGGATTAAAATTCAAGTATATCAAATTACAAGATTGCATATAAGTGAGAAGGATTGGGGTGATCATTGTCTGTAATTCAAGTGCATAAGACTTGCTGATCTGGTCACCATTGGAACTGGTCTAATTTAGAATTATTGGTTTAAATTGAACTCCTCTGTCGGTTTCCTACAGGGAAGTGCTGAATGCTAATGCCATCTAAAATCAGTTCCCTGCAGGGAAGTGCTGAACGCTAATGCCATCTAGACTCTCAGTATCCTGTGGGACATAGTGATTCCTTATTTATTTTCTTATAACATTGATTGTTCATGAGCCAATATCTTTAGTTGTTAGCTCTGAAAGACAGTATGGTATGTTTATTTTGCTGTCAAAAAATAGACAATTAATTGTGAAGTGTAAAGTTAAGTTTGGACTCTTTATGTAATTATTTGTGTAGCACATGCACATAATGCTAAGGATTAATTTGATTCTAATTTATCTATTAGGAGATTTCTTGGACCTAAGTAAAATAGGTTCCATTGAATACATGTTTGTGCTTTTACATCTATGCACGTGTAATACACTGAAATACTTTAATTCAGTTTTGTTGAGGGTGATGCATTGGTTCAGAAATTCAATTTATGTTGTTTCAAAATTTTTGAATGCAGATAATGTATCTCTGATGGTACAAATAAATTGTAGTCATATGAGTTGTAAGTGATATCACAAAAATCATTCAGTTTTGATGGCAAAATTTACTGTATTGACTGTTTCCCTTTATTTCTACACAGATTCCAAGCAACTGACTTTGATTAAAGATGCATCAACTGAGCATTGTTAGCAATACAAAATTACCTGATTGGCAATTATGAATGCATCCTGAGCATCACCTTCAGTATATGGAGGTTCATTTGTTAGTCATTCAAGCGGCTCTTGCTTATAACAGTTGTTTATCTTCAAGTTCCAATTTTTTTATCCCTAATGTCTCATTGTTTTTTAGAATTATTGGTAAATCTTGTACATAAAAGTTATAGTCTTTGGAAAAAATTTGTAGTAAGCAAGGCTGTTTCTGATTTCCTAACAGCTGTTAGTGTGCAGGAATTAGAGATAAGCTATATATGAAGCTGCAGTTGTAGAGGTACACTGACCAAACAAATTGTTATTGAAGAGAAAAAAAATATCTAAGGTTCCCCTGAATATTTCAAACGAATTGTGTGTTCTTCGCCTCCATAATAAACTCATGTGAGATAAGAGTTAAGGATTTTGACCTACTTTTTAAGCAGGGGCACTTCTTGGATGTCCTAATATTATGTTTGTTTAGTGCCTTTAAGGAGAACAGAAGCAATGCTAGGCTCAGTGTGCTGCGTGTACGTTGTAGCAGATGGAGATTGTTCATACTACGGAAATGATAAAGCATTTTAAAGATGTTTTATGTATTAATGAAATAATAAATCTAATATTTATATATTTTCCTAAATTTTCGGTGCCATTATTTAGCTTTTTCGAGGAATAAACTAAACGGCATATTTGCAAATGAAAAATAATTTGTGAATAAAACTTTTATATACGTGTTCATAACGATCTAAAAGCAAAAGCTAAAAAATAAACTACGATGAAAAAAAATCTTAAAATCAACTCCAAATTTAAGATTGAAATTTCAAATTTTGACTTATGAACATAGGTATAAGCGAAAAGATCATGTTCTTATATTCTTTCAATATATAATTTATAATTTATAGGCAATGGTAAGTCATGTATGTTTCTTCATATCACTCATCTGTCATGTATACTTGTACGCACATGTTTGATTTACGTTTTAAATATCACCGTTGCATTAGCACAGGCATGCTACTAGTAATTACAAATTGTTCAATAAGCATTTGCATTTAATACATAAGAAATACACGCTTCGATCATTGTATGACCTAGATATTCCGACATTTGTATTACATTTATAAAGTCCATGGGTCCAAAAGATCATTTTTATATCACAAAAATTTAATTTATGCTAGTCATATCACCGAATGAACACAACACGCGCACACCCATTGCCTATGAGCACTCAAATAGCACCTGGTCATAACTCTAGTTTAAGCATCGTCATGACTACAGCTTGCTCGCTCGTCATCTGCATCGCTTTTCTCGCGCACTAAACGAGTTAGCTAACAAATGAGCCAAGCCGAGCAACGATTTTAGCAGAAAAATAGTTTTTCTTCATTGATTTTAAAGAAATATACGTGTTTACAATGAATAGGCAGAATGATATCGTTGTCGCATAGGAGTGATGCGAATTCGCGGCAAGTTCACGTGGTGAGTGCACGACTTGGCAAACTTACGACGAGTTTGGAGCGAATTACTCACGCGATTGATTGATTAATTAATTAATTGACCATTATTTTTAATTTAGCGTCATTAGCTGTCGATTAAAAGTGATTAAATTAATTTATGCCGCGAAGATTAATTTATGCTCGTGTCGTCAATGAGGCTGAGTTTTTTCCCCAACTTTCCCAACTCACTTTCCTCGTTTTCCGCGTGTACGCTTTTCAAACTACTAAACAGTATATTTTTTTGCAAAAATTATCTATACGAAAGTTGCTTTAAAAATTCATATTAATCCATTTTTTAAAAATTAGTAAATACTTAAATAATCATAAGAAAATATGCCGCTCCATTTTGCGTGCACGGGACCTCACCTCCCGAACCAGCCTTCTTCTGCTAAAAAGTAATGTAACTCACATCACCTTAGCAGGAACTCTCTTCTTTGAAGGTTGTCCGTCAACTTCACCTGGATCATCTCGTCTAATCTTGTATCGTAGTGCATTACAGACCGGGCATGCTTCTAGGTTCTCGTACTCCTCACCACGATAGAGGATACAATCGTTCGGACATGCGTGTATCTTCTGAACCTCCAGTCCTAGAGGGCAGACTATCTTCTTAGCTTCGTGGCAGACTATCTTCTTAGCTTCGTGTGTTGTTTTGGCAACTTATTTTCCTCCAGGAGAATATTCTTTACTAGTTTCAATAACTCGCCAAATGCCTTGTCACTGAAACCTGAAACCATTTCTTGTCTTCCATTGCAAGAATTCAAGAGTGGTACCCAAATTTTTGTGCCCCTGTTCGCAACCTGGGTACAACGGCGTCTTGTGGTCCGCTAGCATACGTTCCAATTTCTTGACCTCCTTTTCACTTTCGCAGTTTTCCTTGACGTCCCGCAACATCTGACCAAGATCATTTGCAGCGTCGTTATCTTCAACAGCCCCGTCCACCTCGTCCGTTGTGTTTCCTTCAAATCCACCATAATGAGCCCAGTCCAGAATGTTCTCGTCCTCTACTTCATCTTCTTCTGCTTGAACCCCTAGCTCTCCGTGTGAGGTCCAAACATTATAGCTCGGCATGAAGCCCGTCTCAAACAAGGGAAAATGAATAGTTCTTGATGTAGAATACTCCTTCTGGTTTTTGCATTTAGTGCATGGACAACGGGTAAAACCCTTATGCTTGTTAGTTTCGGCCACCCTCAGAAAATAATGCACATCGTCGATAAACTCTTTCGACCGTCGATCCGCGTACATCTATTGCCGATCCATCTACATGACAAGCACAAAAATCGATAAAAATAATCCACGAAAGTAAAACCAATTAAACAATAATTTTATATAATTATTCATGTAATAATTATAAAATAACATCACATATTACTCATGTTTTTTTATATTTAAAGTTGTAAACAAATATTAAATTGGTTGTACTTATTTTAATTTCAAATTAATTTAGTTTTCTATTATTTTAGACTAATTTTCTATCTTTTTACTTTCTCATCTCTTTTATCATAAGTTTTTATAAATTTCTAAACAAACCTATTTTCTATATTTTTTCCCTACACAAACTTTCTCTCTCATCATCTTCCATTCAAGTTTCTAGAGGCAAAAAAAAGTATAGAAAACTAATCTCTAAATGTAAATGCCAAGCAAAAAAAAATAGAGGAGGATAGATTACTAACCTTTTATACACCTCAAAGTTGTATATTATCACCAAACCAAATTCACAAAAAAATGGGCAGCACCTCCCCTCTCCTCTTAAAAAAAATGAAGCCCTGCTCTGGATGAAGGAGGAAGAAGAAGATATAGGCATGCTAACTATAGATCCAGGAACTAAAGATTGGAACTTTAGTCCCGGGACTAAAGATCCCTGGGGGCCTGACAACCTCTGATAATCGGCGAACCGGGACTAAAGGTCACAAGATTCCTTTAAACTTATTAACCAGGACGAAAAATGGTTTTTAGTCCCGGGGGTTTTTTTTTTGAACCGAGGCTATTGCGGAATTTGGCCGACCGGGCAAAGATCACTTCTCTAGTAGCGAAGGATCCACCGGCGCCAGTGACGGGAGGGGTGGATCCGGCGCCCTCTTCCCCTTCCCCGCAGGCCGCGCGGATCCCGTCGCCTCTCCGTCACCCCACGCGCGCGGATCGATCTAGCGCCCGCTCCCCCTCCCGCGTGTATCCCGGCCGCCGCTTGTCTGCCCCTCACGCACTCGGATCCGGCACCCGCTCCCCCTCCCACTGACAATGTGGGCCCACAAGTCAGCCTGGTAGTTCGGTGGGAACGGATACCACGGTTGTTTTCTTTTTAATATGGCATAGATATCGCGTGCTTTAGTTATGGAACCGCCGGCTATATGTTTCCCTTTTTGTCGGTTCTGTTCCCTTTCGGCCAAAGGAACCTCCTCAATCCTTTCTAATTGCTATTCATCCCCCAAAAATATTCCCACCCGTGCATTGCATGATCGATCTCGATTACCAAAGGGATGATAATGCATATAGCACTGCATTCGTTCGTAAATATAAGCATTTTATTTAGTGCATCTTAATCGATTCAATCCTACAAAAAATATATATACATATAAACCATTTATATTATTAAAATAGATATAGAATATACTATTTATATTTAATTACATATAAACTTCAATAGGTGGTAGGTAGGGGTGAAAACGGTAGGAATCAGTAACATCTCTTCGGAAGCGACGCTTGATCGGTCGATAATCGACTATATTTATCATTTAAACTACTCAGCGCCGACATTAATACGATGCATAAAGAAATTAGAAAAAAACAAAATTCATAAATACCCAAAAACGGTACGGTAAAAAACGGTGCCCTATATACGAAAACGGCGCTCGGTCGATCGGAATTTCCGTAACCGTTTTCACCCCTAGTTGTAAGGATAGGGTTAGAGTCGGCTTTGTGACCCGACAACCCTTTAAATAGAGAAAAATATGTCACAATGTAATCATAACGACTATAATATTCCAATAATCTAAGCTTTTATCAGTATACAATACCTCCTTAATTATTACTACCACTCATATGGAGATGGTCGGACCAACGTATAAGCCAGCTAATTTAGAGTTGGCATCAAACGTTGAAATAAACATTAATTAGTACATACATGTTTGATCACAGCTAAACTTTTATTCAAATTAGCTTGTGACCATTGATACAGGGATGCCAGCACAAAAGTAAACTGGCATAAAACAGTTTCTAGAGTTGGCACTGACGTAATTCAACGAATGAGCCAAGTATATGCTGCCATGCTGGTGCCTACGCGCAACATTTGTTGATGTATGATATTAGTACAAAACTTAGTATAATAGAACAATGATCGATAGTTTAAAAAAATATCGTAATATTTGGTATAATAACTTACTCTACTGCATAATTATCATCGGATCATAACATACAATAATTGTTACGATGACATAAACTATGTATATTCAAAACTCTTCTAATAAATAATTTAATCAGATCACTCGTCTATCATAAAACCGTACTTAGGGTGTTTAGATGGTGGGATAGGCTCGGATAGGATATGGCCGCCCAAATTTTGAGGGTGTTTGGATGAAGGACAGCACTAGGATATGGCCACCACATAGGAAATATTCCCTTGGGATACCGGCTCTGTGCATCCGGCCAAGGCGGCCCAGGCTCTGCGCAAGTCACGCATGTGAATGCCTCTGCATGCGCTCACCTCCTCCCCATCCCTTTTCGGGGCCTGCTAATGGGCGGGTGATCACGGGGAGCGATCACCCCGCCCCTCCCCCCTAATACTCCTCTCTTCTCTCCTTTCTACTACAATTTTAAAAGAAAAATAAAGTTAGTAAAAGAAAATTAGAAAAAAAAATCTAATACCCTTATTCACGTGCATAGATCTTATACCGTAAAACTTTGCGCGTATAAAATATATTCTATATAAAAATATTTGAATCCAAATTCGAATTTAAATCGGGTATATAAACTTTTGACTTATAAACTTTTTCTCTATAAACTTTAGATATGTAAACTTTCGGTATATAAACTTACCAAAACAGAAAAGTAATGTAGTGCTATATAAAAAATATATGAATTCAAATTCGAATTTGAATCGGGTATATACCCTTTTGACTTATAAACATTCGCTCAGATGTGTAAATTTTAGGTGTATAAACTTTAGATGTAATATAAAATTACTAAAACAGAAAAGAATGTGGTGTGAAAAAAAAAAGGTGGGAAGGGGATCCGATCGCCCGATCGCGGGGCAATCGATCGCCATTAGTCTTTTCGTCCCTTTCCCCCTTTTCTTTCCTCTCTTCTCACCGGTTTCATTTGTGCCAAAGCCATAGAGCTCTCCTCCCTCCTCTGCACACACCTTCCGGCGGCGCACCAGGCGGACTCGAGGACGGAGTGGGAGACGGGCGGCGACTCCGGGCGGTCGCGGGCGGCGACTCCCGGCGGCGCGGCGGCGACCTTCCCGGCGGCGAGGGCGGCGACTCTCCTGACGGCCCAGGCGGCAAGGACCTCGGGGGCAACGAGCAACAAATCTGGGCATTCCATTCCTCTTCCATTCCTCTTCAAATCAAGGTATACTACAAATCTGAGCATACTACTTGTATTTTGGGGATTGATTTGTTTAGATTTGAGTGCTATAGTAGTTTCTAAGCATGTGCATGAATGGTTGATAGTGCTATATTTGCCATTTTTTGATATTTTGTTCAGATCTGAGTGCTATATGTTGTATGTCTCAATATATGTGTGTATGAATATGGTAGACCTGATTTCGTATCAAACTTTGGCATTGTAGATGGACAGCAGAACAAGGTTTCTGATTTATGCGGCTGCATCGTATATGTTGCTGCCAATGATGGCTATGGTTATTGAGTCTAGAAAAAAGAAAAGGAAAAGGGTTCCAAGGAGAGAAGGGATTACCTATGGGCCAATAGATGAAAGGGATAGGAAAAGATTTGATTATCTTAATGACAAGATTTGGAAAAATGATATCATCTGTGTGAATATGCTTTGGCTTAAACGAGCACCTTATTTTCGTTTTTGTAGACTTTTTAGGGATCGTGGCTTGCTTGTGGATACTATATATATGTCTGTTGAAGAGCAAGTTGCTATGTTCTTACATACAATCGGGCACAATGTTAGAAACAAGGTAGTTGGCACTAATTTTGATAGGTCCGGTGAAACTGTTAGCCGATATTTCCACGTAGTCCTTCGTGCTATTGGTGACATGAGAAAGGAATTAATAAGGTCACCATCAACAACGACTCCATCAAAAATTCTAGGGAACCCAAGGTGGGATCCTTATTTTAAGGTATGATATATTATGAAGTAACAACTTCCACTGGAATGTAACCCCAATGTATAGTAAACTATAAGCTCTCAAGGTGGCATGTAAAACGGATAAAAATAAAAAGAAATTAGGGGAACACATTCAAAAGGTCACTAAGGACAGATCAGAATAAGAGCTGGAATATAATGCAAGTTAACAGAAACAACCAAAACAAGCAATGAATGCAACAAAAAAATCACAACAGTAAACTCAAAACATAAAACAAATCGCTAAATACTGTACTAGTAGAATGGTAGTGGAACCAAAATTTTGTGACACATTAAGGGCCTGCTTGGGAGTTTAGTTTTTTTTTAAGTAAAACACCTGTAAATTTGGATTACCCAAAAATAACAGTGAAACCCCCTCTAGGATCTACTTCATCTGTTTGTAAGAACTGAATCCTACATGGCCATAGCAATGTGTATGGACATTTGTGTCTAACAGAAATTTCAGTTCATAGGATCAATCTGGAACTACAAAATTTGATAAACAAATATATTCAGATTGAATCTCATTGTTCATCAAAATTTCAGAACAGAACGTCAAGTTGATGCCTTATTCCAACCATTCAAAGAGTAGCGTGAGTATAAACGAGGATCTGTCAGCCAATAGCTCGATTATTGCCGGAGTCCCCAAAATTCACACACAAAATAAACAACTGACTCAAGCTGGAAATCCTCATATTCTTCACCTACCGAGCCACCGATGTGTTTCGCAGCTACTATGATCAATCGTGTCGTCCAGATAGAGGACACGTCGGTAGTGGCGGCGGCGGCAGCTCAGATCGAGGACCGGTGACGGAGCTTATCTATGGCGCCCCTCGGCGGCGACTCATAATGAATGAAGCCGCCCCACCGGCGACAGTTCAGATCAACAACTCCCCTCGGCAGCGCGGTGGCGCAGACTGAGGGCAACCCCGGCGGTGGGGAGCGGAAAAAGGTTTCGGCGACAACGGCGGAGGCGCCGGGGCAGTGGCTTGAGGGAGAGGCGCCCATGAAGGCGATGTGTTCGGGCAGCGCAATGCCCAAGCCGCACGACGACTTAGCACTAGCTGCTGCAGCAAAGCAAAACCACACCCACGACGACGCAGCGGCGGCAGCGGCGGCGGCGGTGGCGGAAACCAAACGACCGGAAAAAAAAACCAAATGGCTCGCCCGCGATCGCCGGTGCGGCTGCTCAACCTCGACGGCGGCGCCCACCTCTTCACGTCGCCATCAAACCGAGCACAGGAGGGAAAAAAAACCGAGCGATTCGATTCGCGAGAGGGCAAAGCATCGAAGCTTACTTGCGGGGGTGGAGAAGCCAAAAAAAAAGTTTCAAATCCACAGGACGAATCCGTCAACCAGACGACCTCGAGACGCACTCCCCTCCCAAATGGCGGCGGCGAGCGAGGCTGAGGCCGACGAACGTAAGAGACGATGAACCGACCGCGCCGCGAAGAAATCTCCGAAATCTCGTGGATTCGGTGGGGGGAGAAATCGATCAATCTGTGGAGAGAATTTTTTTTTTTAGAATCCGATGGAGAAATCGGGGGGGAGGGGGGGGAGGAAATCATGGATGAGCTGTCTCCGCGGCATGTTCGAGGTAAAATGTCTGCTCCGCTAACATGGGCAGGTGGGCGCGTGAGAGCGAGACCAATGTTTTCGTCGCGTGTCAGTGGTGGTGGGGCCATGGCGTGTGGGGCCTGCTTCCTGAACCGGGGATTTGCTTTGCTTTGTGTGAATGAGATGGATCGTGCGCTGCAGTGTATGATTTGGCTGGTGTCGAAGGAGGAGGTGGTATGCTACAGCTACACGCTGTGGTTACCAGTTTTTTTTTCTCTTTCTCTGACACGTTGTCTCCACAGATTGATCGATTTCTCCCCCCACCGAATCCACGAGATTTCAGAGATTTCTTCGCGGCGCGGTCGGTTCATCGTCCCTTCCGTTCGTTGGCCTCGCTCGCCGCCGCCTACGCCTCAGCCGCCGCCATTTGGGAGGGGAGGCTTGCGTCTCGAGGTCGTCTGGTTGAGAGATTCGTCCTGTGGATTTGGAACATTTTTTTTTTGGCTTCACCCCCGCAAATAAGCTTCGATGCTTTTCCCTCGCGAATCGAATCGCTCGGTTTTTTTTCCTCCTGTGTGCTCGGTTTGATGGCGACGTGAAGAGGTGGGCGTCGCCGTCGAGGTTGAGAGCAGCCGCGCTGGCGATCGCGGGCGAGCCATTTGGGTTTTTTTTTTCGGTCGTTTGGTTTCCGCCACCGCCGCTGCCGCTACCGCCGCCGCGTCGTCGTGGGTGTGGTTTTGCTTTGCTGCAGCAGCTAGTGCTGTGTCGTCGTGCGGCTTGGGCATTGCGGTGCCCAAACACATCGCCTTCGTGGGCGCCTCTTCCTCAGGCCGCCACCCCGGCGCTTCCGCCGTTGTCGTCAAAACCTTTTTCCACTCCCCACCGCCGGGGCTACCGGGGTGTCCTCGGTCTGCGCCACCACGCTGCCGAGGGGAATTGTTGATCTGAACTATCGCCGGTGGGGCGGCTTCATTCATTCTGAGTCACCACCGAGGGGCGCCATAGATATGCTCCATCACCGGTCCTTGATCTGTGCCGCTACCGACGTGTCCTCTATCTGGACGACACGATTGATCATAGTGGCTGCGAAGCACATCGGTGGCTCGGTAGGTGAAGAATATGAGGATTTCCAGCTTGAGTCAGTTGTTTATTTTGTGTGAATTTTGGGGACTCCGTCAATAATCGAGCTATTGGCTGACAAATCCTCGTTTATACTCACGCTACTCTTTGAATGGTTGGAATAAGGCATCAACTTGACGTTCTGTTGTGAAATTTTGATGAACAATGAGATTCAATCTGAATATATTTGTTTATCAAATTTTGTAGTTCCAGATTGATCCTATGAACTGAAATTTCTGTTAGACACAAATGTTCATACACATTGCTATGGCCATGTAGGATTCAGTTCTTACAAACAGATGAAGCAGGTCCTAGAGGGGGTTTCACTGTTATGTTTGGGTAATCCAAATTTACAGGTGTTTTACTTTACAAAAAAAAACTAAACTCCCAAGCAGGCCCTTAATGTTTCACAAACTTTTGGTTCCATTACCATTCTACTAGTACAGTATTTAGCGATTTGTTTTATGTTTTGAGTTTAGTGTTGTGATCTTTTTGTTGCATTCATTGCTTGTTTTGGTTGTTTCTGTTAACTCAGTATATTCTAGCTCTTATTCTGATATGTCCTTAGTGACCTTTTGAATGCGTTCCCCTAATTTCTTTTATTTTTTATCCGTTTTACATGCCACCTTGAGAGCTTATAGTTTTACTATGCATTGGAGTTACATTCCAGTGGAAGTTGTTACTTCATAATATTGGAGTAATATTATATTCTCAAACTAGTGTGTCTGGTTTGTCTAAGCCTTGCTCTTTGATATCTGCTATTCTGTTCTACAATCTTCTGGCATGCAATTATGAGTTAGCTTAACTTCCTGAGTTCAATTGTGCACTGCTCTGAGAGAGTATAAATCAATAAGTTCAGAACGTAGCACCAGCTTTGACAATCATGCGCTGATTCTTGTTACCCTGTTTTCTAACTTTGCAACATTTTGTACTGCTTTGACAAGTATTTAATATTTGCGAGTAGTCTATCAAGTTTTGAGTTCAGCAGAGATAATAATTTCGAGAGTATTTGTTTGCAGGTTGTCAAATGAGTGACTCAATAATCTAGAAAATTTATATCATGAGAAAAATGTGCCATTCATGTGAATCGGAAGATGCAACAATGGATGGGGTCGATGATGGCCTTATCTGTAGTACTTCTTGCTATAATATGTGTGGCCATGCTGACAAATCTTCAATAATTGATGGTGAGATTGGTTGTCCAAGCATGGAAATAAGCCCTTGCAACACTCCTTATGGCACTCCTCTTTTTAGCCGAGAAAGTTCTTGTTCAAGCTTTGCCAGTTGCTTTTCAAGCCTCGGTGAGTGTTGTTGCACTGTTCTCCTATAGATGAAATGCTGTCATTGATATCATTTGCTATTTTTTTTGCTAGCATAACTAATATTTTTTATGCCATTTATTTCCTAGATGACTACCTAGTTGAAACTGACTCTGAAGAGGAAATTGAGGTCTTAGATACTGGCCAACTTCATCCCGGCATCTTATTCTCTGATGAATCGATGGAGCAAAGAACAGTGGGTTCTGTACAAGTGGAAGAATGTCAAGTCAGTCATGCTGCTGTTGTTGACGATGATTCTAGTATTTCCATTCCGACAAACCAGAACATTTCATCTGGTCAACAGCAGTTGGAGATACATCTTGATGCTACCAATGAAAATTCTGTTCCATCCAATGTTATTATAGATGCAAATGTAACGGATCCTCATCAAGATGTCATTTCCAATGGTGGACTTATAGAAGCATGTTATGGTGTACCATTGGATGATATTGATCTCAAACAATCCAATATCTTAGATGGTGAAGAGATTACTAGCCTTCCTATGGCTGACAATGAAATGACTCCACTGAATGATCAAATTATGGACCAAATTGATGATATGAAGGAAATTAGTACTATAGTTTACAACAATACAATAAGCGCTGAGCAGCATGCAAATTCAGGTTCAGAGTTTGAGAAAGGAAATGAATCCAGTGAAAACCTTTATCCGCTAGTAATGCCCAGTTTTGATACAGACCCTCACATTTGGTTACCACCAGACCCAGTCAATAAGGACGATGACACTGATATTGTTGCTAATAACGATGATAATAGTGACAACAATGATAGTTGGGTACAGTCAAGTTTCAATATTAGCTTTGATGCAAAGAGAAACAAGACTAGTTGTGAAGACCAATTGCAGAAAGCAATGTCGGAAGTTATGAATGGGCAATTCAAGATTCTTGTTAGTCGTTTTTTAGCTGCTGAAGGGCTCTCTTTGTCTGATGGAGAAGCTGACAAGAACTGGCTTGATATCGTTGCTTCACTATCATGGCATGCTGCATTACTTGTCAAGCCTGATGCCAATGTTGGAAATGCAATGGATCCTTGTATGTATGTTAAGGTGAAATGCATAGCTTCAGGATCTATTGAGCAAAGGTAACCTACCAACATTCTTCCTCATTCTGCTTTTTTTTCTTTGCTTAGTCATGTAGACATGCCTTAACTAGCTCCCTTTTCTATCTTTTTTTTTTGACAGTGAAGTCATCAACGGCCTTGTTTTTAAGAAGAGCGCTGCTCATAAGCAGATGCGTGCCAACATGAAGAATCCTAGACTGTTACTTCTGCAGGGTGTTGTTGGCCATTCTTCTGCAGGGCTATTGTCAATGGATTCAATGAAACAGGTGTGCATGTATGCCCTTAGTAGCATATTTACATTATGTACAGAGTTATGTCATATGATACAAGATATGCAAATTTCTTTTCATTGTCATTGATCAGGAAAACGATCACTTGGAGAAAATTCTCAGTGATGTAATTACCAAATGCAAACCTGATGCTATATTGGTGGAGAAAGCAGTCTCACGAAATGTAAATGAATATATTCATAAACAAGGAGTCACTGTAGTTAGTGACATGAATATCCGTCGGCTGGAAAGAATTGCTCGTTGCACTGGTTCTCCAATTTTCTTGTTGCAGAATGTTCTTGCAACACCCAACCTTATTAAACAGTGCGAGTCTCTACATTTTGAAAAGTTTATTGAGGAGCATAATATAACTGGAGGAGGAAAGAGATCAGCCAAAACTTTGTTATTTCTAGAAGGTTTTCGAAAGCCTTTGGGATGCACGGTATGTTCTTTTCCTATCTTGTTTTTAGTTTGTAGGTCATCTGTTCTCTTTATGTAGGACTGATCTTCTCATGGTGGTCAGAGTTGTTCTTTCTCTGATCCCTTGAGCTGCATTTAGTATATTCTTTCAGTATATTATTTACATTATATGTGTTAGCCTTCTATGATAAATATTTTTTTCTGCCATTTTTTTTGACAAACTGGTATATATAATGATAAAATATAATCCTGTCCATTTGGAATCAACAAAAATATATTAATTAATTTTGAAGCTAATGAATTTCCTTATTCCAGACTTGACATCATGATTTAGACTGAAATTGATTGAATCAGATAATATAATCTTCATTGTTGGGGTTCTGAATTAGAATCTTACCTTGCATTTGTTTGTGTTATTTAGTGAAATTATGTTGATAGAACAAACCAATTAGCTTTTTAAATATACTTTTCCCCCATGACATTAGAGCTTCACACCTTGTTACCTGCTTAACATTGAGTTATATCCTAAAGATGTATTAGTACAGAAATTGGGACAAAGTTTCATAGATAGGATTGAGTTGCTCATATTGATATTGATTATAGTATTTCTTTTTGAAGAAAAAATAACTTTGATTTGTGCGACAATGTTAGCTAATAGCCATATATCACCCAAATTGCTTTTAGGGGCTTTATATGTTATGCACAAATGCATAAGATATGAATTGTTACACCTTGGATGTACTAAACCATTTGTGTTAATGAATTGAAACAAAATCTAATCAGCTTAAAACTATTTTGTAGATTTTGCTAAAAGGATCAACAAGTGAAGAACTGAAGAAAGTTAAGCGTGTTCTTCATTTCACTGTTTTTGCAGCTTATCATTTGATCCTTGAAACTTCATTCTTTGCTGATCAAAGGTTATTTGCAACGGGAAAAAATGCCATGGAGAAAGGCAACTGTTTGAAAACTGATCCACAGCTGCTTGTTCCTTGTACTGCTGCTCCGTCCTCCAAATTCTGTTCTGATATTGCACAAAATAGCGACCCCACACAACATGCTTTGAACATTCTTGCTTCTGATGGACAGTATGTTAATCAGGATGATTTTGTTAATCCAGAGAAATCCGTATGCATGCATGATTCCAAAATTGAAACATCTAGAGAGCACGCGGACAGAAAACTTGATGACAGCAACAACATTCAGTCATATTCATCATTGCCAGTTCCTGACCCCTCGAGAAATCTTATTGGCGATATGTCGTTAGATTTTGCCAAATTGGCATCATGTGATGACTTTGCCGGTTCCACCTCTGGAGCTCCTTCAAACAATGGGGTTCTGCAGACGTATGGGGCGGATGGCAAAGATTGTCTAGAAACTATTAGTGATGGAATATCTACAGGGACTAGGACTTCTTTAGATTCTCAGAACATATTGATTTCGATGTCTAGCCAACATATCAGAAACCAAGCAATCTGTGAGCAGAGTCATCTTTCCCGCATAACTTACTACGGGTATTTTGATACATCACTTGGTCGTTATTTGCAAGATAGTTTACTTAATGAGGTCATACATCTTAACTGCTTGTTGATTTGGCAGATGCTTATTTTATCTTATGATGTTTCAATTGACAATATATTATTTGCAGAAACACAACTGCTTATCTTGTGGTGAACCTCCAGAAGCTCACATGTACTCTTACACTCACCACAATGGCACTCTAACTGTTCTTGTGAAAAGCCTTCCCTTGGATGTAACTCTTTCTGGTAAGGATCAAGGAAGAATTTGGATGTGGACTAGGTGTTTGAGATGCAATGGTAAGCCCACCCAGAGGGTTATAATCTCTTCCTCTGCGCGTAATCTGTCATTTGGGAAGTTCTTGGAACTCAGTTTCTCAACACATTCTGCTGCTAAGAAGCTATCAACATGTGGGCATTTGCTGCATAGGGACTGCCTACGCTTCTTTGGGTAAGTGCGTTCCAAGATGCTCTTACCTAAAGGACAAGTCTTTCCTAATGACATCACTAAAGTTACTTTTTTCATGACTTGCAGAATGGGACCCAAAGTTGCTATGTTCAGATACTCATCTGTTGAAATATATTCTGCCTTTAAGCCACCATTGACTTTGGAGTTTCATAACCCAAACAAAAAAGAATGCCGGGAAGTTGAATTTAATAATGTATGTCTCTCCAAAAAAATTTTCTGAAACATCCTCTTTTTAGCTAATTACATATTTTAATCCTAATATACTTGGTTATTCAAGGTACTTCGAAAATGGAGGCTACTCTTATCTGAAGCCGAAAATAAAATACAAATCTTGAAATCAGGAGGCTCTGGTCAAGCCTTGGGGGAAAACACCAAAGTTTCAGTACATGAGGAATTATTTTTGGAAGTCAATAGGATACTTGCACAAGAAAAATATGAATTTGGGGTAAGCTTGATATCAACTTCTATTTTGTTCTCCTATTCCTTCCCAGAAGATTTGGATCTACTTTTGATATGCTAACATATCTTGTCAACACGAGGTTTATCCGAAGACATTTGACTTCCTTGTAAAATCTGGGACTTGTGCTCACGAGATCCTTGGGTTGAACTGGCTACACCAGCTACTTCTTCTTGGAATTTACATTTGGGATGTCCGGTTGCAACATATTCTTCAATACTGTAAAGCTAACGCTGCATCTCCAGATAGTACTATCCAGATAAAAACACCAGAGAACAAGCCAAAGAATTCTGAAATAACTTCTGTTCATGGGGACACACTATCTCTTACCAACGTTGGAATGGAAAGGCAGGAAGCACGTATCGATACTTGTCATTCTTTTGATAGTTCATTTGGCGGTATGATTTTGGAGAATGAGCAGCTAACTGAGAAATCAGTAATCCAAGAGCCTGGGTCACATGTTAGTCCAGATCATCGTGAAGATGGTGGATCATATGAAGTCGACAAATATGCACATATCTCTGACAGTTTTTGTTTAGAAAAGTTAATTGACTTACCAGTTAAGAATAATGAATTGCCAGAACTAGCCAGAGGTAATGAAATGTATCCTGTTGCCAAGCCAAGCAAGTGTTTTGATATATTCCTTAACCTATTTGATTTCTTAAGTAATGATGCCAGAAAATGGGTCTGGGGTAGTTTTAGTCACCTGGAAAAGGAGTACAAGAAAGAGCTTCAGGGTGGTTCTTTGGACAAGTTTCATCTCATCAACAAATACATCCCCACCTTTTCATCACTGGTTCAGCTTAAATCCCAAATGGACATGGTACAGTTTATTGTTGGCCCTGGTGGTAGTATCTTGTCCATTGTTGAGGAAGAGGCATCTAGTATGATTGCTTATGCACTATTGATATCTGAGCAACAAGGAATATATTCGGAAGCTGCAATTGTAAAGGATGAAGTTATTGCTGGTAGAAAAATTGATAAAGTAACACCAATCAACTCGATCGGAGATACTCCTGTGCCATCTGCAATTTTATCTCCAAATGATTCTTTAGAACAAGATCATAACCTATCAAGAAATGTGTCATCGTTATCATCCGAGGAATCAACATCTGGATTTTATGATTCTTTTCTATCTGCCTTAAAAGATCTGCATCCTGAATTTTGTTTGAATAATGAAAAGCTAACTTTGAAGAGCAAATACACTGTTCTGTGTATATATGCAAAACAATTCTACGATCTTCGGAAGATTTGTTGTCCATCAGAGATTGCCTATATTTCATCTATAAGCCGTTGTAAAGAATGGAATGCACAAGGTGGAAAGAGCAAGGCTTTTTTTTCGAAATCAATGGATGACAGATTTATCATCAAACAAATTAAGAAGACTGAATTTGACTCATTCTTGAAGTTTGGCCTTGAGTACTTCAAGCATTTTGGTGTATCTCAGGCCTCAGTTAACCCCACTTGCCTTGCCAAAATTCTGGGAATATATCAGGTCTGCCAAAATTTTGAGTACTTCAAACATTTCTGTTGAATGTAATAAAAAACTACTTATAACTAATATTGTAATTCTCTCTAACAACCATGTCAGGTTAAGGAAATCAGGAATGGCAAGGAGGCAAGGACCAATTTCATGGTTATGGAAAATCTTTTGTTTGGACGTAATATAATACGGAGATATGATCTGAAGGGTGCTCTTTTCTCACGATATGTTCTTGACTCAAAAAATCCTGAGAATGTGCTATTGGATCAAAATTTCATTGAAGATATGCGTGCTATGCCTATCTACATTGAAGGCAAAACCAAAAACCTCTTGGAGCGTGCTATTTGGAATGACACGGCGTTTCTAAGTGTATGTGTACCTATTGCCAGAAACGGATTTCCGCTAGTGTATATGTATTATTTTTCTTCATAAGAGTATATTCAGGATGCTAGCTCTTCTTTTTTTGTCCTTTTGCGGCGACATGATGATAGCTCTAAAGTTCACAATTTGCATTTCTTTTATTTGCAGCGCATGAATGTCATGGATTACTCCTTGTTTGTTGGAGTGGACAAACAGAAGAAGGAACTTGTGTTTGGAATTATAGATTATTTGAGGCAATACACCTGGGACAAACAATTGGAGTCTTGGGTGAAGACATCACTTTTTGTTCCCAAGAACCTATCTCCGACTGTAATTTCCCCGAAGGAGTACAAGATAAGATTCAGGGCATTCATGTCTCAGTATTTCCTATCAGTTCCAGATGCTTGAGTTGATGAGTTCTGAGGCGTTGAACACACTCTGGCTTTTGGTGGCTGAACTTATGTTGAGTATGGTTTGGTTAAATGCCTGTTTGGCATACAGTAAATCATCTCATGAGTTCAACTTTAAGTTTCATTTTATTCATTTTTTCAAGTGTGGGTCTATCACCATCCATACTGCTTCGCAGCTGCTGTACATAGCATTTAGGATATAGGTTCCCTGGGGGACCACAAATTTTAAGCAAGGGAGCGGTGACTGGACCTACATATAACCAACATGTTCCTTTTTTGATGAGCATTAAGGTGGAGTTCACCTTTTGGACAACTAGCTTGGAGTGTTATAGAGAATATGGCATTCATGTATTCATTTGTGTTATTAGGAGTAGGTTTCTGGAATCAAATACATATCTAAATATGTGTCAATTATAGCTTGTTGGTTAAGCATCCATAGTGGTATGACGTGTTATTGTCGTCCTAAATTCCTAATGCTATTTAAATCAGTCAATGTCTCTTATAAACTGTTCACTTATTTATAAGTTACCTCCTAAAAGATCTGTGACAGGTGATCAATCGAAAAAAATATTTCCATGATTTGTTAGGATTTAGAAAAATGAGTTGTGATTAATCTGCATATATCCGGACAATTGTATTTTGTTGATTTAGATATATGGACAGAAGTATATTTCTCCTGCACCTGTGTAAACTTTGGGGTCAACATCCAATCCTACACTTGTACCTTTGCATTCTTTAGCTGTTTACACAGGTCTCCTCCCCAAAGACCACCACGGGACTTGAGCTGCCTTCTGGTGGTCATGTAAGCTGTCGATACTGCACACCAAGTGGTAAGCTGTCTAGCGCTTCTGTATTCATTGAGATGGAGATGTCGTATATGGTGAATCCACAAACTGGGTATGTTAACAAGCTTAAGGAACGGGCAAAGATTTCTACACCAAGATTCTCATATTTACCCCAGAGCGGGATTTTACATGGATGAGGCTCATTGCTGATAAGTGCGGTGCGGTGCTGTGTTGTGCTCATGTGCGACCCGGCGCACATCAGCAGGCTTGTCACCACGATGGTAAATAACTACCAGCATGGAACATTTATTTATCTTGTATGTGTAATGTAGCAGAATCTCTTATTAATACAATCAAAATTAGTTGCTAGAATTGTTTTGCTTCTAGTTGCCCTGGAAACTCATTGCAAAAGAGCTTCAATCTTTTTGCCTTCTTAGTCACTTGGCCATCTAGTAAGGCATGTCTGTTTAAATCATTGAATGTCACAATGCAACCTTTCCTTGTTTCAGGTTTTTAGGGTGACAAATATGTATATGTTTTTGTGTACGTTGATTAGGTTGATACTATAGTTCTGATGAAACTATTTTGCAGGTATCATATTCAAACTGAGTTTGAACTTAGTTTATCAAAGATCATTCTGATTTTCAGAATAACAAAGGTAACATTTTGAGGTATGTTTACATGAGCATGATATAACTACAAAATTATATTTTCCACTAGTCCGGACAGGCTGATTCTTAAGTTGGATCATTTCCATAGCAAAATTATTGGGCTATTTATGGTTTTTTCCTCTGGTGATGGAAATCATTCTGATGGACTAAGTAATCAGCATTTCTTGTTGTTATCAACTGCAGTGTCTTGTTAATTTTTACACCTTTTAGAAACTGCACTCTCCAAGGGGCATATACACAAGATAATATCACAAGATAACTATTTCTTAAGCAGATTTATTGGTACCATTTTCATATGGCTTGTTGAGAATTGAGATAGTTTCCGAACTTTGAGAAAGTTGACTGTGAATACCATAACGATACATTTATAAATAGATAGAGTAACTTTTGTTACAGTTGTCGTAAATCTCTTTGTTGCATTTTTCATGTTTTACATGCTATCTCGCTTGGGAATGCAAGCAAGCCAGCCTGCAAGAGGGTTCAACGCTGGCTTGCTTGCATATTCTTATGCTTCGTTACCCTCTAGAATTGTTTTATTTCCCTAATATGGGCTCCCCAGCTAATGAAAAGAAACTCCAGAATAATATGGGCTCCCCAAATAATGAAAAGAAACTCCAGAAAGGTCTTCTATGTTGCTGGTGCTGCTTAATTTGGCAAGTTCAATGTTCTTAACGTCCATATTATAATGACAATATTGTTCCATGCTCCACTGATACAATTTTCTTATTCCTACAAGGTAGTCATACTTTGGTTCCTGAGCATTTGCTGTCTATTGATGGTTTGAATCTTGTTGCTTTTGCAGGAATGCCGTAGTCTCTTTAACCACTGCGATGTGGTTACATCAACTAACAAGAATCTAACAGGTCCTAGAGGTGGTACAATATTTTTCAGGAGAGGAAAAAATTAAGGAAGAGGACTGTTCTTTTTTCTCAAGGGGATGAAAATGAATTGTGACTTTCAGGACAGGATAAATTTTGTTGTTTTCCATTCAAAACAACTATGCCAGGACGGGAGGTCCCCATGGTATATATTGCTTCCTTGGTGATAACTCTGAAGCAAGTTGCAACACCTGAATATAAAGCATAGATTCAACAAGTTAAGAAAAATGCAAAAGTTTTGGCAACAGCTTTGCTTAGAAGAAAATGCAGAATTGTTACTATTTTAGATGATGGAAAATGATTAGTACATGCCGACTGCTGGGCGATGGCACAGATAACCACTACTTTGGGATTTAAGAACTTCAGGCCTAACCGGTATAATTGTGCCTACCATTTTCTTAATTAATTTATTTTTTAATCCGTGAGCACGGTTGTATATTCATTTCATTAGGCCTCCCTAGAAACTGAAATGTCATTGCATGATAAACATATACTCCTTCCGGTTTCATAATTTTTGATTTGTTTGACAATGACACGGTCTGTGTTTTTCTATTATAAATGTAATGTATTCCTTTCTTCCAAAAAAGTCTTATTTCTTTTTTCACCAGGATCAAGGTGTAAACTCATTCATCGTGTAACACAACCAATGAACATGCAACCAATAAGTATTAAAATGACTTATTGGATTCCAATAAAAAATTTAATATAGCACATATTGACTCCAAATAGGACTTAGACTTTTAGAAAAACCAAAAAATAAAATAGGACTTAGAATTTTGGAAGGAGGGAGTATACAATAAGGCTCCCATCGGATGGCCTAATCAGTAAAAGAAAAAGCCAGATTTTGAATTTTCAAACTTAATTTTGAGATTGATTTTGAGATATTTTCAACGTAGTTTCTTTTACAACATTGGCTTTTAAGTCACCAAGAACACATTTATAAAAATTTCATCTATAAATTTATTTTTATTTCCTAATAAGCCGTTTTGACTTATTAGGAAATAAGCCAAACGATGGGGACCTAAATAAATACATGTTTACTTTTATTATAGAGCTTTGAAAGATAGATCCATATATGTTATTCTAGTTCTTTTAAACTAAATACGTTTAAAGTTATTGATAGTCAAAGTTATAAAAGATTGACTGCAATCTTTGTCCAAAACGTTATTTCCTCCGTTTCATAATATAAGACATTCTAGCATTGTCTACATTCATATAGATGTTAACGAATCTAGACATATATACGAATCTAGACATGTATATATGTCTAGATTCATTAACATCTATATGAATATGTGAGATGCTAGAATGACTTACAATGTGAAACAGAGAGAGTAACTATTATGGAACCAGAGGGAGTATGCTTACTAAACTTGAAACATTAGTGCCTGTTATTTTCTTGAGTTGCTTAAAGTCTTGTCAGTGGCACTATTCCTCTTGGACCCATTTGTTTCTATAGATTACATGATGTGTACATGCATATAGTTTATAAGTAGTATGTAAACTAGATGGATGGGCGCGCCCTGGCGCGCCGCCTGTGGATAGTTGGATTGCCGGGTGTAAACGTTAATGTCATAGCATTATCAGTTCAGTTAATGGAGTGGATATGGTGCAAAGAAACTGACTTAGACTGTAAGAGTATAAGTGTCATATTACTAAGGTTTATGAAGGTAATAAAATGATCAGCAACATAATATAACATAGCAAGTTATACAGAAGGTGGTGCATCGTTCATTGGGTATATGAGTAAACAAAATCGTCAATGACAGTGATAAGGTTGTTCTTAACAACTACACTACAACAGTAGGTGAAGATGATGTCTTTAACATAACATTTACAGAGAAACAAGCAGCATATAGCAGGGATATAAAGGTTATAAATACTTAGCATAGTGGGGTTGTCTTACGGCAGCTAGTAGGTGTTGATAAAGTATTTTCATGATAGTACAAGGATGGTTCTTCTGCAGCGCATGATCAATGCATTCACGTTATATGTATTGTTGCTTGTAGCTGATTCGTTTCGTAGAAGTGGAAAATGCAGATTATTCCCACTTGTATTTTATTGGCCGTTGCAAACTCTGACCATCCTGCTTTTAGATTGTACCGATCATCTGTTGACTTGTGAAGAACCATGGTGGTTGATGTGTTTCCTGCAGTATGCACTTGATCCTTTGTTGTCTTGTGTTGGGTGAGTGGCTGAATGTATTTTTCTGAGAATTCTTTTGTGAAGTACTGTTATTAAAAGTGGATGTTAGGCATTTATATTGCATAAGAGTGGAATGGTAGTGAGCGAAAGATCTCTCCACTCTTGTCTTACTTCATGAATGTCTGGTTGATAGTAACAAGTAGAATTAGAATTTGCTTGAGTGATGCGGGAATGTCGCAATATCTTTCACGTAGTTCTTTAGTTCGCTTGATAGCTTTATACTTTTGTTGTAGTAGCACATATCTTTGACAGTCCTTTTTGGTTGGCTGTGTAAAACAAAAGTAGAAATAATAGAAGTAGATAAGTATTTCAGTTAGTATGGGAAAAAATATTGATGAATTGCATTGCAATTAGTATGTAAAGTATTTGGACCTGTAGAAGATGATCCAGTATGTTTGTTGAGGCTGAGTTGGATGTGGTGGTTTGTGTGCTGTTTAGTCTTGCTAGCTCTATCTGCTTTTTCTACGTTTGACCAAAGCTTCGTCTGAAGTGCGAACGGAGCAAGAAAGACCTGAAAAAAAAGTTAAGGCAATGTATGAACGAATTTGAATGGCAATCTGTAAAAAAAAGAGAAAGAAGTGGACACGTGCAATTGGACCAAATAACAGAAACAATCAACCATAGCCGAAAACGTGGTCAGAACATAAAGGAAAGCACTAAACACTCGAAATGGCAGGAGGAACAAACACGGGCGGTGACACAGAAGAAGAGTAGGATGATGATTACCAACAGCAGATGTCCTATGAAAGAACGAAGCTATAAAAAAAACAAAACAAGGAAACATATCATTGGAACGAATATAAATATAAAACGGGGTAAAAATTATAGAACAACAAAAAAAAAGAGATAGGAGAATGTGCATTTTTTTATTCCAAAAGAACCAAATAGATAAATCAAATGACACAAGCACGATGGAAACATATAATCAATGAGAAACAAATATCCCCCGACGAACAAAAACAAATCAAAGCAAAACGATAAGAAATGGTAAATATAACAAAGAAAAAAAGGCAATTACCAAGCAAGAACGAAGGTTCACATGATGTGATGAAGATGGCGTACGACGAATCACTGCCTTGTGATGAGCTCTAGCAGCCGATGCAGATGGCATGAACCAATGAAACCAGCAACAGCACCAAAAACCTGACAAAAAAACATGAAAAAGGACCATGACAAAACATGAACCTGAACTAAACTAAATAAAATGAAGGGGACAAAAAAAAAGAAAAGGAATGGGAAAGACCATTAAGAGAACAACAACAACATTGCAACTAGGGTAACTATCACGAGAAGCCATTCAGACATACTTATAAAATGAGAGAAGGAGCAGGAAGAACGAGAACGTGTACAGGCATGCAGCAAAGAAAGACATGCACAGTGACACCTAATCAACTAACAGTAATAGAACTCGCCAGCACACCCACGCAAAACAGAGAAGGGATCGCATGATTGACACGCAAAGAGATGGATCAGCACAAACAAGACACTATAATAATCAATTTTAGCCTCTATACCCCAACATATCTGTGTATTCCAAAAAAAACTCACAGAAAACAAAATTTTATCTTCTTCACATTATATAATCAAGAAAGACAAGTACTAAACGAAAAAACAACAAGACACAGACAGAAAGCACAAAGGAGCCATAGTGAAATAGAAGGAAAACTGAAGGCTTAACAAGAGAGAGAACAGAGGGAGTTAACCGGAAGAAGCCGTTTACAATAACCAGCACGCGTGTGTAACACACGGCGCTAATCCAGGAGATTAACCGGACAGCCGTGATTAGCCAGTTATAACCGCGGGCACGAGGAGGCTTCAACGCAAACCAGCGACGTGTAAGGCAGCGAAATAGCCAGAAAACAATTCCAAAAAAATGAGAAAACCGGGATAGTTAGGAGAATTATCATTAATCATAGCTGAAATAACTCTGTTTAACAATAAGAAGAAGAAAGCATTTCTTGGTACCTCAAGGCCAAAAGCAACATTTTATTCTTACATCAGCACTAACAAACGAAAACATCCACTTGTGTAAGATGAATAAATCATTTTTCCCCAACTAAGGTAAAAAGCACAGAAAGATATGCATGGTTAACATACTAATAGAGTGACGCATCAATGCACAGTGCTCAATCAAGTCGAAAAATTTCAGAAAGGTAGCACAAGTGCTAGTGCAGGAATCACACTAAAAGCAACTGAATCACAAAGAACAAACATCCCAATAGAAGACAGAAGCTGACACATGTAAATCCAGGGCGAAGAACAGACGCGTAAATGAAAAGCACCACCCGAATCTCTACTTGTTTTGTTGGTCACTGCTACCTGAGGAGAAAAAAAAGGCATTAGCCCGCGAAGGCGATGTGTTCGGGCAGCGCAATGCCCAAGCCGCACGGCGACACAGCACTAGCTGCTGCAGCAAAGCAAAACCACACCCACGACGCCGCGGCGGCAGCGGCGGCGGCGGTGGCGGAAACCAAATGACCGGAAGAAAAAAAACCCAAATGGCTCGCCCGCGATCGCCGGGGCGGCTGCTCTCAACCTCGACGGCAAAATAAGAGCCCCCATCTTACACAAGCCTCTCAGTTGAGCCCCAGAAATCATCTGACATTCAGCCACATTATTAAATACCCCCTGAATTCTTATAGTTTCCCCATGTTCTTCATACTCTAACCATTTCTGCAACCAATCAATTTTCATGACCCCCAGCCCTTCCAACCAATCCATGCCTAATATGGCATCATACCCATTTAGAGGTATTAGCTTAAAATTGGATCGATAGCATCTACCTTGAAGCCACCAACACAGTCAGGAAGTTGTTTATCAGCAACCCTGACCTTAACTGGCGGAGTTGTGGACACCACTCCTGGAAAATGGTGAATCATCTGTTCATCGACAAATGAGTGGGTACTCCCAGAGTTAATGAGCATAAGAAGTTCAGTGCCTTGTATTAATCCCTTAACTCGAAGAGAATGGGCTGAATCAGTGCCATTCCAAGCATGAACTGAGATGGTCATGAGGTTGTTCTCCTCTGGGTTAGACTCAAGGATTGTCTCCAAACTGTCTGTTTCTTCCTCAAGTTGAAATGCCTCTAACTCCACCACATGCAACTGGACGGTCTGAGCACACTTATGGTCCTTACTCCAACGTTCACCATGGGTAAAGCATAACCCCTTAGAACGTCTATAAGACCTTAATTGAGAAACCTTGTCATCCTTGGGAGTAGTTCTGGCAGACTCCAAGATTCTCTTTTCCTCTCCAGGCGTTGCCACAGGACTCTTCTGACATACAGTGCCCTGAACTGGTCTAGTGAAAGCCTTGGTGAAGCTAGTACCCTCAGCCTTCCTGAAAGAAATTTTCTTATTCCCATCCAAGATTTCCTCCTGAAGCATAGCCACTGAGCAAGCAGCATCCAGATCCACTGGTTTCTGAATCATGACCACTCCTCTAATCTCATCTTTCAATCCATCCACAAACTTGGTTAAAAAATAAGGAGGGGTGAGAGCATTATCATAAGAAAGCAGGTGGTGCATTAAGTTGTCAAACCTTTCAACATACTCAGCTACACTGCCAGTCTGTCCCACATGAATCCATTGCCTTATCAGGGTTGCCTGTCTATCTCTGGTGAACTTATGACAGACCATGTCACACAGCTCCATCCACGAAATGCCCACCATCTGGTGCCGCACCGATTGCAACCAAAATGAAGCATTACCAGTGAAATTCAGCAAAGCCACCTTAACCCAATTGGCTGGATGCACACCATACACATCAAAGTAAATTTCACAATTATCTCGCCATAACTGGGTATTCTCACCATCAAATTGGGGACAAGACATGGGGGGGACATTACCACCGTTGCTAGCCATACCATAGTATCCATATGCTGATGACTAGAATTTTCAAGAGTGAAAGGGCTTGCAGAAGTGAACTGAGGAAGGCGATTTCCCTGTGGAGTAAACAGGAAAGGATTTGGGGAATTACCATTGAGATCATCTTCATTCAACATCTGACTGGGTCCTTGGCTGCCTTCTGCCTTGAACAACACCTTCTGTTGAACATCCCGCTGGCACTTCTCCAACCCTGCCTGGATCGAGTTCACTCTCTTTGCCAAATCGCTAACAGATCCCCCCAACTCGCTCACCTTCTATTCCACCATGGGTATGCGCGATTCCACCACCGCCTTCAACGACTGCAGCTCCGCTAGATTCAACGCATCGGACTCCTCCCGTCTCCTCCCTCTTCTTCTCTGCATCCTCCATCATCTTCAACAAGAGATCGAGCTTCCCTTCTTGAGCCATGATTTGAGCTGCTTGTTTCGTGATATACCTAGGTCGCTCCAGGATGAATTTTTCCCGGTTTCACCTCGAATCCAGCCAACCAGATCAAGGGAGCCCCAAAAGCTTTTGCGGAATCACACTGATTAACAGCGAATTCCCACCTATCTAATGGAATTTTCACGGGCGGACCAAGGGAATCAATGAAACCAGGAAAGGAATCGAGGGCTCTGATACCAATTGTTAGCTACCTAACAAGAAAACTGAACAAGAACTCAAGAACAGATAGATCAACGGGGATTCCAACGAATTTCCGCCGTTTCCGCCGCCACCAATCGCCGCGGATTTCTTTCTTATCATCGATAGCCAAAAACAGAGTTTTCTTCCGGTCTCACCTCACCAACCCTCCCATTACAGGCCAAAACATAGGCTACACAATAACACACGCTTACAGAGCCCATTCCGGCCCAGACAAACGAACATTAGCCTCGCGAAGTTTTCTTTCCCTCCCGCCATCAGCTTCCTTCTGCATACTACTTCCAACATCCTGGCTATCAGCAGCAGGCGCCTTAACAGTTCACCGCGGGAGGACGCCACCGCTGGGTCACCTTCTCCGTTGCCACCGCTGTACAGACCTCTCCAAGCTGCGGTCAAGGCTCGGTGAGCATCCTGGACACCCAAGAACCCCATGCATACACTCCATTCACTTAGAAACTGCCTCCAACTCGACATGCACGCACATCCGAGATCTTCCACCGCTCGGACCCACCGGCGGCGCTCCTCCGATGTCCACTAACCGAGGAAAGTAGAGGAATGGAATCGCAATATCATGCTCTTCATTTCGTCTTTTGGTCGCGCCCCCAAACGAGTCACCATTTGTTGCCGGCGCCGGCGAGCAGAGGTGCCGCCATGGCTGCTCTGCTGCTAGATCGATGGGAGAAGAAATCAGGACTTCACTTTGTAAATTTAACAAACTGTAGAGTCTTTTCCTCAAAAGCACAAGACACATAGTACTGTTGCAGGACCTATTCGTAATTATTAAAAACAGGAAGGACTCTTAATGAAAACAGCTATTCAACAAGTGCTGAATTGTTCAAATCTACTTTAAACTTCAAAAATGCATAACTAATTCATCTTAACTCCAATTTAGGTGAAACCAATTTCTGTAGATTCACGAAAATATGAACTTAAAAGTTATGACATAAAAAGTGGTACTCACAGTATGAAAATTTATCACTAAAACTCATCTAATTTAAGTCACACATAAAGCATGCACAAACTTATAAAATGCATATAAAATTAATCTTAGCTCAAATTGGTGCAAACTTAATTTCTATAGATCCACCAACATATTATCTAAAAACAAAGTAAAATAAAATATGTACATATTTTACATCAAATGCCTTAAAACTAATATCTTTAAAATGACTAGATTTAGATAAGCTGAACTTTAGAAATTCATATAGAATTCATCTTAACTCCTTTTTGGGTGAACTCAGATCCTATAGAATCATCAAAACATATACTTCCAGGTTGTAAAATAAAAATATATTCTTACTCTATAACAATAGCCCTTAAATATTTATATAAGGAATAAACAACCTAGTGTACATTTCAATTTGTAAAATTTGTAGAAAATTCATCTTTAATCCAAATGAAGTGAACCAAATTTTTATAGAACTGGCAAGTAATGAGCTTCAACATAGTAAAATAAAATATGGCAGCTTCTATACAGATTATAGCTCTAAACCTTAATAGGTAACCTAAGAGCTAATCACATAGTAATGGTTAGGCATTATATAGGTGTAGTGGTATTTAAATGCACTCTAACTAAATTCAACTAAAACTTAATAGACCAGATAAACCATAGTTCCATTCCTATGCATCAAAACTTATCACACTTAGCTCATACATAAACTACTTCTAGATTAGCATAGTGAATAATTAACATAGATCATGCCCCTATTTATAAAACGTGTAGTAAAATACTAAAAACTCTAAAATTATGGACCAAAGTTAAATTAGTTAACTCAATTACTCATTTTGTACATCACTGGCAAGATGGAACAAGTTATGGACCTAGAACCTCTATATCATACACTATAGGGACCATATGCCTACAACCCGTTACAACTTGTAAAATACATTAGAAATTCATAGAAACTCTAAAAATTGTGAAACCAAATGTGTTAGTCTTAGAGAACTCATATATTCACCCCAGCAAACTCAAATATAATAAATATCACCTTACAAAAGCATTTCATAGCAGCACCTAAGCAAATACTATACTATACCGATAAAACTTCTAAAATCCATAACTCTCAAATGGAATGAGATAAAATGGAAATTCTTTCACCTAAATTCAGTTTAAACCAGCACCTACCCACTGTGCACAGATCATGCATTTTAGAGCATTTTGGATTTTCCGCATATTTCGGTGTTTAATCGCATAACATGTAATTTATATAGATTGTCGCAATAACGGTGAAGAAGTGAATTAGGCCCTGACTTTTACCATTAACAAGGCAAGTCCCACCTCCCTCTCTTTGAATACATTGCTCCTATGTTTTGGAGGTTATTGAAAATGTTTGCAAATCCTGCATGTCGATTGTACATTAATACGCTAAAACCTTGTAAAACTTGTTAGAATAACACCTATTGATTGCATTATCACTTGAACTCCACATATATCCATAACCTACATTCTTAGCCCTAGAAACAACAAGACTTTATCTTTATATATATGAGTTATAATGACACTATGATACTACGATGCTTAGCCATGCTTAGTATGATTTTACTTGTCATTTGGGATCATATTAACATGAAAAATGATTTTATCTAATTTCTGGACAAAAATGAATAAATGGAGAATTTGAGAAACAAAATGATGAAAAACCATGAATTTTAAGTTTGGGCCTCAAGTGGTACACATGTGTTGATTAGTTGTATACCGATAGGGGGAGAGTGTGCCCAAGCTACTTAAGGACTTCACTCAATGTCTGTTCATTATGTATATAGTACAACCACATGTGCTAGTTATGGGATAGTCCTGTAGATGGCCAAAAGGCCCGAGGCCCGACGGCCCGGCCCATGGCACGGCATTTTGGCCCGGCCCAAGCACGGCACGGCCCGATGGAGGTCGGGCCCGTGCTGGCCCGGTCCGACCACCGGGCCGTGCCTGGGCCCCTCCACCGGCATGTTGGGTCGGCCCGGCACGATGTGCCGGCAGCTAGGCCCGATACACAAAAAAATAAGGGAGTAAAAATAGACATATTATATGCCATAGATGAAAGAATAGGGATCTAAAATAGACTTTTTTTATCTACATATGTCAGCCAAAGAGGAGGGATGGAAAATAGACTTATTTTAGCTATACATATGTCAGCCCAAAGAGGAGGGACGGAAAATAGACTTATTTTAGCTATACATATGAAATAGCCCAAAGAGAAGGGATGAAAATAGACTTATTTTAAAAAAGGCCCGATGGGCCACCCATGCCTTCGGGCCGGCACGGCACGACCCAACAGCTGGTGGGCCGTGCCTGGGCGGGTGGTGCAGCCCATGGGCCGGCACGACCCGGCACGAAGTGCCTATCAGGCCGTGCCGGCCGGATGGCTGCTGGGCCATGCCTAGCCATGGCTGGGCCGGGCTGTGTCGGGCGGGCCCTTTGGCCATCTATAGATAGTCCTAGCTTAGTAATCTATTTATGATTTAGCCTTACATTCTAGTAGGCTGGTGTGTATGAGTTAGTGGTTAGCTCAGAGGAGCTTCCTGTTACAGCTGAGGCAGTAGTCTAGGTGACTAAGCGTGTCCAATACAACGGTATTGTGCCACGTGGTGGGTTTACTCGAGGGTAGTTCGTCACCACGGCGTTAAGTTTAAGGCGTGGGCCCGCCACTTAATGGTTCTAGGTCATATTTCCAGTATGCCTAGGATGGAGGAACGCGTATACCCTTGAATTTTGTTTTTGATCTTGTTCATACCCATTCCGTTAGTTGACTGTTTAATTCCCTTGAAAAGGACCATTTTGTCCTTAGACATGAAGGAAACATGAAAATTGTAAACTACTCATTCCTTCTCAAATTGATCATCATACAATAGAATTCAAAATTTCTCAAATTGATCATCCTATAAACACATGGACACGAATTTCATCAAAATACAATTAATGCAGCATGAGAGAAATGTGTGCATGCTAAGGTGTAATTGGGATGATGTTTTAATCGATACATGCATTGCGGGAGAATGTGTGCATGGTGTCTTGATTGATATGGTTTAAATTATTCTTGGTCTTAGTGCATAAACTTATATGATGATCAATATGGGAAAGAGGGAGTATAATTTTGTTACATAAGACTACTATATTCATGATTTTTTGTTGTACAAGGTATTATTCATGGCAAAGTTTATTTTTACATAATGACGTAAAAATTAATATTTATTTACTTATTAAAACAGTATATGTAGCATTTTTATGGTAGTTCAATATTTTCTTTTCCCAGTTGTATATATTATATAGAAATGCTTTCCAAAGCTATGTTTATCGTTTATAAAATGCTGCACGTACTTTTTTAATATATATTAAAATTTTTATGTACAACAAACTTATGAATATTATGGTCACAAAACAAATTTCTATACTTACATCAATATAGTCCATAAATTTCTACATATTCCACATATATTGAAGGGTAAAACTGACTTTTCTACATGTATTAAACGGGAAATTTAACTATTTGTCACATTTAGGTTTTTCAATTATCCAAATACCCTTCTTATATTTGCTCATATTTTTTGCCCATCTTAGATGGTGGCTTCTTAACTATTTGCCACTTTGCCTATGTGGTATGCCAAAGTGGCAACACAAGAGAAAAAACAGTGTGGGACCCGCTTGTCATTCTCTCCCCTAGCTGTCCAGCCGGCGACGCCAGCGAAGAGGCCAAGGCGGCGGCCGGAGGAAAGTTTGACGGCCGCGGCAGCACTCTCCTCGGTGCACAGAGTGGGTCCTCGTCTTCCTGCAAGTTCAAAGAAAACGAAACCCCTTCGTTCGGGAGCGCGTTTTGATGCATTCATCCAGTGGTGTTCACCATCGGAGGTCGCCGTTGTCATTTCTCTCTCTATCAGGACCATGTTGTTGGTCGCGTTTCTGCGGTTCTGATTTTCTTTATTGCCAACCTCCATCATCAATGGATGAGTCTAATCGTGGGGCACATCCTACCATAGTCCTTATTACCGTTTGATCATCAGAGCATCCACACCCATGTTGAGTATTACGAGAACATGAGTATACTATATATGCAATAGTGGTTTTTATTCATCCTAATTATCATTAAAATTTCTAATCAATACTTAGCCTAAGAAATAATTTATCTGTAGCGAAGCATGTGTATTTCGCTAGTACAGTCAAAATAACATATATTTTGGGACCGAGACGATGTTTTTAATTTTTTTTTAAAAGAAGTTCAAACAATTTGCTAACAATCAGCCAAAAAAAAATATCCGCCGACCTGGCCCAATCAACGCCTCCCCTCATCCACACCAACCATCTGCGCTGCGCTCCGCCTCCACCGCCGTCCTTCTCCTCTCTCCCCCAATCACCGCCCACGCCACCCACCACCATGGCCTCCTCCGCCTCCGTTTCTCCCGCCGCCGCCTCCCACCACCGCCTCCTCCTCCCCTGCTCCCCGCGCCGCCTCCCCCGCCCCCGCCCCCGCCCTAGCCCGCGCCTCCTCCGCTCCGCCCGCCCCCGCCTCGTCGCCTGCCACGCCGACACCCTCCTCCCCTCCTCGTCCCCCGCCGCCGCCGCCGCCGCGTGCGCCTCCACCGCCTCCGCCAACGGGTTCTCCGACTGGCTGCGGGAGCACGGGCTGCCGCCGGGGAAGGTGGCCATCCTCGACCGACCCGTCCCCTGCTTCCGGGAGGGCAAGGACCTGCCGCTGCACTACGTCGCCGCGGGGCAGGATCTCGAGGTGCGTTAGCAAGCGGGGATTTCGGGGTTGATTCCGGTGGTAAATGGTGTGAGATCTTTGACTGTGGTGGGCTGTTGCAGGCTGGGGATGTGGCGTTCGAGGTGCCCATGTCGCTCGTCGTCACGCTGGAGAGGGTGCTCGGAGACGAGTCCGTCGGTGAGTGCTCTTGTGATCTATTCTAGTGTTGAATTCTGTAGTTTGGTTGCTTTGGGGTTGAGAGGAAATGGCGATTTTTTTGTTTCCTGGATGCACATTTCACAGTATATGACCTGAATTTAGCACTGCAATAGTCCTCCTGTTGGGGGCATTTTGTGTAAATGGCAGAATCTGGTTTTAATTTATCTGATGTCCACCTTATAAGTACACCGAAATCAGTAAAGTATAGCTTCACTTCAAGGAATTCATAATTGTTAGTAAGAAGTAAGATATAGGTTGAATTAGTTGACTTTGTTAAGTAATCTTCTATCTGTTCACTTCAATTTATTTCAAATTTTCAATACCATGTAGGGCACTGGATTTGATATTGTTACCATCAATATTAATATGTGTGTGTTTTGAGGAATGCTTTTTGAATGTTTTTAATCCGTGTTCAACTGGTTCAAGAGTCTGAATCTGCCGGTTTGATATGCAACTTTAGCTAATCATATCTTTCTTGCGTATCTTCAGGATATAATCAAGTATTATCAATCTCTCTTTGTGTGAAATGTTGTGCATTGTAATTAAACAATGGGTTTATAGCAATTTCATCTTTCAACCTTAGGTGCTGATTCGAATTTTCTCTCTTTTTAAGCAGTCTCTTCACGAGATTGCATTTTCTTTACTATTGCATTTGTCATAAAAGGTAAGGTCACAATTTTTAATAAATTAATCATCAAACAATGTTAGCATGAGAGTAATATAAGAAAGTAGCCCTATGTTTACAACTTTGTTAAAAATAGTTTAATGTGAAATTGTGGATATGTTTACATTGGCATGATATTTCTGTTAGATAGGTCTTCCATGCATTATTTCTTCAGTCCTTGTATATTTGTTTGCTAATACCTGATCTGTGAAACTTATTTGTGGTTTATGTCTGTCCACTTGCGCTAACACCAAAAGAAGAATATGGAAATTGATATGTCCTTTTCATGTATGGTATTTGTTTTCATTTTTGTACTATGGTAACCAGCTGATATTTTGAACCATACAGCTGAATTGCTAACAACAAACAAATTATCTGAGCTGGCATGCTTGGCTTTGTATCTCATGTATGAGAAAAAGCAAGGACAAGATTCATTTTGGTATCCTTACATTAAGGAGCTTGATCGCCAGCGAGGAAGGGGGCAATTAGCTGTTGAATCTCCACTTCTGTGGACCGAAAGTGAACTGAACTACCTGAAGGGTAGCCCCATCAAGGTTAGTGTTTTTTCCTATCCACTATATGTCAATATATTATGAGCACATTTTATGCAGTGTCAAGTAATATACAACTTAGATTTTCTAATATTTCAGGATGAAGTTGTTGCAAGAGACGAGGGAATAAGGCGAGAGTATAATGAGCTCGACACACTGTGGTTCATGGCAGGTTCATTGTTTCAGGTGCTTTCTTTTGACCTTCCAAAATGTTCCTGTCTCTGGGATTCTGTTGCACTAGCTGCTTGTTGTTCTCATGTCAACTGTTATGCAGCAATATCCTTTTGACATACCTACCGAGGCTTTTCCATTTGAGATCTTCAAGCAAGCTTTTGTCGCAGTACAGTCTTGCGTGGTCCATTTGCAGGTAACATAATGAGCAATGAGATTTCATTTATCAAAAAAATTAGATATTACCCCGATTGGTTGTTGGTTGGTTTAAATAATTATCTCTGGTGTTGAACTGAAGTTTAAGATTTACTTAGAGTGTACACCATTTATGAACAGAACAGTTTAGTGCTAAATACCTTGCCCATATAATAGATTATACAAGCCTCGCAGTATTTTTGTCAAATTCAATAAATTTGGAAATTTGCTTCTTCAAATTATGTAGATTTGTTCTGTAAGTATTTTTTTTTGTTTCATATGTTTTATTTGCTTAATACTTCAGTTTGGGATCAACAGTTCATAGCATGCCAGCCTTTTATTTTATTACTGGATAAATACTGAACCTGCTCGTCGCTAAGTTATTTTTATTTTTCATTGAAGAACAGAAAGTTAGTTTAGCTCGAAGATTTGCGCTAGTTCCATTGGGCCCACCACTATTGACCTACAAGAGCAACTGCAAAGCAATGCTGACAGCTGTTGGTGATTCTGTTCGGTTGGTTGTGGATCGACCATACAAAGCGGGAGAACCAATAATCGTCTGGTATAATATTTTCTTCAGATGCATTAAAATTCTTGTTGTACCTCATCATATTTGGCAACTTCAGTGCTTATTTACTGTTTGCATATTTCATTTCTGTTGTTTGTGCATCTCCACTGTAACGTCAAGCTATGCAAATTGTACAGGTGTGGGCCACAGCCTAACTCTAGATTGCTCCTCAACTACGGTTTTATTGACGAAGATAATCCATATGATCGTATAGTGATTGAGGTGGAATTTGTTTTGCTATTGTTCTACATTCATCTTCTTATTGGATTTGTGTAAGCAATACTGAATCATTGTTACAGGCATCCCTAAACATAGAAGATCCTCAGTTCCAAGAGAAGAGAATGGTTGCTCAAAGAAATGGGAAGCTGGCTATCCAAAATTTCCATGTGGGAACTATGATTTCCTTTTTCTTTTCCATTTGGAATGCAACTACAAATGTTGTATATTGACATGCCTTAGGTGCATTAGGTCTGTGTGGGTAAAGAGAAGGAAACAATTGCAGAAATGCTGCCCTATTTGAGGCTAGGATACATTTCAGATCCAGATGAAATGCAATCCATACTTTCTTCAGAAGGTGATACATGTCCAGTAAGTCTACTTGCCCTTAATTGGCCTTACTATTAGAATTTTCAGAATTTTCAGTTACGGTTAGAATTTTTAATTACACATATGAGATAAAATGGAGCAGGGCAAGGTGACAGTGTCGTACATTGTTGTTTTATTTATTACATTTTTGGGGTCATTATGCTTGCGCAGTTAGCCAGTTTATAGTTTCTGCCTTTTTTCTTTACAAGACTCCAAAAGCACTTTCCAATGGGCTCAGTTTTTATGGGGCTTCTGCCTTTAAATATTGCTTCAAGCCTTGAAGACCCAGAAGTATTGATCTAGTGTCATTAGTCATTACTATGTTTGTAACAAATTGAAGCTAGACAAACAGGCATTTGATCTGAAGATCTTGTGTTATGTGAAATGCAATAATTACATCTGGTTGAACATTTAGGAAGAGAGAACATTTCACAAGTAGATAATTTGGAAAATGCCTTTACATTTGAAGCTTTCTTTTAGGCCATCACATTTGTCATTCCAGGTTTTTAGGATTTCATTCAAGTTATAAGTTCATCTAACCCATTATTTATTTTTAGTCGGGTTGATCTAAGGTGCAGATTGTTCAAAACTAAACCGGCTTGCTACAAAGCAAATCCATCATACATTTAAAGTGCAATATTTTGCCATGCAAATATCCCACAGTAGCATGTAGGGTTTCCATTGAGTTTTTATGGAAGTTGAGCAATGGTTCTAAATAGACTATGTGGTAATAGTAGTGTTATGCATAACACTGTGTAAATTGTGACATGTTTCCAACTATGATTATAGGTCAGTCCATGCACAGAGCGAGCAGTACTTGACCAACTTGTTGGATACTTGGAGTCACGATTGGCTGATTATCCAACAACTTTGGATGAGGATGATGCTATGGTAACGAGTTGCAAAGCACTATGTGTATGTTTTTTTGTAAAATCTCTGATACGTAATGTAATGAAGAGCATTTCATTTCTCTGGTATTGGGCAGTTGGCAGATGGCAATTTGGAACCAAAAAAGGAAGTCGCTACTAGGCTTGTAAGATTGGAGAAGAAATTGTTGCATGGTTGTCTCCAGGCTGCTAATGAGTTCATAAATGATTTGCCTGACCACACTGTGTCACCTTGCCCTGCTCCATTTGCTCCTGAATTGAAATAAGGTAGGCAAAGCTCAATAAGTTTTCACTGCTTCCCAAAGTAAATTTATTAGACCGTTTACTGTGTACCATGTTGATGTAATTGATCTAATAGACTGAATTTTATGGATGTGCAGAAAAGTAAAGCATGCAGCGAGCATTAATTCTTGCAACATGGGTGTCACTTCTAATGGTGTTCTCATTAATGATCACATCCAGTTGAAGTGCATTAGAAGGTAATAAATCTGATAAATTGTTACTCCTTTAAAATACATTCAAGTAGTAGGATTTAAACCAGTACTAATATTGCTCTGGTATTATAATTTTTTTATTGTTAGAAGTTTAGAACCTACTGAAAGTGTGTAACTGAAAGATAAAATACCAAATAAAACTTATGATTCAACTATTCCATTGTTACTTGGGGTACATTCTCCCAACCCTTGCCGTGCTTTTTTTTTTCTTGTTGTGCGCGAACAAAAAATTTAGGAATTGTCTATGAATCTCTGAATATTTTTTTTCTATTTCTGAACTTTCTTAATTTTAAAATTTAAAAATAGACCCTTCTAAAACTTATTTCCAAAATCTGAACCTTTTAGGCACGCGAACCAGGGTGGCGTCGCAAAACAACACTGACCCCACCCACAGCGGGCGTGATAGTTTTATTCTACCACGCCAACTATGGTGGTGTGGCAAGACAATGCTAAATAATGCTACCATGCCAGCCAAACTGGCGTGGCAGTATTGTTTTTCCTACTGAAAGTATTGTTTGGCGTGACCAAAAGGTTCAAATCTTGAAAATAAGTTTTGGAAGGGTTTATTTTTAAAATTAAAAATAAAGAAGGTTTTAAAAAATAATTCCTGAATAATTGGTGAAGATAACAACATAGCTATGTCAATGGTAGTCACCACACCTAAATCACTCAATACTTTTTAACTTAACTAAAGTAGTTTCTTGAGCATAATTTAGCTACTTCATTTCTTCCTAAAAATAGTTCCTATAGTTATAACAGGTCATTTGGAACATAAAAATGGCAAGACCAGAATAAGAGGCACAGGAAATCAGTAATGCAATGACAGAATACAGGAATGCCCTCTGTCCTGTACGCAACACAGGAAAGCATAGCATGGTAAAAATAGTCCCATTTGGTCTGTGCCTTGTTCCTTAGTGGTTGGGCACTGTAAATTAAATGGCCAATTTTTGACATATAAAGTAGCCTCTATTCTCTCTTATCCCAGTCCTGTCTTTTGCATCTCCTTATCCCTCTTCTCACCTGTGCAAACTTGAGGGGAGAAGCCAGACCATCCGCTATGCTGCATCAATAACTTTGGCTAGGTTGCACTGCAACACGCACAACAGTAGGAGTATGTACTGTGTAGAACTTACTGTGAGAAGTCGGATGTGTGATCCCAGGTCCCAGCTGAATAAATTTCTCTCTTTTTTTTCATTTTGAAAAACATGTAATTTGCAGCCATATACTGCAATCGATTTGGGGAACTAAATTTAAAAGACAGATGCATGAATGAACCACAACAAGAAATCAAAATACAGCAGCAAGAAGTATCTGACAACATCACAACAAATGAGCAAATCGATTTCATGATTCATGTGCATGATTTGAGAAATCAAAGGTAGACCTCTAGATCTGATGCAAAGACAACCTAAGCAAAGTATGCTGCTTTTAATGATCAAGCATACGTCTCTGTTCCTTGGTGTCACTCTGGAGAATGGCTCGAGACCATCATTTCTCATGGGAGCCCTGAGGTAATGCCAGACCAAGGCACACAGCTGCTGTCACTGAAGGTGGGGATGGATGACTTAGTGCTGGAGCTGGGCTGCTGGGGACCTTCCTGAACTGGCCAAGCTGAAGAAGTCACTGGATCTGTATTTGTTTTTGGTTTGACCGGTGGTTTGGTCTGTCTCTTTTCTCGGACATAGAATAGACTGTCTTGGATGTTGCAGTGTAGACGGGGGCGGCTAATGGGCGGGTGACCGCCCCAGGCGATCACCCCCCATCCCCCCTATACACTACTCTCTTTCTTCCTCCTCTCCTTCTTTTCTTCCTACTACACCATAAATTTTTTAAAAATAAAAAACACAAAGTTGAAAAAATTTATGTATAGAAATACTATATATAAAAAAATTGAATTCAAATTCAAAATTGAAACGGGTATGTAAACTTTTGACTTATAAACTTTGCGTCTATAAACTAATATTTAAATTCAAATTCAAATTTGAACCGGGTATGTAAACTTTTGACTTATAAACTTTGGGTCTATAAACTTTAGGTGTATAAACTTTAGATGTATAGAAATACTATATATAAAAATATTTGAATTCAAATTCAAATTTGAATCGGATATAATTCAAATTCAAATTTGAATCGGGTATGTAAACTTTTGTCTTATAAACTTTGGGTCTATAAACTTTAGGTGTATAAACTTTAGATGTATAGAAATACTATGTATAAAAAATATTTGAATTCAAATTCAAATTTGAATAGGATATATAAACTTTTGATTTATAAACTTGAGGTGTACAAATTTTAGGTGCATAAATTTACTAAAAAAGGAAAGTAATGCGGTGCCAAAAAAGGAAACCAGGTGGAGGGAGGGGATTGATCGATCGCCGGGTAGCAATCTCGAGTGTAGACTGTGGACCATATTTGGTGTGCATTGCTTGTTTAGTGTGAAGTGGTAAAGATAAGGGCACATCAGCAGAGTGTAGACTGTGGACCATATTTGGTGTGCATTGCTTGTTTAGTGTGAAGTGGTAAAGATAAGGGCACATCAGCAGTTGCGTGACATTATGTCGGTGGCATCATATAGGGTAGCTTCCCAAAAGTTAGTTGTTTATCTGTTCTTTCAAAATTTTGTAAATGAATCCTCAGTAGTGCTTCTTTGCAGGAAATCTGAAGCCTGGCTGACGGGTGTAATAGGGATTTCACTGCCCGCATGCAGATTTGGCGATTAGTTGCATTGCACACAAGTGTGCACGGATGTTTTGTTAACCTAGTGGCTTTTATATTCACTGAGTAGATTCTGTACATTCTGATGATTGACTGAGATGGTAATGCCAATGTACATGTTCAGTCTCATTTGTCAATAGAGATTCTGTACATGTTATATTTTTGGGTGTTGGCATGATTTCCGCCGTTCTCTTTTCATGGCCTGTTTGATTTTTAGCTGTCTGACTACACAGCAGAGAATTGTATGCAACAGTTTACTGTGATGGCTGCCAAGGAATCGCATTCATTTGAAATGCTCCACCATTTTTCTGTCTACAGCAATTAGTCTCCCTACCCTGATGATTAATACCTTTTTACTGGGCTGATTTCAAATCTGGATGATCCACAAAGCATGAACTTGAGAACAAATCGTGCTACATAATTTGTTTTCTTCACATTCTGCCACTACTGATTAACAGATGGATGAATCGTGATGATGAACCATGGCTTGATACTCGCGGGACGATTTGAGAGCCCGGTAATATTAGCAGAGATGATAACAGAAAGGAAGAACTTGGAGTAAATTTAGGTGTCAGTCATTTTATTGATCCTTTGCTGGATGAAGAATGCTCCTGTTTAACTCTCTGATGGAACATGCCCAACGCAGTGATACAACTACGATCCTTCAAACAAATTCGTGACACCACCAAACAGGAACAGGTCTTTTTTATAGTCCACTCTTACAAGCAGTGTAAGTGGTGGCAGCTAAACACATTTATTTCAGTGGGCCTCAAAAACCAATAATCTCATTTAATTCTTTTAATATCAATTTTTGTTTGTGCATCTCCTTCCAACTCTCTCTCTCTCACACACACACCATCTATGAGATGAAATAACATGATGGCAAGAGGTCCATTTCCCGAGAGTAAACTAGACAAGAGTTGATGGCCATGCTACTGAGTGCCTGAGAGTCGTTTCCATCTGATTATCCTATTTCATTTCCCCTTGCTGAAATCCTCTAAATGATTTTCCTTTTCTTCTTGCAATATAATGCATATGTACATGATGCTCGACCACGAAGTCTGACCAATATTGGATTGGGAGCCAACAGGAAATGATAAAGCGATTTAGCCACATGTCGCACATCTTAGTATTTAAGATCAAGTCTCCTTGTGGGGTGAACAACTCATGAGTGAACAGTGGCTTGCGCTAGTTCATTGCTGTAGTGATGATACAGATTGAAAAAACGCCGGCTGGGAGAATGAAGGCATCTTCATCTCCATCCATACTCTTCAGCACATGGATTCTGGGCTGATAGGATTCTACTACCCAGCAGCTGAGCATATACACATGGTGAAACACATAACATTTTCCTCTCATTAGCTAGGGAAAGAGCTTGAATGCTTGATGCATCTGCTTGGCCTGAGCATGCTAAATTAATCCAATCCGTTATCATGTTTTCTTCCTCTTGTAATGTATTAAGTTGCTTGTCGCGTGCATGTAATCAAGTAAAAAAGAACTATACTAATTGGATTGGAAGGCGCAGTGAAATGTTAATAAACAATATTCCACCCAAATCATGAGTTAACCATATCGATTAGTTCCTCGGCATTAAATCCTTACTTAATTAGTTGCAGATTGATATATCATGCCCATGCAACATGATTTCATCCTCACCTTTCAAGTAAGCATGTGTGGCTGCATTGTGTTATATGTGTAAAATGGCCAAATTCAAGAGGAATTGAGCGGATTTGTTAAACTATGTGAAGAAGAATTATACGATACATATACCAGAACCATGCCTATGGGTTGATAAATTATCTAAAAGTATTGGACGTTAAAGTAAATTTTCAATTAAAGTATATTAAACAAGACATAATTTCCCCGCAAAAAAAAATCAACACATATAATTATGCACCAAAGATGGGTACACAAGCTACCTCATTTTGTCTTGTTAGAATCTTTAAGAAATTCGTCCAGCGGAGAATTGATTTACGCCTGTTTGATTTTTAGCTCAGTCTGACTACCCAGCAGAGAATAGTATATAAAACAAAAGGAGTAAATTGCATTGGTAGTACACAAACTTGTTAATTGCGTGTAATTTAGTACATAAACTTATAAAATACTCGTTTTAGTACATAAACTTGTCTATTTGTGCAAACGAGGACCAAAATAACTTGCCAATGTTGATTTTACGAAGTTGATGTTGATTAGGATGTGATGTACACGTGTAATGAGTATGAACACTGCTATATGTACGACTGCTCTATCCGACCGGTGTATGACGGAACGGCAGAGCAGCACAATACTTAACGGCGTAAGTCGGAACAGCACCAGCAGCACAGCTCTTGACGTCGTGTAATACGCAGTCGTACGTCGGTCGGACACTTAAGTGGTATGTATAGCATTTTCGAATGAGTATGCATACTTACATGAAAAAGTTTTTGACAGCGTATATGAAACAATTTACTGTGATAGCTGCCGAGGAACCGCCATTGATTTGGAATGTTCCACCATTTTTCTGCCTCCAGAAATTGGTCTCCCTACCGTGATGGTAAATACCATTTACTGGGCGGATTTCAACATCTGAGTGTTCCACAAAGCATGAATTTGACAGCAAATCACTACTTCGAAACAACACATCAGTATCGGTTCGACAAAACCTACCACTGATAATGGTTTTTCATCCTATAAAACACTCGCACTAGCATTGATGAGAAGATACCAGTGTCGGATCATATAAACACTACTGGAAAACTGATTTTTCATGGGTGGTGTAAAATTCACAATAATCCCGGTTTAAATAGGAACCGAGACTAAAATTATTTTTAGCCCTGGTTCAAAAGAGGCACGACACTTTATGATCTTTAGTCAGATTGGTGTTATCAACCTGGACTAAATATCATTTTTAGTCCTGGTTTAACACGTTGTCAGGCTGTGTCAGGCCCTCCACTATTTTTAGTCCCGGTTGTTTATACCAGCCGGGACCAAAGATTGAAAAAAAAACCGCTCCCACACGCACCTCCTCTTCTCCTTTTGTCCTTATCTCCTTGTGCTCCCCGTCCTTAGTCTTTATCTCTTCATCCTCGTCCTCCACTCCTCCTCTCCTCCCCTCGATCCCAGCCGCCTCCCCTTCCCGGCCCTCTCCGAGGCGACCTCCCCCTCCCCTCTCCTTAGATCCCTCCTCCCCTTACCGGCCCTCTCCGTCAGCCGGCGGTGGCTGGCGAAGCCGCGTCAGTGGCGTCGGGCGGAGGCAGGCAGCGGCAGACGGCGGGCGCAGCCGCGTCGGCAGCGTCGGGCGAAGGCAGGCAGCAGTTGGGGGCTAGTGACGTCGTCGGAGCCGCGTCGACGGAGCCGCATCGGTGGGAGGAGGCAGGCCACGGGCGTCTATGGCGGTTGGTGGCGGGCGGAGCCACGTCGGCGGCGGCGGGCGGAGGCGCGTCGGCGGGAGGAGGCAGGCCGCGTCAGCGGCGGCTGGCGGAGGCGGAGCCTCGTCGGCGGCGGCGGGCGGAGGCGCGGCTGGCGGGAGGAGGCAGGCCGCGGGAGTCGGCGGTGGCGGGCACGATTCGGTGGTGGGTGGTGGCGATTTGATTTGTGAGGTTTTTGTGAATGTGTTGTGATGTAACATTTGATCTGTAAATTTTTTATTTCAATATGATCTGTGAATTTTTGATGTCAATTTGAGTATGTTTGAATTTGTGATTTGATGATTTGTGATGTCAAATTGAGTTTGGTGTGAAATCAATATGCAAACAACAAAAAAAACAATGAAAAAAAATAAGAATTTTAGTCCACTAAAACTGGGACTAAAGATGAGTATATTTAGTCCTGGATTAGGCGTCCCGGTTGTATACTCGGAATTGAAGGGAGTTACGAATTGGGAGTGAAGATGGTTTCTCCAGTAGTGAAACAACCGGCACTGATTGTTCCACGTACCATCAGTATTAATTTATAAGAACATTGATACTGATAATTAACCAATCGGTGTCGGTTTAAGTCGCTTGGAGTGGATGAGCTGGCGTATTGGTGGGAAAAGTCACCTGTCACTTATGGTCATTACTTCCTCTGTCCAAAAAAAACTCAACCTCGTACTACGATGTGATACATAGTAGTACAACAAATCTGAACATACTCTACGTCCAGAATACAAGCAACTGCTATTCTAATGATTGGACAATTATGACCTAAACTGGATGTGTCAGATCCAACTCTCATCATGATGGCCAAGTGGAAATAACCCGATCTCTCTCACATACTTCCTCCATCTAAAAATGCAACCTACAAGGAGATGTGACCCCTCCTTCTTCTAGTACAATAAATCATGTGACCCCTCCTAGTACGACATATCTGGACAACGTATGCTCATATTCGTTGTACAGTAGGTTGAATTTTTTTGAACTGAGGGAGTATGCAATCAGCGATATCGAGGTTGGACAGTATACTTGATAAAAAAAAAGATTGGACGGTGCAGGTAACGTGCTATTACAGAAACAAAAGCCGAAGCGAACGAAATCAAACAGCTGAGAAACTGATTGTGATCAAGGAGATTTTATAGCGACTTAAATTTAGTAAATCCGATTCCTTTATAAGTTTTGTTTGTGCAACTCCTTCCAACTTGCTTATATATACACCACCATCTATGAGATGAAATAAGCTAGAAGAGATGGTGGTCATGCTTAGGTGAGTGCCCGAGTGTGGTGTATCCATCTTATTATCCTATTTCATTTTCCCTTTTGCAGTAGTCCAGTAAAAAAAATGTCCTTTCTTCTTGCACTGCATAAATATGTGATATTTGCTCATGATGTTCGAATCATATGGGATTGGAAGCCACCAGGAAATGATAAAATGATACAGCCGTATGTGTTGCTCGCCGTGTGCATGTGTTTCACACATCTTACCTAGTGAAAAGTAAATTTCAAAATGCTACTAGGATGAGCCACATCATCAGGTGAACAATAGCCATTGGATCGACAAAAAAATAAAATAGAGAGAAGAGAGTTGAACCATTGATTATAGAGGAAAGGAAAAGACGAAGAACTTTCGAAGCTTTCCAGCAATGCGGAACGCGAGAGAAAGGGAAAAGAAAGAAAAGCAGTATTGAAAGAGAGTGGGGGCGTTGGCTGGTTTATGGCATGTGATATAATTTGCACTATGCACACTCAGTAAAAGTTATTTTATAAATAATCCTTCAAAATTATTTATAAATGGACTCTTGGCTTATAGGCTCATATGTTATCTATAGATAATCCTTACAACCTACTAATTCTAAATTATCACTATAACGTTAATATCACAAAGTTTGTTATCACATAAACATCTAATAAAATTTTCTATGA